TTGTGTCAGATGGTAGCCATTGTGTCAGATGGTAGCCATTGTGTCAGATGGTAGCCATTGTGTCAGATGGTAGCCATTGCTACTGTCAGATGGTAGCCATTGTGTCAGATGGTAGCCATTGCTACTGTCAGATGGTAGCCATTGTGTCAGATGGTAGCCATTGTGTCAGATGGTAGCCATTGTGTCAGATGGTAGCCATCGTGTCAGATGGTAGCCCTTGCTACTGTCAGATGGTAGCCATTGTGTCAGATGTTAGCCATTGTGTCAGATGGTAGCCATTGCTACTGTCAGATGGTAGCCATTGCTACTGTCAGATGGTAGCCCTTGCTACTGTCAGATGGTAGCCATTGTGTCAGATGGTAGCCATTGTGTCAGATGGTAGCCATTGTGTCAGATGGTAGCCATTGTGTCAGATGGTAGCCATTGTGTCAGATGGTAGCCATTGCTACTGTCAGATGGTAGCCATTGTGTCAGATGGTAGCCATTGCTACTGTCAGATGGTAGCCCTTGCTACTGTTAGATGGTAGCCATTGTATCAGATGGTAGCCATTGTATCAGATGGTAGCCATTGTGTCAGATGGTAGCCATTGTGTCAGATGGTAGCCATTGCTACTGTCAGATGGTAGCCATTGTGTCAGATGGTAGCCATTGCTACTGTCAGATGGTAGCCCTTGCTACTGTTAGATGGTAGCCATTGTGTCAGATGGTAGCCATTGTGTCAGATGGTAGCCATTGTGTCAGATGGTAGCCATTGTGTCAGATGGTAGCCATTGTGTCAGATGGTAGCCATTGTGTCAGATGGTAGCCATTGTGTCAGATGGTAGCCATTGTGTCAGATGGTAGCCATTGTGTCAGATGGTAGCCATTGTGTCAGATGGTAGCCATTGTGTCAGATGGTAGCCATTGTGTCAGATGGTAGCCATTGTGTCAGATGGTAGCCATTGAGTCAGATGGTAGCCCTTGCTACTGTCAGATGGTACCCATTGTGTCAGATGGTAGCCCTTGCTACTGTCAGATGGTAGCCATTGTGTCAGATGGTAGCCCTTGCTACTGTCAGATGGTAGCCCTTGCTACTGTCAGATGGTAGCCATTGTGTCAGATGGTAGCCCTTGTGTCAGATGGTAGCCCTTGCTACTGTCAGATAGTAGCCATTGCTACTGTCAGATGGTAGCCATTGTGTCAGATGGTAGCCCTTGCTACTGTCAGATGGTAGCCATTGTGACAGATGGTAGCCATTGTGTCAGATGGTAGCCCTTGCTACTGTCAGATGGTAGCCATTGTGTCAGATGGTAGCCATTGTGTCAGATGGTAGCCATTGTGTCAGATGGTAGCCATTGTGTCAGATGGTAGCCCTTGCTACTGTCAGATGGTAGCCATTGTGTCAGATGGTAGCCCTTGCTACTGTCAGATGGTAGCCATTGTGTCAGATGTTAGCCATTGCTACTGTCAGATGGTAGCCATTGTGTCAGATGGTAGCCATTGTGTCAGATGGTAGCCATTGTGTCAGATGGTAGCCATTGTGTCAGATGGTAGCCATTGTGTCAGATGGTAGCCATTGTGTCAGATGGTAGCCATTGTGTCAGATGGTAGCCATTGTGTCAGATGGTAGCCATTGTGTCAGATGGTAGCCATTGTGTCAGATGGTAGCCCTTGCTACTGTCAGATGGTAGCCATTGCTACTGTCAGATGGTAGCCATTGTGTCAGATGGTAGCCATTGTATCAGATGGTAGCCATTGTGTCAGATGGTAGCCATTGTGTCAGATGGTAGCCATTGTGTCAGATGGTAGCCATTGTGTCAGATGGTAGCCATTGCTACTGTCAGATGGTAGCCATTGTGTCAGATGGTAGCCATTGCTACTGTCAGATGGTAGCCATTGCTACTGTCAGATGGTAGCCATTGTGTCAGATGGTAGCCATTGTGTCAGATGGTAGCCATTGTGTCAGATGGTAGCCCTTGCTACTGTCAGATGGTAGCCATTGCTACTGTCAGATGGTAGCCATTGTGTCAGATGGTAGCCATTGTGTCAGATGGTAGCCATTGTGTCAGATGGTAGCCATTGTGTCAGATGGTAGCCATTGTGTCAGATGGTAGCCATTGTGTCAGATGGTAGCCATTGTGTCAGATGGTAGCCATCCTGTCAGGAGGTAGCCATTGCTACACTCAGATTGTTTCACCTGTCTTACACACACGTGTCTGTTAGATGAATCTGGAAAGCTCGCTAACAATTTGTAGATGTTAGTCGTCCCATTCCACCCCCACCCCTGGGATAATCTCCCCCCCCCCCCCGTGCAAGTTCTTCTCTCCCAATGTATTGCCAGTGTTGTCAAAACACCATCAGTGACGACCGTATGTCAAACACCATGTGCCCCCCCCCCCCCCCCCCTACAGACTGTGCCTCACACCGCTCCCCTTAGCGACACCACAATGTAACCCCATATCACCACCCCCCCCCCTACAGACTGTGCCTCACACCGCTCCCCTTAGCGACACCACAATGTAACCCCATATCACCACCCCCGACTCCCTCTAAAAATACCCCCCCCCCAACCCCGGTAAACAAGGCAGCAACCCATCAACACCCTACCCTCGTGTAAACAATCAATACCGCCATCTTACTTTCGCCGCGCGCCGGCCCGGCTGTGTGCGCGCAAGATGGGCGGGGCTTCAGCCTTCACTCAACCAACGAACAACAACAACAATAACTAGGCAGTAAAGCAGACTCCACAAAACAACAATATCCCACCTTTTTTTTTGTTTGTTTTTTTTTTACTCCACCGTCCGGCGTTTGGCGCTGTTGGATTCTTACATTCGTCCAAAACATTTCTTTCTTCTTCTTTGTTTCAACATTTGGATTCTTTAGTTCATTGTTTTGGATTATTTGCCCTGGCCGTCCATAGTTTAACTCAACTGGCCGTCTATAGTATTATATTGGATTTATATAGATCTATACAAATATGCCGTTTATAGTAGTATGACTGACCATTCAGGCCTTCTATAGTATTATGTTGGACTCAATCGGACGTCTATTGTAATAATAGTATTATGTTGGACAACTGGCCGTCCATAGTATTATGTTGGACAACTGGCCGTCTATAGTATTATGATTGACCATTCTGGCCGTCTAGCCGGCTACACCGAATTCATGGCACTACTGTACAACTCGTGGAGGGCCAAGATGCGTAAGTTGTCTGGTTTTGTAATCAATTTATCTTACTCGTGCACTCATTGATTGGACTAATTAATGTACCCAACCATGTCAGAATGAATGAAAAACTTGAGTGTAGATGTAATTAAACACTTGCCTGTTTGTCGCATGTGAGAAAACGAAAAGTTGGATAAACTTTTACAAACCAGTTGGACCACGTGACGCTAGATTTGACAGCACAATTGTGACGTAAGTTAAGAACTGACTTTCTTAGCTCCATCAGCACAGTCATACAGAAGAGTTTAACTTAACTCAGCTTACCGTCAGTGTAGCTAACCCTCTCTAACCCTTTTGGGTGTGGGCGGTGCTAACCTGATGGTTTTGTCATATTAAACTTGGTGACCCCAGGTTCTTACCCCGAACCCTGTCACCCAGCGGGACGTTATGGGGGGGGGGGGGGGGGGGGGGGTTCAAGACATACATCTTTCTGTGTGAGGGGGTGGGGTGTATAACACGTTCACCCTCAGCTTATGGAAGCAGCACTCTGGTGCCATAACCCTAACAGAAGTCATTAGCCGTGACATACAGAGATCGAACGCCAATCAGATTGATAAATTCCCTAACACCTCGTCAACATAGGTGGCGCGTGTAACCCTTCCTTTCGCTCAACTAAAACATAACCTTAACCTGCTAGCTAAAACATAACCTTGACCTACCAGCAAACTCAAACATAGCCTTTAGCTGCTAGCTAACTAAATCATAACCTTTACCTACCAGCTAGCTAAAATATAAAGTTAAACTTAACCATCAGCTACAAAAAATGTTTTAAAACTTTGTGAATCTTTTTGTAGAGCAGAATCTCTCACAATTATTTTGTGGGTTGAGATGGGGCAGGTATTTGTGGTGTTTGTATACAACATCAAAATAATTGTCATAACTCGTTTTTCAATTTGCTCGAATGATAACTTTTCAATTTGCTAGAATGATAAGACGAGAAAAATTATTTATTTGTAACCGGAGCCTCCCACTCGACGCTCGTAAACAATTTGTTGTCCTTGACCTGCTTCCTAGAGCAGGGGAGGGGAGGGGAGGACGCGACCGATGACCCCAAAAATAAGTGTTTCAATCTTCCGCCAAACGCAGGCGCTATTTTTAGCAACACGCACCCGCGCTTCCACCCCCACGCATTGGAATGAGTTCGTCTCGGTGCTCGGATGTGAGTGAAATCACTTTGGTGTACTTGGACTGTTCTTGTGACTAAATCGGCGGCGTGGGCGTACTGGGTGTGTCCAATATATGAGGTCAACTAGACTCAAACGGCAGTTGGTGTCGGCTAGTGTGTCCAATATATGTGGTCAACTAGACTCAAACGGCAGTTGGTGTCGGCTAGTTGGTTCACCAGATTGTCTAGGGAGAATTCTAGAATATGCGCTAACCTAGGAGATAGTTTGTTTTGGTTTCTTACCCACCCCACCCCAACCCCACCCCCATGTTGGTTATCTGATGCCCAGCGTTTATTGATTTCAAATTGATTTTTTTTTATGTTGTCGGCCGATGATTCGAGTTGTCAATGACACCACTTCTCCCCCCTCCTCTTCTTATCATCTTTGGTCGGTTTTATTGTGTTCTAAAACATAATCAGATGTACCTGAGTTTCTTCTAGGTATTTCCGGGGGGGGGGGGGTTGTCGTCGTCGGTTCCCCTTAGTTGTTTTTTTATTGACCCACTGAATGACCAGAATGTCTTTTGACCCACTCAATGACCCACTCAATGACCCACTGAATGACCCACTAAATGACCCACTGAATGACCCACTAAATGACCCACTGAATGACCACTGGTCTGTTCCCCAGGTATGATGTCGCCTGCCGACATCCAGCAGATGTGGAAGGACGAGCCGATGGCATCAGGACTTGACGACATCAAGGCCGTCAATGGGATGAGCCCAGCCACCACCTGCCACAGCAGCAACAGCTACACCAACAGCTACAGCAACAGCTACAGCAACAGCAACGGTCTCTCCAGCAAGCGGACATCGCCATCATACCATAACGGGGATATGAACGTCTTCAACAGTAAGTCTCTGTCTTCATCAGTAAGTCTCTGTCTTCAACAGAAAGTCTCTGTCTTCAACAGTAAGTCTATGGCCTCTAGAGTTAGCCTCTGTCCTCTAGACAGACATTAAGTCTGTCTGTCTGTCAGCACGTACATTCAAAATGTTTTTTTCCCTTATATTTTCTTGGGATGTAACAAATAACTTCACCCTACCCCCCCCCCCCCACGTACGGTGCCCCACCCCAGCGTTGGTGTCGTCTGATACAGCATGTTTACCTGCTCCATGTGGGGTGGGGGAGGGAGACACGTGTGTGTGTTATGTACACAGAGGGTCACAGATTACCTCCAGACCCCCACAGTTGTCTACCTCATGTAGCCTGTGTCATGGGGTGAGGGGGGGTTGTAACAATAATTTGATGAAAAACATTTACCATCCAATACTCAGCCATTGTTATTTCTCGTCTGGTACACACACTACCCCCCCTCCCCAACGATGTTTTGCCTGCACTGCCCCTCCCTCCTAACGATGTTTTACCTACACTGACCCCCCCAACGATGTTTTGCCTACGCTGACCCCCCCCCCTCCCCCCAACGATGTTTTGCCTACTGCCCCCCCCCCCCACCCCTCGATATTTTGCCTAGACTGCCCCCCACCCCACTCGATGTTTGGCCCGCCCTCCCCCCCCCTCCAATGTATTGCATAGACTCCCCCCCCCCCCGATGTATTGCCTAGACTCCCCCCCCCCCCCCGATGTTCTGCCTAGACTCCCCCCCCCCCCCCCCCCCCCGAAGTTTTGCTTAGACTACCCCCCGATGTTTTGCCTAGACTGCCCCCCTCGATATTTTGATGCCCCCCCCCCCACCCCACTCGATGTTTGGCCTCCACTCACCCCCCCCCCCTCTACCGGTGTCTTGCCTAGACACCCCCCCCCCCCTAATGTTTTGCCCAGACCGTCCTGTTGACCTCTGGAAATTGACGACCAGGAAATCAACACCATCCTCATCTGGACCAGCTTCCTCCACCATCTCGGTCCACCCACTCTATTTCCGGTACCACCCCACAGCTCCCCCACCCCAACACTAAACATGGCCCGGGCTTGTTTGTACATCGCCCCCCCCCCCCCTTAGATCTTTAACGACATCTCTGGTGCTCACCCTTGGCTCACACACACACGCACACACACACACATACACACACGCACACTGACAGTCGCTTTCTTTCGTATAGTTTATACCAGTATCATGGGTAATGAGTCTGTTTAGGTTCAACATAGACTGGGGGTGGAAGGTAACTTACATGGACTGAGGGGAGGGGGGAGTCACTTACATGGACTGGGGGGTGTAATGTCTTGTCTTATCTTTCCTTACCCCAGATATCAAGTCAGATACAACCTACTGTAATGTTTTGTATTATCTTACCCCAGATATCAAGTCAGATGCAACCTACTGTAATGTTTTGTATTATCTTACCCCAGATATCAAGTCAGATACAACCTACTGTAATGTTTTGTATTTCCTTACCCCAGATATCAAGTCAGAAACCAACGCAGTCGCCACAAACTCGTCATCGTCGTTATCGTCGTCGTCCAAAGATCATCTCTCAAACGGCACCAGTCCGTCCCCCACCCACCCCCTGTATGTAAACAACTGCTGTAAGTGGCCCAACTGTGACGCGCATATAACAGAGTTCAATGAGTTCATCAGGTAGGTTTCTTGTTTTTTTATCTGCATTCATGACTTGGTAGTCTCGTGAGACTTGTAGTTTCTCTCGTGTGATGTCCGTAAGTTGTTTGTGGCTGGTGTGAGCAGTTACACCACAGCTGATGACCAACGGTCAGTTCTGGCCAGCCGGTCAAACAAGTGTTTGGTAACGGTGCTCACGTTTGTAGATGCAATCATCATTTGAACAGACTGACCAAATAAACCTTGATATCCTTGACAGGACGACCTTACATCATGATATCCTTGACAGGACGACCTTACACCGTGACCTTTGACCCGAGCAGCCACTGATGACAGCCAGAGGCCGCTGGTCAGTGCTGGGCTATTTACCCTGGTCAGTTGGGGCTGAGTAATCAATAGCGTCAGTCGTGCTGGACATGTGGGGGGGGGGGGGGGGGGGGGCACTGGGCATTACAGTAATGGGCGGGAGGACTTAATGGCAGTGACAGAGGCGGGGGTGTTAGTTACTCAAGTTTGATTGGTTTGGTTTGTGTTGGAGTGGTGTACGTGTGTGTGTTGTTGTGGTGTGTATGTGTGTTGAAGTGGTGTGCGTGTGTGTGGAGATGGTGTGTGTATGTGTGGAGATGGTGTGTGTGTGTGTGTTGAAGTATCTGAACCTTGAACCACGTACCGGATGTAAAATGCGTTCGCCTTGCTCGGGATGAACAAAGAATGTTCATTATAAGAAGCAGCCTAGGACCTAGTCACTAGATGAAAACATTACAAGAAGCAACCTAGGACCTAGTCACTAGATGAAAACATTACAAGAAGCAGTCTAGGACCTAGTCACTAGATCTAGATCAAAACATTACAAGAAGCAGCCTAGGACCTAGTCACTAGATGAAAACATTACAAGAAGCAACCTAGGACCTAGTCACTAGATCAAAACATTATAAGAAGCAGTCTAGGACCTAGTCACTAGATCTAGATCAAAACATTACAAGAAGCAGCCTAGGACCTAGTCACTAGATCAAAACATTATAAGAAGCAGTCTAGGACCTAGTCACTAGATCAAAACATTACAAGAAGCAGTCTAGGACCTAGTCACTAGATCAAAACATTACAAGAAGCAGTCTAGGACCTAGTCACTAGATCAAAACATTACAAGAAGCAGTCTAGGACCTAGTCACTAGATCAAAACATTACAAGAAGCAGTCTAGGACCTAGTCACTATATCAAAACATTACAAGAAGCAGTCTAGGACCTAGTCACTAGATCAAAACATTACAAGAAGCAGTCTAGGACCTAGTCACTAGATCAAAACATTACAAGAAGCAGTCTAGGACCTAGTCACTAGATCAAAACATTACAAGAAGCAGTCTAGGACCTAGTCACTAGATCAAAACATTACAAGAAGCAGTCTAGGACCTAGTCACTAGATCAAAACATTACAAGAAGCAGTCTAGGACCTAGTCACTAGATCAAAACATTACAAGAAGCAGTCTAGGACCTAGTCACTAGATCAAAACATTACAAGAAGCAGTCTAGAACCTAGTCACTAGATGAAAACAACAGCTTCCGGTTATTCTATTTTTAGATGTTCAACCCGCTCTTTACACAACTCCACAGAGATGTCTGGCCCTGATTGACCTTCAATATTTACATGTCTAGGTATTGACCATCTCAGCCGGACTGACCACAGCTATCTAATTGATCAGATCGAACTGACCATGTCCACATTGTGTGCTCCACATTGTGTGGTCCACATTGTGTGCTCCACATTGTGTGGTCCACATTGTGTGGTCCACATATGTAGGACTCTAGTCTATTGTCCATCTGAATCTGGCCTAATGTTGACGTAGCCCTTATAGAAACTGTCGTCACAACATTTAAAACCATCGTATTTTGTTGTGCGGTCATTGCCCAGCTCTACATCCATGTCTTAGTGTGGCTGTTTGTAACGTTGGTACCCTGTCTTGTGGGACCCGCTGATAGTGGGGTCAAATCAGGGCCCCGGATAGAATATGGGACCCGCTGATAGAGGGGTCAAATCAGGGTCCCGGATAGAGTGTGGTACCCACTTATAAAGCTAAAGTTGGACACAAGAGCGCGCGCGGAACTGATTCGGTCACTGACCTGCGGGTCAAGGCCATGAACTTCCTGTTTTACGTCACTCACGTGACCTTGACGGATGTACGCCAGGCTATTGGGAGGTGTTGAGGGGGGGGGGGGGGGAATCCATGGTCACTCTGGAGTGTTTTAGGGAGGGTGGAGAGATTTTGATTCCCCCACCCCTCCCCATTCCATGTTGAGCGGGGTGAGACACTCGGATCTGACGTGTTGAGGATCTTCCAAGTTGGGGTGGGGGTACTCTGTTGAGTGTGGGGGTGGGGGGTACTGTGTTGTTGTGTGTCTGGTGAGTTACTGTGTTGTTATATGTGTGGGGGTACTCTGCTGTGTGTGTGTGTGGGGGGGGGGGGGTACTCTGTTGTTATGTGTGTGTGTGTGGGGGGGGGGTACTGTGTTCATTCGATAGGTCGGAGAACAAGTACCTATGCTCAGGTGGCCTTGGACTCTAGGCATTCCGTTCTTAGTTCACTGACACGTGATTTACACCTGCTGTTGGCCACTTGTTTGCTGGCCATCTATCAGTTGTCACCCATGAACCACCACCATGCCCCCCCCCCCCCACACACATACATACTGGCCACCCATCGATTACTGGCCTGGTCGCATCAAGTTTGTCATGGTTCGGTCAGACCTTGAGTCCATCTGTGCTAGGACCTGAATCAACAAGAACTGACCGCTTGACCACTCGCTGTCTCTGCTCGATCAATAACTGAGATGTGACCCAGGGGTCAGGCCTGTGTGTGTGTGTGAGTACTTGTATTTGTGTGTTAGTATGTGAGTGGGAAGTCAAGTCTGTTTGTGCACGTGTCTCTGTGAGTCACGACACCATAGATTCACACAACTCACCCGCACGACACCATAGATTCACACAACTCACACGCACGTGCGTGGTCACTAAATACACCCCCCCCCCCCTTCTCCATGTTCCATCTGCAGATCGTGTCGTTGTCCCCCCCCCCCCTGCATATACATGTGTAAAAAAGTCACCATCACGTGACTGATTTTCTAGAATAGTTGTTACATCATTCTCTAGCTGCAGATGACAGGAACAGATTGATTGAAGGTTGGGGGCGTGGCTAGTCCACGTCACGTGGTTCACATTTCAGATACGGTGTCCTCGTCGTCACCCCCCGTTTGTTTCTTACACACATCCCCCCCCCCCCATTCACTGTCACCCCTCCCGCCGCCCGCTGGGTAATGCCACCCCCTCCCACCGCCCCTGTGTAATGCCACCCCTCCCGCCGCTCGCTGGAAAATACCACCCCCCCCTCCCACCGTCCCTGGGTAATGCCACCCCCCCCATCCGCCCCTGGGTAATGCCGTGCCCCCGCCCCCAACCGCCCCTGGGTAATACCACCCCCTCCCACCGCCCGCTGGGAAATACCACCCCCTCCCACCGCCCCTGTGTAATACCACCCCCTCCCACCGCCCCTGGGTAATACCACCCCATCCCACCGCCCCTGTGTAATGCCACCCCCTCCCACCGCCCCTGGGTAATACCACCCCCTCCCACCGCCCCTGTGTAATGCCACCCACCTCCCACCGCCCCTGAGTAATGCCACCCCCACCCCCCCCAACCGCCCCTGGGTAATGCCACCCCCTCCCACCGCCCCTGGGTAGTGCCACGCCTACCCTGACTACCACCGAGTGTAGCAACTTGTAATTAAAAGTTGTCGCGTGAGGAAATTGTACCTGTGATGTCTTCTAACATTTCCACTGCTGTCATTAGCACCCCATCCAGCGCTGAGAGCCGGGTTAAATAGAAACAAATTTAAAATAAATAGCCGCCCCTGGGGGTGGGGAGGGGGAGTAAATGTCAGAGTCGTGGTGTCGTGCACGTGGACACTCCTGGGGCAGTTTTTAGGGGGTGGGTGGTGGTGTAGAGGGGGTGGGGTGGTGTAGATGGTGTGGGGTGGTGTAGATGGTGTGGGGTGGTGTAGATGGTGTGGGGTGGTGTAGATGGTGTGGGGTGGTGTAGATGGTGTGGGGTGGTGTAGATGGTGTGGGGTGGTGTAGATGGTGTGGGGTGGTGTAGATGGTGTGGGGTGGTGTAGATGGTGTGGGGTGGTGTAGATGGTGTGGGGTGGTGTAGATGGTGTGGGGTGGTGTAGATGAAATCAATGTTCTAAAAATAGAATCACATATATCGACAATTAAGTTGATGGGGGGGGGGATTTTTGTTGTTGTCGGCTAGTCTAGAAGAAAAGTCGTGGCTATTTTGGTAAACATCTTCAAAGGGAGGGGAGGGTCGATTTGTGCGCCGTTATTTGTCTACCCTCGAGCCGGCAGTAAACAAACGTGTGGATTATCGGCCTTTGGTGAGCCATTCCAACTAGGTCATCTGGTTTTGTTTTCCTGCACGTAGATGGCAAGTAAACAAACCAGGGGAGGTAATGGGACTTGTATAAACCAGGGGAGGTAATGGGACTTGTACAAACCAGGTGAGGTAATGAAACTTGTACAAACCAGGGGAGGTAATGGGACTTGTACAAAACAGGGGAGGTAATGGGACTTGTACAAACCAGGGGAGGTAATGAAACTTGTACAAACCAGGGGAGGTAATGGGACTTGTACAAAACAGGGGAGGTAATGGGACTTGTACAAAACAGGGGAGGTAATGGGACTTGTACAAACCAGGGGAGGTAATGGGACTTGTACAAAACAGGGGAGGTAATGGGACTTGTACAAACCAGGGGAGGTAATAAAACTTGTACAAACCAGGGGAGGTAATGAAACTTGTACAAACCAGGGGAGGTAATAAAACTTGTACAAACCAGGGGAGGTAATGAAACGTGTACAAAACAGGGGAGGTAATGAAACTTGTACAAACCAGGGGAGGTAATGAAACGTGTACAAAACAGGGGAGGTAATGAAACTTGTACAAACTAGGGGAGATAATGAAACATGTACAACTCAAATCACCGTGGAGGGTCATGTTTGCTTAAGTTGGTAGTTAAACCAGCAGACGTCGCACCCAACGACCCTTAGATTGGCACCTGCACTCATAGGTACACAGATGTCTTACAGGGACATAACCCAGTATGTTATTTTAAAGGGACACAACCCAGTAGTATGTTGTTTACACAACCCAGTATTTTGTTTAGCAGGGACACAACCCAGTATGTTGTTTAACAGGGACATAACCCAGTATGTTGTCTTACAAGGACATTACCCAGTATGTTGTTTACAGGGACACAACCCAGTATGTTGTTTAACAGGGAGACAACCCAGTATGTTGTTTTACAAGGACATTACCCCTGATGTTATTTTTATTGCTCTTGTTATTTTCACCGTAGGACGCAGCTAATCAATGACTTTGATTTCTAGGCCATTCTCTCCCTTTTGCTCTGCCTGCAATCACACGCATGTCCTCAATATAGCGGGGGGGGGGGGGTACACGGGTGGGGGAGCACAGGGTTAGGGTGGTGGAGGGCGGGCACTCACACAGTCGTGCCCCCCCCCCTCCTTGTTTGTCCGGCACGGTTGTCCCCCCCCCCCCCATTGATTGATGCGTGATGAGTTATTTGATAATGGAAGGCTGTCATGGCGGTGGGGGCGGGCTGGGGGACACACAAACATCTTAAGTATAATTTGATTAGAGCTACATTAGTAGTCGGGGGGGGGGGGAGGAATTGAAGATGGGTGTGGTCATGAGTCACAACATGGACGCTCTCATTAAGTTCATCCCCCCACCCCACCCCCATGGGCATTGCAGTTTTAACCCAACCATGTGTAGGTTTAACACGTTTATGTGTAGGTTTAACCCGTTTATGTGCAGGTTTAACCCGTTTATGTGCAGGTTTAACCCGTGTATGTGCAGGTTTAACGCGTTTATGTGCAGGCCTGTTCTGTTCAACCTGATCCTGCTAAAGATTTTCACCAAATTTTTTTGTTGACCCCACCCGTCGCAATATAAATTTTTTTTTACTGGCCACTAAACAACGCCGTGGACATTGGATACTCCCTCCCATCCACACCCATCGTGACCACCCCCCTCCGTCCCTCTACTCCCCCCACCCGTCCAGCCAGACTTTTGAAATGACGCACTAGAAATAACGTCGAACTTTGCCACGTTTAAATTAAAACCTAGTTTAACAGCAACCTTCAGTCAACATATTACTAGATTTATCAACAACTGAGAAAATAGTTTTTATTCCTTGTGCTAAATGTTTAGTTTAAGATTGTGCTGTTGTTGATTTTTGTTAACTTGTCTCGCGTTTATTTAATCAAGTCTAATTTTTAAATGGAGCTCTGGATTCGTCCAAATATCTGTAGTGACGGCACGTTTTATGGATACATGGGTTTGTGTCCATCGTCTACACCCACACATATCCACACCCACCCACCCACACGCCCACTCATCTCCACCCTCCTCTATCCCCAGACACCCACCCACACCCACCCACCCACACGTCCACTGATGTCCACCCTCCTCTATCCCCAGACCCCCACACACACCCATCCACTCCCACCCACACATATCCACACCCACCCACACGTCCACTCATGTCCACCCTACACTATCCCCAGACACCCACACACACCCACCCACACATATCCACACCCACCCACACCCACCCACCCACGTCCACTCATGTCCACCCTCCTCTATCCCCAGACACCCACACACACCCACACCCACCCACACGTCCACTAATGTCCACCCTCCTCTATCCCCAGACACCTGAACACGGAGCACCAGTTGGACGACCGCAGCACTGCCCAGTCACGTGTCCAGATGGAGGTGGTCAGTTCTCTCGAGTCACAGGTCAGTCAACACCTTCTATACCTACATGGCCAGCATCTCTAGTTGGCCACTGGATGGCCAGGGTTGTCTCTATTTGGCCACTAGATGGCCAGGGTTGTAGCTAGCATCTCTAGTTGGCCGCTAGATGGCCAGGGTTGTAGCTAGCATCTCTAGTTGGCCGCTAGATGGCCAGGGTTGTAGCTAGCATCTCTAGTTGGCCACTAGATGGCCAGGGTTGTAGCTAGCATCTCTAGTTGGCCACTGGATGGCCAGGGTTGTAGCTAGCATCTCTAGTTGGCCGCTAGATGGCCAGGGTTGTAGCCAGCATCTCTAGTTGGCCACTGGATGGCCAGGGTTGTCGCTAGTTGGGCACTAGATGGCCAGGGTTGTAGCTAGCATCTCTAGTTGGCCACTGGATGGCCAGGGTTGTCGCTAGTTGGCCGCTAGATGGCCAGGGTTGTAGCTAGCATCTCTAGTTGGCCACTAGATGGCCAGGGTTGTAGCTAGCATCTCTAGTTGGCCGCTAGATGGCCAGGGTTGTAGCTAGCATCTCTAGTTGGCCGCTAGATGGCCAGGGTTGTAGCTAGCATCTCTAGTTGGCCACTAGATGGCCAGGGTTGTAGCTAGCATCTCTAGTTGGCCACTAGATGGCCAGGGTTGTAGCCAGCATCTCTAGTTGGCCACTGGATGGCCAGGGTTGTCGCTAGTTGGGCACTAGATGGCCAGGGTTGTAGCTAGTTGGTCACTAGTTGGCCAGGGTTGTCGCTAGTTGGCCACTGGATGGCCAGGGTTGTAGCTAGCATCTCTAGTTGGCCACTGGATGGCCAGGGTTGTCTCTAGTTGGCCACTGGATGGCCAGGGTTGTCTCTAGTTGGCCACTGGATGGCCAGGCTTGTCCTTTGTTTGACCACTGGGCCCATGCACAAGTTGACCACTTCTCCGTAGTGGGTTTAGGACAACTCTAGTCAATGCCCCTCCCCCTAGTGTCTGATAGCCAGCCCCTCAATCATTGCCCCTCCCCCTAGTGTCTGATAGCCACCCCCTCAACCATTGCCCCTCCCCCTAGTGTCTGAAAGCCACGCCTTCAGTCATTGCCCCTCCCCCTAGTGTCTGAAAGCCACGCCTTCAGTCATTACCCCTCCCTCTAGTGTCTGATAGCCACCCCCCTCAATCATTACCCCTCCCCCTAGTGTCTGATAGCCACCTCACAGACATTGCCCCTCCTTGTAATGTCTGAACGAACGCCCCTGCGACCCCCCCCCCCCCCCCCCCCCAGCCTGTTAACGTGATGACTGAGACCATCAGCCGCAGTAGCCGGGACAGGAAATGTCTATTTTAAGACACAGGAAGTGTTGCGTCCCTAATTTATCGGGCCTAGTTTCGTTTTTTGTGAGAGTACATATGTGTCGCGTGGAGAAAGGGGGGGGGGTGTCTTTTAATGGGGTCAAGGTAACGCTCTGTGTAAATGGCTTCCGCAGGTAGCGCAAAATGTCGGCGCCATATAATTAGGGAGATTCCTAATGGCAATCTGAATTGAATTAAAAATTTTAATTATCAAGAACGTTATTCATTGTACTTGCATGAAGGTCTTTCGAATGTTTCATTGATGTGACTACTGACAGGACTCATGACCCCACCACCATGACGGTACCACCATGACCCCCCCCCCCCCCCGCCAACCACCATGACGTCACCACCATGATCCCCCCCCAACCACCATGACCCCCAACCACCATGACCCCCCCCCCCCCCCAATCCATGACGCCACTGACCTGACATAACCCATCCGTTCCCTGGACTCCGATGTTGTGTCTCGACCTCCTCGGTTGTTTGTGTCACGTGACTGACGAGACTGTCGTCATGTGTCACCTGACCGCCGGTCGTCTGCACGCACCGTGGGGCTGTTAACGAGCCGTCTCGCGCCGTCTGCCCGCGTTAGACTCCGGAAGTTCAACGGTCCATGTTCTGACTTGTGTTCCCTGTATGGACCATCGAACTCTGACCTCCAATGGTCCATGTTCTGACGTGTTCTCTGCATGGACCATCGAACTCTGACCCCCAACGGTCCATGTTCTGACTTGTGTCCCCTGCATGGACCATCGAACTCTGACCCCCAACGGTCCATTGTCTGACTTGTGTCCCCTGTACGGACCATTGACCTCTGACCTTCAGCGGTCCATGGTCTGACGTGTTCCCCGCATGGACCATCGAACTCTGACCCCCAACGGTCCATTGTCTGACTTGTGTCCCCTGTACGGACCATTGACCACTGACTTATGGGACTGGTGACACATTTTTTTGTTGACTTGTGGGGTAGGGGCCAACACGCTGAGAACCACCGTGTCTTGTATCCTGCAATAAAACCTTTGTGTCTCTGGTTATTTGCTTAAATTGCTCATTAATTATTTTTGTGGCCCTGTCACTGAAGATATTTGATTAGCATAAAAGGTTAGCCCCCCCTCCCCCCAGCTTAGCATCTTGTTGGCCTCCAACCAATCCCCTGCTCTTATGATGTATGTTTGGTTAGTGCTGACATAGCGACCCACATTAGACGATGTTTCCTGGTTGTTGGTAGACCGTAGTAGACGTGCTTTATGGCCACTCGCCTGTCTGCTGCATGGGTCAGTGGTCATCGGCCTAGTGGTCAGTTGGTACAAGGGCCAGTGGTCAGTTGGTACACGGGCCCAATGGTCAGTTGGTACAAGGCCCAGTGGTCAGTTGGTACAAGGGCCCAGTGGTCAGTTGGTACAAGGGCCCAGTGGTCAGTTGGTACAAGGGCCAGTGGTCAGTTGGTACAAGGCCCAGTGGTCAGTTGGTACAAGGGCCCAGTGAGTCAGTTGGTACAAGGGCCCAGTGGTCAGTTGGTACAAGGGCCAGTGGTCAGTTGGTACACGGGCCCAGTGGTCAGTTGGTACAAGGGCCCAGTGGTCAGTTGGTACAAGGGCCCAGTGGTCCATCTGGCCCTGTGGTCAGTTGGTACAAGGGCCCAGTGGTCAGTTGGTACAAGGCCCAGTGGTCAGTTGGTACAAGGGCCCAGTGGTCAGTTGGTACAAGGCCCAGTGGTCCATCTGGCCCTGTGGTCAGTTGGTACAAGGGCCCAGTGGTCAGTTGGTACAAGGGCCCAGTGGTCAGTTGGTACAAGGGCCCAGTGGTCAGTTGGTACAAGGGCCCAGTGGTCCATCTGGCCCTGTGGTCAGTTGGTACAAGGGCCCAGTGGTCCATCTGGCCCTGTGGTCAGTTGGTACAAGGGCCCAGTGGTCAGTTGGTACAAGGGCCCAGTGGTCAGTTGGTACAAGGGCCCAGTGGTCAGTTGGTACAGGGGCCCCGTGGTCCATCTGGCCCAGTGGTCAGTTGGTACAAGGGCCCAGTGGTCAGTTGGTACAGGGGCCCCGTGGTCCATCTGGCCCAGTGGTCAGTTGGTACAAGGGCCCAGTGGTCAGTTGGTACATGGGCCCTGTGGTCAGTTGGTACAAGGGCCCAGTGGTCAGTTGGTACAAGGGCCCAGTGGTCAGTTGGTACAAGGGCCCAGTGGTCAGTTGGTACAAGGACCCAGTGGTCAGTTGGTGATTGGGCCCAGTGGTCAGTTGGTACAAGGGCCCAGTGGTCAGTTGGTACAAGGGCCCTGTGGTCAGTTGGTACAAGGGCCCAGTGGTCAGTTGGTACAAGGGCCCAGTGGTCAGTTGGTACAAGGGCCCAGTGGTCAGTTGGTACAAGGACCCAGTGGTCAGTTGGTGATTGGGCCCAGTGGTCAGTTGGTACAAGGGCCCAGTGGTCAGTTGGTACAAGGACCCAGTGGTCAGTTGGTACATCTGGCCCAGTGGTCAGTTGGTACAAGGCCCAGTGGTCAGTTGGTACAAGGGCCTAGTGGTCAGTTGGTACAAGGGCCCAGTGGTCAGTTGGTACAAGGGCCCAGTGGTCAGTTGGTACAAGGGCCCAGTGGTCAGTTGGTACAAGGGCCCAGTGGTCAGTTGGTACAAGGGCCCAGTGGTCAGTTGGTACAAGGCCCAGTGGTCAGTTGGTACATCTGGCCCTGTGGTCCATCTGGCCCAGTGGTCAGTTGGTACAAGGGCCTAGTGGTCCATCTGGCCCAGTGGTCAGTTGGTACAAGGGCCCAGTGGTCAGTTGGTACATCTGGCCCTGTGGTCCATCTGGCCCAGTGGTCAGTTGGTACAAGGGCCCAGTGGTCCATCTGGCCCAGTGGTCAGTTGGTACAAGGGCCCAGTGGTCAGTTGGTACAAGGGCCTAGTGGTCCATCTGGCCCTGTGGTCAGTTGGTACAAGGGCCTAGTGGTCAGTTGGTACAAGGACCCAGTGGTCAGTTGGTACAAGGGCCCAGTGGTCAGTTGGTACAAGGGCCCAGTGGTCAGTTGGTACAAGGGCCCAGTGGTCAGTTGGTACAAGGACCCTGTGGTCCATCTGGCCCTGTGGTCAGTTGGTACAAGGGCCCAGTGGTCAGTTGGTACAAGGGCCCAGGGGTCAGTTGGTACAAGGGCCCAGTGGTCAGTTGGTACAAGGGCCCAGTGGTCCATCTGGCCCAGTGGTCAGTTGGTACAAGGGCCCAGTGGTCAGTTGGTACAAGGGCCCAGTGGTCAGTTGGTACAAGGGCCCAGTGGTCAGTTGGTACAAGGGCCCAGTGGTCAGTTGGTACAAGGGCCCAGTGGTCAGTTGGTACAAGGGCCCAGTGGTCAGTTGGTACAAGGGCCCAGTGGTCAGTTGGTACAAGGGCCCAGTGGTCCATCTGGCCCAGTGGTCAGTTGGTACAAGGGCCCAGTGGTCAGTTGGTACAAGGGCCCAGTGGTCCATCTGGCCCAGTGGTCAGTTGGTACAAGGGCCCAGTGGTCCATCTGGCCCAGTGGTCAGTTGGTACAAGGGCCCAGTTTTCAGTTGGTACAAGGGCCCAGTTTTCAGTTGGTACAAGGGCCCAGTTTTCAGTTGGTACAAGGGCCCAGTGGTCCATCTGGCCCAGTGGTCAGTTGGTACAAGGGCCCAGTGGTCAGTTGGTACAAGGGCCCAGTGGTCAGTTGGTACAAGGGCCCAGTGGTCAGTTGGTACAAGGGCCCAGTGGTCAGTTGGTACAAGGGCCCAGTGGTCAGTTGGTACAGGGGCCCAGTGGTCAGTTGGTACAAGGGCCCAGTGGTCAGTTGGTACAAGGGCCCAGTCGTCAGTTGGTACAAGGGCCCTGTGGTCAGTTGGTACAAGGGCCCAGTGGTCCATCTGGCCCTGTCGTCAGTTGGTACAAGGGCCCAGTGGTCAGTTGGTACAAGGGCCCAGTGGTCCATCTGGCCCAGTGGTCAGTTGGTACAAGGGCCCAGTGGTCCATCTGGCCCAGTGGTCAGTTGGTACAAGGGCCCAGTTTTCAGTTGGTACAAGGGCCCAGTTTTCAGTTGGTACAAGGGCCCAGTTTTCAGTTGGTACAAGGGCCCAGTGGTCCATCTGGCCCAGTGGTCAGTTGGTACAAGGGCCCAGTGGTCAGTTGGTACAAGGGCCCAGTGGTCAGTTGGTACATGGCCCAGTGGTCAGTTGGTACAAGGGCCTAGTGGTCAGTTGGTACAAGGGCCCAGTGGTCAGTTGGTACAAGGGCCCAGTGGTCAGTTGGTACAAGGGCCCAGTGGTCAGTTGGTACAAGGGCCCAGTGGTCCATCTGGCCCAGTGGTCAGTTGGTACAAGGGCCCAGTGGTCAGTTGGTACAAGGGCCCAGTGGTCAGTTGGTACAAGGGCCCAGTGGTCCATCTGGCCCAGTGGTCAGTTGGTACAAGGGCCCAGTGGTCAAATAGTGCGTGGGGTCAGTGGTCAATTGGTACAAGGGCCCAGTGGTCAGTTGGTACAAGGGCCCAGTGGTCAGTTGGTACAAGGGCCCAGTGGTCAGTTGGTACAAGGGCCCAGTGGTCAGTTGGTACAAGGGCCCAGTGGTCAGTTGGTACAAGGGCCCAGTGGTCAGTTGGTACAAGGGCCCAGTGGTCAGTTGGTACAAGGGCCCAGTGGTCAGTTGGTACAAGGGCCCAGTGGTCCATCTGGCCCAGTGGTCAGTTGGTACAAGGGCCCAGTGGTCAGTTGGTACAAGGGCCCAGTGGTCCATCTGGCCCAGTGGTCAGTTGGTACAAGGGCCCAGTGGTCCATCTGGCCCAGTGGTCAGTTGGTACAAGGGCCCAGTTTTCAGTTGGTACAAGGGCCCAGTTTTCAGTTGGTACAAGGGCCCAGTTTTCAGTTGGTACAAGGGCCCAGTGGTCCATCTGGCCCAGTGGTCAGTTGGTACAAGGGCCCAGTGGTCAGTTGGTACAAGGGCCCAGTGGTCAGTTGGTACAAGGGCCCAGTGGTCAGTTGGTACAAGGGCCCAGTGGTCAGTTGGTACAAGGGCCCAGTGGTCAGTTGGTACAGGGGCCCAGTGGTCAGTTGGTACAAGGGCCCAGTGGTCAGTTGGTACAAGGGCCCAGTGGTCAGTTGGTACAAGGACCCAGTGGTCAGTTGGTGATTGGGCCCAGTGGTCAGTTGGTACAAGGGCCCAGTGGTCAGTTGGTACAAGGGCCCTGTGGTCAGTTGGTACAAGGGCCCAGTGGTCAAATAGTGCGTGGGGTCAGTGGTCAGTTGGTACAAGGGCCCAGTGGTCAGTTGGTACAAGGGCCCAGTGGTCAGTTGGTACAAGGGCCCAGTGGTCAGTTGGTACAAGGGCCCAGTGGTCAGTTGGTACAAGGGCCCAGTGGTCAGTTGGTACAAGGGCCCAGTGGTCCATCTGGCCCTGTCGTCAGTTGGTACAAGGGCCCAGTGGTCAGTTGGTACAAGGGCCCAGTGGTCCATCTGGCCCAGTGGTCAGTTGGTACAAGGGCCCAGTGGTCCATCTGGCCCAGTGGTCAGTTGGTACAAGGGCCCAGTTTTCAGTTGGTACAAGGGCCCAGTTTTCAGTTGGTACAAGGGCCCAGTTTTCAGTTGGTACAAGGGCCCAGTGGTCCATCTGGCCCAGTGGTCAGTTGGTACAAGGGCCCAGTGGTCAGTTGGTACAAGGGCCCAGTGGTCAGTTGGTACATGGCCCAGTGGTCAGTTGGTACAAGGGCCTAGTGGTCAGTTGGTACAAGGGCCCAGTGGTCCATCTGGCCCAGTGGTCAGTTGGTACAAGGGCCCAGTGGTCAGTTGGTACATGGCCCAGTGGTCAGTTGGTACAAGGGCCTAGTGGTCAGTTGGTACAAGGGCCCAGTGGTCCATCTGGCCCAGTGGTCAGTTGGTACAAGGGCCCAGTGGTCAGTTGGTACAAGGGCCCAGTGGTCAGTTGGTACAAGGGCCCAGTGGTCCATCTGGCCCAGTGGTCAGTTGGTACAAGGGCCCAGTGGTCAAATAGTGCGTGGGGTCAGTGGTCAGTTGGTACAAGGGCCCAGTGGTCAGTTGGTACAAGGGCCCAGTGGTCAGTTGGTACAAGGGCCCAGTGGTCAGTTGGTACAAGGGCCCAGTGGTCAGTTGGTACAAGGGCCCAGTGGTCAGTTGGTACAAGGGCCCAGTGGTCAAATAGTGCGTGGGGTCAGTGGTCAGTTGGTACAAGGGCCCAGTGGTCAGTTGGTACAAGGGCCCAGTGGTCAGTTGGTACAAGGGCCCAGTGGTCAGTTGGTACAAGGGCCCAGTGGTCAGTTGGTACAAGGGCCCAGTGGTCAGTTGGTACAAGGGCCCAGTGGTCAGTTGGTACAAGGGCCCTGTGGTCAGTTGGTACAAGGGCCCAGTGGTCAGTTGGTACAAGGGCCCAGTGGTCAGTTGGTACAAGGGCCCAGTGGTCAGTTGGTACAAGGGCCCAGTGGTCAGTTGGTACAAGGGCCCAGTGGTCAGTTGGTACAAGGGCCCAGTGGTCAAATAGTGCGTGGGGTCAGTGGTCAATTGGTCGAAGAAGATTGTGCAACCTGTGCAGTTTCTAGCTTCCGAGTCATCGGAAGGCAGAAGCTATTTATAGCAGCGACATGTGATGGGTGTATGACAGATATGATGTATGTGATCATGTGACAGATGATGTATGTGATGGTCGGGATGGTTTACATCATACAACCAGCAACCTGCATCTCTAGCACGACATGCAGGCTGACCTTGACCTCATCTGTAGCACGATATGCAGGCTGACCTTGACCTCATCTGTAGCACGACATGCAGGCTGACCTTGACCTCATCTGTAGCACGACATGCAGGCTGACCTTGACCTCAGTGATTTCATGCTAGAACCAGCGGGCATTCATTGACACACATTCAGGGGGCTAAGACTTGACACACATTCCGGGAGCTAAGACGTTATAGACACTCACAGAGCTTAGACTTCATAGCCATTCAGGGGGCTAAGACTTGATAGCCATTCCGGGAGCTAAGACTTGATAGCCATTCCGGGAGCTAAGACTTGATAGCCATTCAGGGGGCTAAGACTTGATAGCCATTCAGGGGGCTAAGACTTGACACACATTCCGGGAGCTAAGACTTGACACACATTCCGGGAGCTAAGACTTGATAGCCATTCCGGGAGCTAAGACGTTATAGACACTCACAGAGCTTAGACTTCATAGCCATTCCGGGAGCTAAGACTTGATAGACACTCACAGAGCTTAGACATCATAGCCATTCCGGGAGCTAAGACTTGATAACCATTCCGGGAGCTAAGACTTGATAGCCATTCCGGGAGCTAAGACTTGATAGCAATTCAGGGGGCTAAGACGTGATAGCCATTCCGGGAGCTAAGACTTGATAGCCATTCAGGGAGCTAAGACTTGATAGCTATTCCGGGAGCTAAGACTTTATAGGCATGCACACAGCTAAGACGTGATGGACACACATAGCTAAGACGTGATAGACATTGCAGTAGCTAAGTCTCGATAGACACTTACAGAGCTAAAACTTTTTACTCATAGCGGGAGCTAAGACTTTTGGCAGACATTCAAAGACTTTTGGCATACATTAGTTGGGCTAAGAGCTCTCCCTCACACACTCACTGAAAGACAAACACAAGAACAACCCAACTGTTCGGTGGACTACATCTAAAAAATCTGATGCTAATTTTTTTTTTACTTCTAGGTGTTACGTTTTGTTGTTACTAAAATAGGCGCATCAAAAAGTGAAACATTTGAAGACCTCTAAACCCACATTTCAGTTTATGATGTATCTCCCCCACCCCCCTGCCCTCTCCCTGTGGGGAGAATCCCTTATGTCAGCGTGTCTGACCTAGGGACATCATAAATATTTTTGACGTGAATTTTGTGTGCAGGTTTAGCCTGTCATCGAAACGTCCCCGTTGACAAATAGACCACTTAGGCTATGTTTCGTGTTTGTGTTTTTTGTTTTATGTTGAAAGACGGGCGATTCAAGTTGTCGCCTCTGTTTGTTGACTGATGGTTTAACACCCCGGCACTTGATGGGGCGGTTCTCAAAGTCTCGCTCGGGGCCCATGGAATGAGGGTAGCCTGTAAGACAACTGGACCTAGGGTATCCTGTAGCTGGACCTAGGGTAGCCTGTAGCTGGACCTAGGGTAGCCTGTAGCTGGACCTAGGGTAGCCTGTAGGACAACTGGACCTAGGGTAGCCTGTAGCTGGACCTAGGGTAGCCTGTAGGACAACTGGACCTAGGGTAGCCTGTAGGACAACTGTACCTAGGGTAGCCTGTATGACAACTGGACCTAGGGTAGCCTGTAGGACAACTGGACCTAGGGTAGCCTGTAGGACAACTGGACCTAGGGTAGCCTGTAGGACAACTGGACCTAGGGTAGCCTGTAGCTGGACCTAGGGTAGCCTGTAGCTGGACCTAGGGTAGCCTGTAGGACAACTGTACCTAGGGTAGCCTGTAGCTGGACCTAGGGTAGCCTGTAGGACAACTGGACCTAGGGTAGCCTGTATGACAACTGGACCTAGGGTAGCCTGTAGGACAACTGGACCTAGGGTAGCCTGTAGCACTACTGTAGCCTGGTTATTTTGCTCCCTCCCCAGCTTGCATTCCAGAAGAAAGTCCTGAAGGCTATGACAGACCACCTGTGTCAGCAGACCACAGCTGCACCACCACAACCGTCTCACCCACAACCACAGCCAACCACAATACCCTCCCCCTTCTCTTCATCCATGTCTGTGACATCATCACAGTTATCACCCAAGTCACATGACATGAAGCACAACATAGCAATAGTAAGTCTCCCTACTAGTCTGTCTTTATAAGCTTAATATTTTGTGTTTCTGTTTGAATCGGCTGTTGTTCATTTGCTATAATTTGTTTTAAACATAAATAAAAAATTAGAAATGAATTACAGTGAGTTATTTTTTCTAAAGCAATACAAATTTGACACTGATAAATTGATGATAAATTTGATTGGACCATTTTTGCAATACAAATTTGACACTGATAAATTGTTGATAAATTTGATTTGACCATTTTTGCAGTCATCTTTAATGTCGAAGCCCTCCATGATCAACCCGTTCACCGGAACGTTCCTGCCCCCTGTCTCAATGGTCCCCAGCCCCATCATGCACCGCCCCCCTCCCATGGTCAGCACCCCAGTCACCCACCACACCTCCTCGTCTCTTCCACCCACCCCCAGCAGTGGGGGAGGGAGCAGTCGGGGTGGGGGTGATGGGGGAGGTCCAGTCAGGAGGAGAGTCTCAGATAAATGCAATCTTCCAATTTCTGCAGGTAATTTTTTTGCTAGATTTCTGCAGGTAATTTTTTGGGTAGATTTCTGCAGGTAATTTTTTGGGTAGATTTCTGCAGGTAATTTTTTGGGTAGATATCTGCAGGTAAATTTTTTGGTAGATTTCTGCAGGTAATATTTTTGGTAGATTTCTGCAGGTAATTTTTTTTTAGATTTCTGCAGGTAATATTTTTTACCTGTAATAGAATTACCTTAATACCTAGTTCTGAGAAAACATTTTTGTTGAAGTTGTGGAGTCATCTAGTGTCAAATATTTTCAGAAATCCAAAGAAACCGTGAGTTTTACAAAAACACAGACGTCAGACCACCGTTCACATATGCCTCTTTGATACGACAGGTAATTAGCTGATTAATTTTTATTTTTTTTAATTTCAATTTTTGTAAACTAATTAATTTTATATCATCAACACACATTTTTCATTGTAAGAAAAATCTTGTCGTCAAGTTGTTTCTGAAAGTAATTTATTCAGATAGAAAGTAAACAATTGTTACTTTGTGACCTTTGACTTGTGACCTTTGACCTAAACAATTGACCTTTGATTATTTCCCCTAGGCTATCATTGAGTCGCCCCACAGGCAGCTAACGCTGAATGAAATCTACCAATGGTTCCAGAACACATTTGCATATTTCCGACGAAACGAGGCCACATGGAAGGTACACCCAAAGTTTAATTTTTTTAATTAAATCATAAATAATTAGTTTTTAGTAAGTTAAAAATTTAAACTAGTTTGACCTTGAAATTTGGAATATTTAACATGAAGAAAGGCGAGGTTCTTCACCGAGAAAACATTTTGATGTTGTGTTCTGGTTCTAACAAGTGGTCTGCTGTAACCTTTCAGTGTGCATGACATCACATGTCACCCCCCCCCCCCCCCCCCCCACATCATGACTTCACACGTCACACCCCCCCCCCCCCCCCACATCATGACTTCACACATCACCCCCCCCACCATCATGACATCACGTCACCCCCCCCCCCCCCTTTATCATGATACCACATGACACTTGTCACTCCCATCCGCCAATATGATATGACACATGTGACATTGTCATCCCCCAATCCCATCATATCACATGTGTCATATTTCCCCCCCCCCCCCCCATTTTATGTCTTGCTTTTGTTTTTAATTTTATTTTTCAAATAATTTTTTTTTTAATTTAAAATTAAAATACCTAGTAGATATAGAAATACTGCAACCAAATCAGAAAGAAAAGTCAGATCTGATTGAATTATTTTGTTTCTGAAATGTGATTTGGGTTTTTGAATTCCTGGCATGATTGAAGTCATTGGTTGAGCAACCATTTCAGATCACATGGTTATTCTTGATATTTTTTTGTCTTTGTTAGAATGCTGTGCGTCACAACCTAAGTCTGCACAAATGTTTTATGCGCGTCGAGAACGTAAAGGGGGCAGTCTGGACAGTGGACGAGGTAGAATTCTACAAACGTCGACCGCAAAAACTGGGGGCAGGCCCTGGGTAGGTGCCTTAGCATAGTCTCTCATGGTCTCATCTAAAACAAACCCTTGCATTCATTTATGGTGGGTGGGGGGTTGTTGGCTGAAACTTTGGATTAGTTTTTGGTGGATAGGGGGTTGGGGGGGGGGGGGTTGTTGGCTGAAAAGAAATATTATCAGTCCAAACTTTGACCAACTTTATCAAAGGATTGTTTTTTGATGAGTTGACCATTCCTCACCACCTTGCTCTCAGTAGCTAAATGTAGATGCTTGCTGTTTGCTTGTTCACTGAAATGTTGCTTTACACAAATATTTCTTACTAACCTTGTAGCCAATTCTATGTAGCCTACTAATTTATTGATACAGTTCAATGTAGCACACTATATTATTGTATCAAATTATTTTAGCATTTCTTTATTTTTTTTAGCTCATTTATTTCACCTGTTGTGTGGTCCAATAGTTGTAGCATTGGAAGTTTTGTTAGCACAATCAACTAATGATGCATGCTCACAACATTTGGTTTATTTTTTCTTTGGTGTTGTCTGTTTTCTTGCTTGACCGTACATGTTTGGCCATCTATTTTTGGCCACTCCTCTCTGCATGATCTGTCACCAAACAATTTTTTTTTTATTATTTGGACCTCAGTGAAGAACTTCTGCCTTTCATTGACTTAAAGTGTAGAAAATTTGGTTTCAAACATGCTTTCAGAAACATAGAAATTCCATGAGTAACACTGCCTGAAAATTTGGATGGCAATATTTGAATAGAGAACTGGATAAGTCAATGCCATGTTCCAATGTCCCCAGAATGCTATTCGGACCAACCTATCTTTACACAGATGTTTTGTAAGATACGAAGATGACTTTGGATCTTTTTGGATGGTGGATGACTTTGAATATATCTGCCGTCGACAATTTAGTCGGGGTAGGCCAAGGTCAGGTTTATTTTCTCTTGAGTTTTCTGTTTGCTACATCAGGGGAGGGGGGGGGGGAGGGGGAGGTAGGTCATAGGTCAGTTTATTTTCTGAGATCACTGAGGAGGTAGAAAGTAATTTTAAAATATCTAGAAGGTTTTCCAGCATGTCAAGATATAAAGGGTTTAAAGAAGGGTTTAAGGAAGGGTTTAAAGCACCAAATGATTCACCAAGACATCTGGGTGTGGTGTTAAAAGTTGTTTCATTTATTTCAGCCTTGAAAAGATAAGATACAATAAAAGTTTAACGACACTTTTTGCCATGGTTGAATGATTTGAGCTCAAACTGCATCTCTGTGATGTGGCCTGCAGTCAAATATTTCTTCAAGTAGCCTTGATTTAGACATGATTTAACCAAGGTTCAACCATGATTTAACCAAGGTTCAACCATGATTTAACCACGGTTCATCCATGATTTAACCAAGGTTCAACCATGATTTAACCAAGGTTCAACCATGATTTAACCACGGTTCAACCATGATTTAACCACGGTTCAATCATGATTTAACCAAGGTTCAACCATGATTTAACCACGGTTCAACCATGATTTAACCAAGGTTCAACCTTGATTTAACCAAGGTTCAACCTTGATTTAACCACGGTTCAATCATGATTTAACCAAGGTTCATCCATGATTTAACTACGATTTAACCAAGGTTTAATCATGATTTAACCATGGTTGTTGACACACTATCTTTTGTCAATAACTGACTGTTATGCACCTAGTGACCTCATTGATCCCCCCCCCCCCCCACCAAGAAAAGCTCCAGGTATTGGTTGGTGCTATTTTTAGAAATCTTTACCTAATGGTTAGTCTTCTGTGTAACCTTTGTGTTCCATCTGTAAAGGTCAGAGTTGAAAGGTGACTCAGTCAAGTGTGACCATGTTAAGTGATGTGACAGACAGTTTAGCACCAGCCTTGTAGATTGTCTTGTAACAAGCAGATCTCTGTTCATTGATTGATGCAGGTTGATTGGTTTCATCAGTTCAGGATTCACTTCTGCTTCATTACTGACAGCTTCAACACAATCATTGCCTTGTTTAAAAAAATGTTTAATTTTAACACATTTTCACCTCACACGACCACCATTACAGGCCATTTCTTTCAGACATAGGGAAAAATAATATTTTAAATCCCAATATAAGTCGGGGTCTATTTTATTAAGTTTTTTTTTACATAAGCTTTGATAGAGGTTATGTAAATTGTTATCAGAGAAACAGATTGTCTTAAGGCCTAGCACCTGACGACCCCTTGTTCCATCAGTACTTAAAATTAAAGCCCCTCTTATCAAAGCTGTAAAAAAATTTGTTAGAGTAGTCTCCCTTGAGCACTTGGTTCTCCCCCCCCCTTCTGTCACAAAGGCAGGTGACAATTTGCCAGCAGGTCAGACCTAACCAGGACCTTTCACTGCCTGCAGGAGGCAATCAATAATCTTCAACTTAATTACTTAATTAGCAGCGTGCGCAGACAATCACATGCTGTATGACTGGCATGCTTCACAGAATGGCGCCTGTTGTTCTTGTCAGTTCTGCATGAATGCACCTAGCTCCATCAAACAGTCAGACAAGCTTGAAGTAACTTGGTCTGAACACAATTTGAGCAGAAGTTAAAATGCCAGTTGGCCATTGATGAATAAATAATCACAGTACAATGTACAGCTGTAGCCAGTATCAGTCACCTCTTACATCAGTTTTATCAATGAACAATTGGCTAAAGAAATGAATAAACTTCACATTATTCACATTTTTATAAATTTATATTTTAACCAATGTTCCCCCTCCCTCCCCAGGATATTGTGAGCCCCCCACTCTACTGGAAAAAATGTCTGAAAGAAACTCTGCCTGCAATACTAAACTTTAAAACATGATAACAGTTTTTAAAAATAGCCTTAATTTTCTCATAATGTATTAATAGCTCAGTGAAAGCGAGTAACCTCTAACCCATCGCTAGACATAATTGTAGCAAATATCAGCAGGCTCTGGCAGCTGTCAGGAACAATAATTCTTTAATTGTCCAATACTCTCTGCTGCTTGTAGAGTAACGTCCCCTGCCTGGTTTGTTGATTTTGTCATAACACTTAAGTTCTAACTGGTAATGACTTAAAGACCATTGACACAAATAATTACACCAGGGTTTACGTCTTGCTGGCAGCCAAAGGTTGTCTCCCATGTCACGTAATGACCCACCATTTAGCCCATCATCCATAATACAAAGTTTCCTGCGGGAAAGTGGGCACGATGCTTCTAGAATAGGTGCTGGTAATGGGAATCGTGAAAAGCTAATTTCTCGTAAATGTCTTTGTGATCTTTCTTTGTTGGTGATAAAAATAAATCATGTGTATCAATCATTTCCTCTGGCTGATAATTGTCAGCATTTACACAGAGATTTGACTGACACAATTTTCTAATCGTTGTCTTTGTGTTGGTTTTCTTCAAGGTACTTATTACTTTACTCAGAATGTTATAAATATTTATAACCTATTAGAAGATTATTGTTTTACTTTTGATTGAAATATATATATATATATATATATATATATATATATATATATATATAGCCTACATATATATTTATAACAATCCAACTGAATAAAAATATTACTGTATATAAATCTAACTATGTTTATAGATTTATATATTAATAGATACATAGATTTATATTAAATATATCTCTATAATTAGACATTGCTTTTTTCAAATGTTGATGCATGGCTTTGCTGTTAACTGCTGCACAATGTAAAAAAAAAATTATATCCAACATGAATTAATTGATCAGCTAATTAGCCTTGTTTTTTATGTATGATCACTTACAATATAATGAGGGGCTGTTTGATCTACTTTTGCTAAGATAATTAATGTCTCTAAACTTGAGTAGTGTTTGCACCACAGCGCTGACAGTTTCAAATCTTCTCTCCTCTAACAGCTCCATGAAAACTCCCACAATGTCAGACACTTCCCCCTACAACGAAACACTCATCAGGGTGAGTCAGCTCATTAATTATTACTTTTATTGATAGTTTGTGGATGGTGATTTGAATTCATTTAAATTTATTTTCTCATCGTTGTACGATATCCGGAATGTGTTGAATGCCATCCTATTATCTGAAACGCTATTCTATCATCTGGATTATGCTATCCTATTATCCTAATGTCACCATCCTATTATCCTAATGTCACCATCCTATTATCCTAATGTCACCATCCTATTATCCCAATGTTGCCATCCTATTATCCCAATGTTGCCATCCTATTATCCTAATGTTACCATCCTATTATCCTAATGTCACCATCCTATTATCCTAATGTAACCATCCTATTATCCTAATGTTGCCATCCTATTATCCCAATGTTGCTATCCTATTATCCTAATGTTGTTTGCTGATGACCCAGGCTGCCATGAGTGACGTGGGATTCATGAAGCACAACTTGATGCCAGACCAGGAGAGTGCTCAGGATCTGTCCATGAAGTCATCCAGTCATGACCCTTTTGGGTAAGTCTTAGGGTTGGGTTAGGGTTGGGTTGGTGTTAGGGTTAGTGTTAGGGCTGGGTTAGGGTTGGGTTGGTGTTAGGGTTGGGTTAGGGTTAGGGTTGGGTTGGTGTTAGGGTTAGGGTTGGGTTTAGGGTTAGGGTTGGGTTATGGTTAGGTTAGAATAAGGGATTGGGTTAGGGGTGGATTAGTGTTAAGTCTTAGGGTTGGGTTAGGGTTGGATTAGAGCTAGGGTTGGATTAGTGTTAGGGTAAGTGTTAGGGTTGGGTTGAGTTAGGGTTGGGTTAGTGTTAGGGTGGGTTGGTGTTAGTTTTGAGCTAGGGTTGGGTTGTTGTCAGGGTTGGGTTAGTGCAGCTTTTCTGGTTAATTTAACTTCACATCTTACGTGTTTATAAACATTTGTGTGTGTGTTAGATTCTGGTTCTGTAAATCTATATTTAGTCTGTCATGTCAATTGATGTCAATTTTTCCCTCGCAGGAGATTTGATGAGATGATGATGATCAAACAGGAAGTCCATGAGAACTATTCAGACCTGGACCTGAGCACCTCACAAAACATGCCAAGCTCACGCCATCACTCCCCCTCCCCCCAGCACCCTGACATTCATGACCCCCAGGGTATTGAGGTCAAAGGTGGCCAGATGGTGATGGTGCCAGATTTGATGGACCACTACGACAGCAGGGAGGACCTGGATGCTGATGAAGAGGAGGAGCGACGAATTGAGGAGGAGAGGAGGATGGAGGAGGAAGAGAGGAGATTGGAGGAGGAGGAGAGGAGGATGGAGCTGGCAGAGAGAGATCCCCAGAGACACGTGGAGCGTGGAGAGAGCCGCTACAGCGAGGATGACGAGCACGCTGAAACTGAGGCGGAGAGGGAGCTGAGAGCAGTTCAGGAGAAGCTGGAGAGGGAGCAGGCGGAGGACATGAAGCGGGAGAGGTCAGCTCTGACCAATGGCTACAGGTCACGACCTGACAATGGTCTCCAGCAGGGCTACGGGTCCATGCCGTTTTCTCCCCTCAACTCCTCGGAGCACGAGCACCATTTTCACAGCCGTGCTACAGCTGAGGAGGTGCGGAGCCAGGACCTCGGGGGGGTCAGCCAAGACTCGCCATTCTACAGCTCAGGGAAGCAACTTCAAAGATCAGCTGAGACTGAGGAGGTGGAGGACATGAAAGCACCCAGTCCAACCACCAGACCTTTCATCGTCCAGTTGCCAGACTCTGGCCCTGTGTTCCCCACCCCTCACCGCCAACCTCTCCTGCCCAGTGTGTCCCCCGTGGATGCCCAAATGTCCAGCGTCATGTAACAAATGTCCGGCGTCATGTCAACCACCATCCCGAACAATGAGTTGACCAGTGATCTCACTAAACAGGAGTGGCATGTCACATCCAGAATATGTCATGTCTCACTCACTTTTGTGACATTTTATGTCACACTTGTTTTCATGACATTTCTAAAGCCTGGCTTATAACTAATGGTCATGTGACATGTCACATATCCTCAACAAACTGCTTGACTTGCAGTTGACCTTTTATACATGACATGCCAGAATATGACACGTCATTATGTTGTATTTTATGGGACAGACTTTCTGATGGAAGACTGTACTCATCCCATCCAACAGATTTCAGACAATATTTGATGGACTACTTAAACCTACAAGCAGCTGTGTCATGCTGGACGGCTGATGTTGGATGGCTGATGTTGGACGTCTGATGTTGGATGTGTGATGCTTGACGACAGTGAAAGCTGGCTTGTTCAATCTCTCAGGACTTTGATAAATGTGGTTTGATTTTATGCCATGAGACGTTTTCTTTTCCTTGGATCTAGTTACACAGCTGGGGATGTAAACGTTGGACTGTGGTGTGATTGGACTTGGCTAGCTGCATCATGGCTAGCTGCATCATGGCTAGCTGCATCATGGCTAGCTGTAATTTCTCTCCTCCCCCCCCCCCCCCCCCCCCCATATGTAAAAACCAAATCTTGTCTCACATGATGCAGTTTTCTTGAAAATTTTAAATGTTTAAATTTGATTATTATACTACAGATTGCATGTTAGAAATATATTGTACATCTCTATTTAAAAAACCAAATGCCTGTTATATCAGATAGATAGTTTTTAATTGAAAGCACGAGTTTTTTTTTTGTGACTAGTCAGTATTGAAATCAAAGATACATTGACCAGATACATTGAGCAGATACATTGACCAGATACATTGAGCAGAGTTCTAGAGATTTGTGGCAGCCTACCAAAGATTTGTCGCGGTGCTGATGAAATCTTTCAAACATATTTCATGAGCATTAGTTTCATGTTTTCCTAGCCATTGTTTTTACTCAAACCAACTTGTTGATTTGATCCAATGTTGAGATTTTGAAACTTTGAACTGTTACTTGAAGTGTATTGAAGATAAGGTATTATTTATTGGAAAAACTAATTTGACAATCTAGATTGTATTTACACTCGTGGGTCAAGGCAGGTGGGGGTGGTGGAGTTGGCGTGGTGAGAGAAGCTGTGATGGTGTCATCCATCAAGGTGTTGTTGGGAGGGTAGGTCAGATGGTGACACCAATCTGATGGTGACACCAATCTGATGGTGACACCAATCTGATGGTGACACACCAGTCTGTAGGGGACACACCAGTCCATCTGTCTCTGTTTTTACATGCATCTCTGAAAGATAAGAAGATTGGTTGTGAAGATATTTGATAAAAAATTTTGTATTTTAAATTGTTTCAACTTTGATGTTTCTCTGTTAGCTGTCTTTTTTTTTTTTAATTTTTGCGTTGAAACCAGATTTTTGTTTTACTTAATAAAAAAATGTGGAGCTGATTAAAAACATTGATTCATGTCTTAATGACTGATAGCTGTAATTGAGAAAATTTAATTGAAAGCCCTTTAGTTTGTTGTATGACTTATATTTGTATGTCATTTCATATTTATTAGAATTGTATGACTTATATTTGTATGTGATTTCATCTTTGTTAGAATTGTATGACTTGCATTTGTATGTGATTTCATATTTGTTAGAATTGTATGACTTATATTTGTAGTGTTCACACTCATCTTAAATTTGCCACTTGCATAATGCTTTATGTTAGACTTTATGTCAGACTTTATGTCAGACTTTGTGTCAGACTTTATGTCAGACTTTATGTCAGACTTTGTGTCAGACTTTATGTCAGACTGCTGTAATAGCTGGTCTGTCAACTTGCGTCTGTGCATTTATTTCCCCTCGGAGTAATACAAAAATTGCACAAACTACATTTTTTGTTTCAAGTAAAAAAGAAAACAGTCTTGTTATTTCAAACCAATCTTTTTTAGATTGCTTTTTATGGTTTGTCTCACTTCAACTATTAACAGAGTTAATTTAGAGTTTTGATATTTTTGAGTTTGAATGTTTTTTTCTGCTTGTCTTTGATTTATTTCCCAACTTTAGAAAACCACTGGCCAGATTTTTTGGCCAGGGATTTATTTTGTGAGCTGTAGCTTTGTGCCAGATGACATTCCTCTGTAGTCAGCTCAACAGATTGGTGCTGGTTTAGCTGTTTGAAATTTGATTGGGTGTTTTATGGTTTTTAGCTGGACATTATTTGTATCTGCTGAAACTGTTTATCATAAACAAAATTTAAAATGGTGGTGCTGGGGGGTGGAGGGGGGGGGGGGGGTGGTGATAGGACAGGAATTAACCAAAAGCTTACAGTTTCAGCCTAAATGAAATATTTTGAGTGTAAATATCAGTAGTTTGGAATGAGCTATAATTGATTTTATTACTGTTAAAACCCCTCAATCAAATATAAATTATACTGAGTAAAAAAGCAATACATTTTTAACAAAAGTAGTTTGTACTTTAAGATTGGTGAAATATTTTGTAAATATGCAAATTTGTGTCTATTGTGTCTATGTAATCCAGATAATGATGTCTTGTAAAAAGGTTTTTTACATCTTTGAGTAAATATCAAGGGGCACAACTTATGATCTCATAGCTGTGTTTGGTCTCTTGGACTGAGTAATGTCCCTTCTGCTGTGTATAATAAATGGTATCATGCTTGTGTTTTTATAGACTTACAGATTGATGGCGATTTAACATTTATTCTCTGACATAAGTGGGACCAAAATCTTTTAAAATGTGACAGTTTTAACACGACAGAGGGAAATAACACAAAACTGAGTTATGAGACATTGTTACAAAATTTGTTGTTTTAATAAAAAACATAAGATCTTTGAGATAAGACACAATAATGTTTTCAGCATAATAGTACCAATGTGATTTGTAGTGCTTAAGACCATTTACAAGAGGTGGTACAAGAAAGATCTAGAAGAGTAAGACTGTAGAGGTCATAGTTCAAGTGACTTCTCTGTCAGCAATGGTGTCTCAGCCCACCTCATCCCACCCACAAGACAGCTAGAAATTCCTCACAGTGTGCATTGTTTGTGTATCAACATTTGTTCTCATGGTGCATGGGTATTTAACAAAAGATTATTTAAATTACAAACTTAGTTTTATATTGTGTAAACATACAAAATTATTTCATTGTAGAAAGCATGCGCTGTGCACACATATATTTATACATTTTAGAATGGAATAATTCCTGGCACCCAACTTATCTGTCAAGTCTGGATTCAAACTTTGATCTCTTGTCTAGCTCATTGTGCGCATTAATTAATGATAGTTAAACCATTGTACTTTAAATAGAAATGTAATGAATAGGACAGTCAGTAGATTAAAAACTAACTTATGGGTTCAACCCGTTTTTTACATGGGAATTCAATGACTAAGACAATCAATAAGTTGAAAGCTAATTTATGGGTTTACCCAATTTATTTGAAATAGAAATAAAATTACTAAAACAATCAAGAAATTAAAAAACTAATTTATGGTAAACTTGAGGAGGATAAGTTTTGTTTTGCTAATTGATGTGGATCATTAATGAGTTTTGTTTTTAAAACTTGACTGAGAACTCAGTGTTGACTTGCTTGTAAATAATTAAAGAGATCAAAATATCAGAAACGGCAATAAGAATAAACTATTTTAATGTTTTTTTAAATGATCACTTTGTAATTATTATAATAGTATGCTAATTAGATGACTTTGTTATTTGTAATGGTTCTCACATTTATTTACCGTCCTGTGTCTAATTTTCTTGACATGCATAATTGACCACACAATGCACCATTTAGACTTTCAGGGATTCTAATGTTTTTCTGTTCTTGTAGACATTCAAATTGGAGCAGCCCTGCTTGCTTGAGGGTCAAGGTCATTGGTCCATATTTTTGTTTACATTTGACAGAAAGTTTAGATTCAATGTTGTGCTACAGGGGGCTATGTTTTTATAGAACATCCCTCTGTGGTTGTTGTTTAAAAAATTTACCTTTTCATGTTGCTGAATTCATCAGTGGATTTTTTGTATACCAACATTGAAAGATAAAACTATACAAGCCTTACATAGATTCAGGGTTTCAGATGATGTAAGCTATTGCACACTCACAAATATACAATAAAATATCCTTTATATCAATTCTTTTATTTATAATTGGTTTAAATTGTAGCTCTAGAGAGTTAACTCTTTCTTGGCTGTCAGACTTGAACCATGTTTTGCTGTTGGTGTTTGTCAGTAGGTTGTCTGTAGATTATGTTGTTTTTAATTTGTAATTAAGGAACAAGATCTGATTTTTAAGAAAAATTTTGTCTTGTTGTTATGATAGTGCATATCACTGCAAAAATTTGTTTCAGTTTTTAATATTTGAAATACATGTACAAGTTTGAACAGGAATCTGAGTTGAAGTTTTTATGTTTCTGTTGTCTGAGTGCTGTCCCTAATTTGTTACACTTTATGAATTTTAACAAACAATGTTGACAAAACAATTTATTTTTTGGATATTTACATTTTTTTTTATTGTTTTTGAAACCACAACTTGTTAGTGCCATAATCATTCATAAAATGCTTTTTTTTCCAGTTCAATCTAAAAAAATGTTTTCATAACAGTGGTGTCGACAGGACATATTTCACTTTGTAACATGGGGTGACATGGGATATACATGTTGATAAAGTGTACAGATTGTGTACTTTCACTTTGTAACATAGGCCAACAATTCAAACAATGCATCAAAACTATCACACACCAACTAGAAATCTGTACATTTAGATCTAAGTAAATAATGATTTTAAGTTTTATCAGAAGTTTACATTGACTTAGTCATCATCTTTTCCTGTTTGTGCCCAAGACACATGGGGCAGATAAAGTAGAGTTAATCTGTTTCAATGGGCTCAACATACAGAGATCAATGTGGTCAGTACTATGCCCAGCAGTCTTAGTTTTTCTAATCTGAGTTAGGTACCCATCAAAACTGAGTGGACTCAGAGGGACTCATACTTGAAACAATGCATGGGTACCCATCAAAACTGAGTGGACTCAGAGGGACTCATACTTGAAACAATGCATGAACCGAGTCAACACCAGCAGAGGTTACTCATAGTTGGACAGCTGCTGTACACATGGATACCATTCTATACCAACAACACATCCTCAACACAAAACATCCACAGATTTGGAACATTTAAAAAAAATTATTTCACTAATTAAAAAAATGAATTTGACTAATTAAAAAATGAATTTCACTCATTAAAAAAAATTGATATCACTTATTTTAAAAAAAATAGCATCACTAATTAAAAAATTAAAATCACTAACTGTAGTTAAAGAAACCATTGAACAGGCTGTATAAGACTATGTGTGAAGTGTATTTAGAGACAGCTGCAACAACACATTCATTAACCCACTCACAAAGAACAGGCTGTATAATAGGCTGTGTGTGAACTGTATTTAGAGACAGCTGCATTCATTAACCCACTCACAAAGAACAGGCTGTATAATAGGCTGTGTGTGAGCAGCACTGATTACATTTTGAAGGGGGGCGGGTTAAACAGTAAGTAAAAATATATATTATCTTTTAGTGCATAAATTAAATTTGTAACGACACTGAACTTGGCTTTAAAATTTCAACAATAGCAAAAGCCATTTAAAGTAAAAATATAACCATGGTTTATCTTCAAATGGCAGTTATTTTATTTCATTTAATGTTTCTAATTTTTTGGAGTGTGGTTTAAGTATTGTGCAGAGCAGGACTTTCAACGAATTCTTGTAAATTAAACATTCATTAATGTGGTTTTTTTTAACCTGACCACACACAGCCTATCATAGGAAGATACTGCATGTCTTGTCATAATATTGGCACTGAATTTGTCATACATGAATTGTATAACTGACTTTTACAAATGGAATGCTCAACTGGTGATATGTGAATAATTTATCAACCAATCAAAATCTATTTTAATTTCATCTTACAGCTGAAGCACAACAAAAATTGATTATCAAATCACAGTTTCAAATGTTTTTAACATTGACATTAACCTGCCATCCACTTTTCATACAATTACACCAAACCAAACATTACAACATACCAATGCAAACCCAGTGAATAATTTCCCATTAATTTATCTAAATGTACACATCATAATCAAATTTTCACAACTATTTAAGTATCAGAAACCAATTTACATTTTACACCCAAATCAAGCAAGTAAACACAAAGTTGAAATAAAAACATCACACAGCAATAAAACATCACGCTCAGTAAAAGCATCACATTAAAACATGAAATGAAAGAAATCATCACCACACTAAAACAACCGTCCAAGTTGAAAGAAATCATAACCACACTAAACCAACCGTCCAAGTTGAAAGAAATCATCACCACACTAAACCAACCGTCCAAGTTGAAAGAAATCATCACCACACTAAACCAACCGTCCAAGTTGAAAGAAATCACCACCACACTAAACCAACCGTCCAAGTTGAAAGAAATCATCACCACACTAAACCAACCGTCCAAGTTGAAAGCCGGCCCACACGGCTAGGAGAGCTAGGCAGTTGCTTGTATTGATACAAATCTAGCAAAACCAAGTAGAGAAGCATTTTTGCCAGAGTACCAACCCAGCATGCAATGTAATAATACACTGACAACAGCTGGAGGTCAAGGAAATAACTGAAAGAAACACTAGGAGAATGACATGAGCAGACATTCAACACCCCAAATATAAAAAGTTTAAACATTAGCTATTCAAAAAATGTCAAAATAACTTTTAAATACTTTTAAAAAAATTAAAATAATGACAAAGGCCTAAATCCCAAGTTTCTATTGACAACAGTCACCATGACAACAGTCACCATGACAACAGTCACCATGACAACAGTCACCATAACAACAGTCACAAGTGTGACTGCTAAAACAAGTCAAAATTACCAGCAGCTAAAAATCCACCAGAGAATAAAAGAAAAGTAAAAAAATGTATTAAAAAAGTATTTGTTCATAGAAGGCTGTATAAAAAAAGGACCAAACTCACAAGAAAGTTTCATAAATAGTGTTTGGATGTAGTGATGTTGGGGTGAAGGTGAAGGTCATGACCCAGAGTTCATAGGTTGTAGCCTCTACACCAGGAAGACATCAGCAGTCAACAAGTGCTGAAATAAAATGCCACAGAGTTGCTCAACATCAACAAACCTCTCAACACAAACATCTTACATCATTACACTAGTGCTTACATCATTACACTAGTGCTTACATCATTACACTAGCGCTTACATGCTTACATCATTACACTATTGCTTACTTAAAAAACTTGAATGAGATTTAAGATATTGATTCTACACAAATGAATCAATAGAAGGGGTCATCCACTTATGAGGTCCACACAGAGGTGGGAGGGGCCCAATAAAATCATCATTTATGGTCGTGTAGACGTGGGGGGGAGGGGGGGGGTGTCAAACATCCATATGATGAAACAAACATCAAACTAGTATTCTACATGTTTAAAATTAAGATGACAGTTTGTGTATTTCTAAAAAAATCCTAATGTGTAAAGAAAGCATGGTCTTAAAAGCACATCACACCTCAGTCTAACACCCCTGTCAGAATTATCATTTTTTTTTTTATTTTCCAAAAATTACTGAGCTAGCTCAACGTTGAGTAGGTCTATTTTAATTTATATTGAAATGTTATAGATGAACAACAGCTTGAATTCACTTTCTAAAATTATTGCAAAAGCGTGTCATAACACTTCTGAAACCCTTTAAAGTGTGACGTCATTTTTGGACAACCCCACTGTTAACATTCAGGCATAATGGGTTAGGATTAGTATTATTACTTAATTAAAGATGTTATTGAAATAGTAGATTGGTTGCAAGTTTTGAGAGGTTGGCTAAATGTTTGAGGACAGCCACCTCAGGGGAGGGTATGCTGAAACTGGACATGTGTTTCCTGAGGGAGGGGCTTTATCCAAAATTTGTGTGAACACCATACCTGGATGACCACTAATGTGGAAGTTTGTTAGAAAGGGGAGATAAATAGATCAATGTGGATTGGTGATCTTGATTTTATCTCAAACTTTAACAGGAACATGCTAAAAATACATGGAGTATATGCATATAAAATGTCTTTGGCTTAGTTGAAAGATGTTCCAATTTGATGATCACCATTAATCAACAACAATACAAATTTAAAAACAAACCATACTAGCCGAGATCTGTATACATGAATGTTCCCAAGCAAGAAATCAAACATAAAAACCAAATTAAAGAAACCAAACCAGACGTGTAGACAGTTATGTGTTGAGCAGCTGTAGACCATGGCCAGTGTCTAGCTGCGCTGGGGGCAACAGCCGCATCTGCAGCCAGCGCAGCCAGCTGAGGAAACACCTGCAGCAGCAGAAGGGGGAGCCCAAGCTGGGCAGGTTGAGAACCTTCATCAGAGGCTTCATGATGGACGGGAAGGTCAGCCTCCAGTAGCTCTCCACATCCTCCCTGGTGGGCAGGTGGAAGGAGAAGTCTGACCAGTTGGACGAGACCCTGTAGCAGGCTCTCAGTGGCCTTGACCTTGTCGTCCAGTCAATGTCCACTTCCTGTCCGTTGTTAAACTGGACGTAGGCTTTAGTGAAGGAGCCAACTGTAGATTTGTCACCTGATTCAGCTGTCTCTGGTCTACTGATGTATCTGTAAGACAAGGCAAAGTCAAGTCAACAACACCCAACAACACAAGACCCAACAACACAGGACCCAACAACACAGGACCCAACAACACAACACCCAACAACACAGGACCCAACAACACAACAACACAGGACCCAACAACACAGGACCCAACAACACAGGACCCAACAACACAGGACCCAACAACACAGGACCCAACAACACAGGACCCAACAACACAGGACCCAACAACACAACACCCAACAACACAGGACCCAACAACACAGGACCCAACAACACAGGACCCAACAACACAGGACCTAACAACACAGGACCCAACAACACAGGACCCAACAACACAGGACCCAACAACACAGGACCCAACAACACAGGACCCAACAACACAGGACCCAACAACACAACACCCAACAACACAGGACCCAACAACACAGGACCCAACAACACAGGACCCAACAACACAGGACCCAACAACACAGGACCCAACAACACAGGACCCAACAACACAGGACCCAACAACACAGGACCCAACAACACAGGACCCAACAACACAGGACCCAACAACACAGGACCCAACAACACAGGACCCAACAACACAGGACCCAACAACACAACACCCAACAACACAGGACCCAACAACACAGGACCCAACAACACAGGACCCAACAACACAGGACCCAACAACACAGGACCCAACAACACAGGACCCAACAACACAGGACCCAACAACACAACAACACAGGACCCAACAACACAGGACCCAACAACACAGGACCCAACAACACAGGACCCAACAACACAACACCCAACAACACAACACCCAACAACACAGGACCCAACAACACAGGACCCAACAACACAGGACCCAACAACACAACAACACAGGACCCAACAACACAGGACCCAACAACACAGGACCCAACAACACAGGACCCAACAACACAACACCCAACAACACAACACCCAACAACACAGGACCCAACAACACAGGACCCAACAACACAACACCCAACAACACAGGACCCAACAACACAGGACCCAACAACACAGGACCCAACAACACAGGACCCAGCAACACAACACCCAACAACACAACACCCAACAACACAGGACCCAACAACACAGGACCCAACAACACAGGACCCAACAACACAGGACCCAACAACACAGGACCCAACAACACAGGACCCAACAACACAGGACCCAACAACACAGGACCCAACAACACAGGACCCAACAACACAGGACCCAACAACACAGGACCCAACAACACAGGACCCAACAACACAGGACCCAACAACACAGGACCCAACAACACAACACCCAACAACACAGGACCCAACAACACAGGACCCAACAACACAGGACCCAACAACACAACACCCAACAACACAGGACCCAACAACACAGGACCCAACAACACAACACCCAACAACACAGGACCCAACAACACAGGACCCAACAACACAGGACCCAACAACACAGGACCCAACAACACAGGACCCAACAACACAACACCCAACAACACAGGACCCAACAACACAGGACCCAACAACACAGGACCCAACAACACAGGACCAGTGTTCCCTCTAAGCTGCGTGGTCAGGTGGCCACACAGTATTTTGAGCTGGCGGGCAGTGATTTTGTAAAATAAATATATCTTTGTATAAGATTTTTATAACAGTACACACACAAAACATACGTTGCACACTATCTTTCCTCCTTAATGGGAGCATTGCACAAGACCCAACAAAACATGTTGTAACAATGTGTTGTGTAAGAAATTTTTAAAAAGCTGTACAATAAATGACAATCTTTGATTCAAATAAGAAGTAACCTTCCTTAGACTGCTATATATTTATAGCTGCTGTACATCTGACACATGTGCCAATCTCAGATACAAACCCATTCATGTATGTGTAGCTTATACAGAAGTGACACTATATAAACCTACATGTATATGTAATAATCTTTATATACATACATGTATGTGTAACGTATATAGATGTGACTTACCTGCATGTCTGTAGAGCCACAAAACAGTCCGTGATGGAAGAAATGAGTGGCACCCACTTGAAGGAATGTGATGTGTCTAGGACTAGGATGAGACGGGAGCCGGAGTTCTTGTCCTTCTCCTGCCACAAGTTGAGTAACATGGACAGGGAGAGGTTTTTTTTATCTGTAACAATTTTTTATTTTAGTAACATGGACAGGGAGAGGTTTTTTTTATCTGTAACAATTTTTTTATTTTAGTAACATGGACAGGGAGAGGTTTTTTTTATCTGCAACAAATTTTTATTTTAGTAACAGGTAGAGGTTTTTCTTATCTGCAACAATTTTTTATTTTAGTAACATGGACAGGGAGTTTTTTTTTTATCTGTAACAATTTTTTATTTTAGTAACATGGACAGGGAGAGGTTTTTTTTATCTGCAACAAAAAATTTTTTTTTTAGTAACAGGGACAGGGAGAGGTTTATTTTATCTGTAACAATTTTTTATTTTAGTAACATGGACAGGGAGAGGTTTTTTTTATCTGTAATAAATTTTTATTTTAGTAACATGGACAGGGAGAGGTTTTTTTTATCTGTAACAATTTTTTTATTTTAGTAACATGGACAGGGAGAGGTTTTTTTTTATCTGTAACAATTTTTTTATTTTAGTAACATGGACAGGGAGAGGTTTTTTTATCTGTAACAAATTTTTTATTTTAGTAACATGGACAGGGAGAGGTTTTTTTTATCTGTAACAAATTTTTTATTTTAGTAACATGGACAGGGAGAGGTTTTTTTATCTGTAACAAATTTTTTATTTTAGTAACATGGACAGGGAGAGGTTTTTTTTTATCTGTAACAAATTTTTTATTTTAGTAACATGGACAGGGAGAGGTTTTTTTTATCTGCAACAAAAAATTTTATTTTAGTAACAGGGAGAGGTTTTTTTTATCTGTAACAAAAAATTTTATTTTAGTAACATGGACAGGGAGAGGTTTTTTTTATCGGCAACAATTTTTTATTTTAGAAACATGGACAGGGAGAGGTTTTTTTTTCTGTAACAAAATTTTTTATTTTAGTAACAGGGAGAGGTTTTTTTTATCTGTAACAATTTTTTATTTTAGTAACATGGACAGGGAAAGGTTTTTTTTATCTGTAATAAATTTTTATTTTAGTAACATGGACAGGGAGAGGTTTTTTTTATCTGTAATAAATTTTTATTTAGTAACATGGACAGGGAGAGGTTTTTTTTATCTGTAACAATTTTTTTATTTTAGTAACATGGACAGGGAGAGGTTTTTTTTATCTGTAACAAATTTGTATTTTAGTAACATGGACAGGGAGAGGTTTTTTTTATCTGCAACCATTTTTTATTTTAGTAACAGGGAGAGGTTTTTTTTATCTGTAACAATTTTTTATTTTAGTAACATGGACAGGGAGAGGTTTTTTTTATCTGTAACAATTTTTTATTTTAGTAACATGGACAGGGAGAGGTTTTTTTTATCTGTAGCAATTTTTTATTTTAGTAACATGGACAGGGAGAGGTTTTTTTTATCTGTAATAAATTTTTATTTTAGTAACATGGACAGGGAGAGGTTTTTTTTATCTGTAATAAATTTTTATTTTAGTAACATGGACAGGGAGAGGTTTTTTTTTATCTGTAACAATTTTTTTATTTTAGTAACATGGACAGGGAGAGGTTTTTTTTTATCTGTAACAAATTTTTTATTTTAGTAACATGGACAGGGAGAGGTTTTTTTTATCTGCAACAATTTTTTATTTTAGTAACACGGACAGGGAGAGGTTTTTTTATCTGTAACAATTTTTTATTTTAGTAACATGGTCAGGGAGAGGTTTTTTTTATCTGTAGCAATTTTTTATTTTAGTAACATGGACAGGGAGAGGTTTTTTTTATCTGTAATAAATTTTTATTTTAGTAACATGGACAGGGAGAGGTTTTTTTTATCTGTAACAATTTTTTATTTTAGTAACATGGACAGGGAGAGGTTTTTTTATCTGCAACAATTTTTTTATTTTAGTAACATGGACAGGGAGAGGTTTTTTTAATCTGTAACAATTTTTTATTTTAGTAACATGGACAGGGAGAGGTTTTTTTTATCTGCAACAATTTTTTTATTTTAGTAACATGGACAGGGAGAGGTTTTTTTTATCTGTAACAAATTTTTTATTTTAGTAACATGGACAGGGAGAGGTTTTTTTTATCTGCAACAATTTTTTATTTTAGTAACATGGACAGGGAGAGGTTTTTTTTATCTGTAACAAAATTTTTTATTTTAGTAACAGGGAGAGGTTTTTTTTATCTGTAACAATTTTTTATTTTAGTAACAGGGAGAGGTTTTTTTTATCTGCAACAATTTTTTATTTTAGTAACAGGGAGAGGTTTTTTTTTATCTGTAACAATTTTTTATTTTAGTAACATGGACAGGGAGAGGTTTTTTTTATCTGTAACAATTTTTTATTTTAGTAACATGGACAGGGAGAGGTTTTTTTTATCTGTAACAATTTTTTATTTTAGTAACATGGACAGGGAGAGTTTTTTTTTATCTGTAACAATTTTTTATTTTAGTAACATGGACAGGGAGAGGTTTTTTTTATCTGTAACAATTTTTTATTTTAGTAACATGGACAGGGAGAGGTTTTTTTTTATCTGTAGCAATTTTTTATTTTAGTAACATGGACAGGGAGAGGTTTTTTTATCTGTAACAATTTTTTATTTTAGTAACATGGACAGGGAGAGGTTTTTTTTATCTGTAACAATTTTTTATTTTAGTAACATGGACAGGGAGAGGTTTTTTTTATCTGTAACAATTTTTTATTTTAGTAACATGGACAGGGAGAGGTTTTTTTTATCTGTAACAATTTTTTATTTTAGTAACATGGACAGGGAGAGGTTTTTTTATCTGTAACAATTTTTTATTTTAGTAACATGGACAGGGAGAGGTTTTTTTTTATCTGTAACAATTTTTTATTTTAGTAACATGGACAGGGAGAGGTTTTTTTATCTGTAACAATTTTTTATTTTAGTAACATGGACAGGGAGAGGTTTTTTTTATCTGTAACAATTTTTTATTTTAGTAACATGGACAGGGAGAGGTTTTTTTTATCTGTAACAATTTTTTATTTTAGTAACATGGACAGGGAGAGGTTTTTTTATCTGCAACAATTTTTTATTTTAGTAACATGGACAGGGAGAGGTTTTTTTTATCTGTAACAATTTTTTATTTTAGTAACATGGACAGGGAGAGGTTTTTTTTATCTGTAACAATTTTTTATTTAAGTAACATGGACGGAAAGAGGTTTTTTATCTGCAACAAAAATTAAACTTTGTTCTAGCCATTGATGAATCAGCACTGATGTTTAGAGCACAACGAATTTTTAGAGACTTATTAAAAGCATTAAATATTACCTAATGTTTGTGCTAAAATTACCTTGCCTTAGTTCTAAGAAAGTGTCATGTTTTGTGGCATCACAGTTTTAAACATCACATCTCAACATTTGTATACATACAAACATACACACAAACAAAAGCTGACAACAACAAATTTCTCCAACTTGATCTCAATCACTATTTGCCAGTGAGATTAAATGCTGAAATGTTTTACCAACAAGTGCCCAGTCTGATTAAATGTTTTACCAACAAGTGCCCAGTGAGATTAAATGTTGAAATGTTTTACCAACAAGTGCCAAGTGAGATTAAATGTTGAAATGTTTTACCAACAAGTGCCAAGTGAGATTAAATGTTGAAATGTTTTACCAACAAGTGCCAAGTGAGATTAAATGTTGAAATGTTTTACCAACATGTGCCCAGTGAGATTAAATGTTGAAATGTTTTACCAACATGTGCCCAGTGAGATTAAATGTTGAAATGTTTTACCTACAAGTGCCCAGTGAGATTAAATGTTGAAATGTTTTACCTACAAGTGCCCAGGCTGATTAAATGTTGAAATGTTTTACCAGCAAGTGCCCAGGCTGATTAAATGTTTTACCAACAAGTGCCCAGTGAGATTAAATGTTTTACCAGCAAGTGCCTAGTGCAGGGGTCGGCAACCTTTTGAGACAAAAGAGCCAAAAGTTACAATTTATAAAATTTTCCAGTTTTTAAAGAGCCACCAACATTTTTTTTAATTTTAGGATTTGGTATATGTGTATATATCTATATATATATCTATATATATCTATATATATATATATATATATATATATATATATATCAATGTATGTGTGTTTGTGTGTTACTGTGTGTGTTTCTGTTTTTCTTTTATGCATTACTACACCTTTCATCCGATCGCCATGAAACTTTGGGAAGTTGTTAAGGATACTCATGGGAAGGTTTCTGCGAAAAAAGTTTTTCAAATTCGCATTAGTGGCGCCCCGGCAGCGCCCGATTCGATTCTTCTCTATATACTGTAAATAAAAGTAAAGTCGATTGCGGTTTGATCGTCATGAAACCTTAAGGAGTTGATTAAAACGCTCAAGGGGATGTTTGTAAAAAAAAAATCATTTTAAATTTCTTATGAACGGCGCCCCGGTGGTGTATTTTTTCGTCAATACACCTTTTGGCGCCCAGAGTTCCCGAGCGGCTATGTTAGTACTTGGCAACCTTTAATCGGGCGTTTTGCATAGCGGGTATGGGGTACTACTATATTCAGCGGCAAAACTGCAACAGGCGCAACCACCGAGCACTATGGCACCTACGTTCAATTTTAAAAATAGGCTTTACACTATAGACACGCGTTGCTTTAGTCGCTCACTAAATCGAATCAGGCGCGTCCTCCGGCTTCTCTGCAGGGTGCGATTTGGCGCCCAGGGCTATCCTGCGAGCACCAAGCCCCTACCTTAGTTTTAAGTAGCACCCTACAATATGACATTCGATGATTAAACCGAGCTAGGGGCCGTACGCATCGCCCCGTGGTAGTGTAATAAGGTTCACTAGAGCGCCACATTCCGTCCTCGACAAATAGGCGGTGAGTTGAGTGATTAACGGAGATATTACGGTGAGTGATTAACTTACACTCAAAGCTTTAATACAGCACGCCATGTTGGTAGGCGGTAGTGTAGGTAAACCCGTGCCTCGATAAATATGATCCAAACACGGGCATTGTTTAAACTTAAATAACTCATCTTTAGAAAACAAGGTAGTACATTGAAATAGGGAGTAACTAAATATTCTAATAGAATAGCGAGTGTTTTATTGTTTATATTTATTATTATATCGTTCATTACCGAGTGCTGCAGACTAATACTTTTATGAGTTTCAAAAATAAAATAAAATAATTATTCATATTTGTGCACCGAGCTGAAGAGCTGCACCTTGACACCAAAAGAGCCGCATGCGGCTCGCGAGCCGCAGGTTGCCGACCCCTGGCCTAGTGAGATGAAATGTTTTACCAACAAGTGCCCAGTCTGATTAAATGTTGAAATGTTTTACCAACAAGTGCCCAGTGAGATGAAATGTTTTACCAGCAAGTGCCTAGTGAGATGAAATGTTTTACCAGCAAGTGCCCAGTCCCCTGTGTCATACACATCACCACTGTAGTACAGGATGTAAGTGTCAAACCTTGGACCATCGTTGGTTCGACGATCAAAAAATGCTTTCAGCTGTAACAAGAATTGTATAATTCTGGTTTGTATAGTGTTGTCACACAATTATGCTTTGTCCAAAAAATCTTGTGTATGACAGAGTGTATGACATACCAAATGTATGACAGACCAACTATATGACAGACTTTGTGTATGACAGACTTTGTGTGTGTATGACAGACCTAGTGTATGACAGACCAAGTGTATGACTGAGTGTATGACAGACCTAGGGTATGACGGACCAACTATATGACAGACTTTGTGTATGACAGACCAACTATATAACAGACCTTGTTTTGTAAACTGTCCAACTCCAGTCCACTACTAGAGTAATCACAGCCAAAGTTCTGTATCATGTGGTAGGAGAAGAGTTGTTGCAGCAAGCCCAGAGTGCTGGCCCCTCTAGAGCCAATATCTTGGACATCAGCGCTAGACAAAAGTTGGGCTCCAACTCCCTGTCTGAATATTAGAAATATTTACTCCATCTAAATCTATAAAACCCCACGTTCGCACATCTCTCTCTCTCTCTCTCTCTCTCTCTGTCCGCAAAAAATTTTCGCCGGACATCACGTCAGAATCGGCAGCGATATATGAAGAACTTTTTACGGACTTTTGTTGAAAATAATATGTTAGATGTTTTAAATGTATAACCACAATTTTATTTAAAGAAGAAAAATAAAAAATAAAGGCGTATTCGAATGTAGAGAAACAGTATTATTTATGCAACCGGAAAAGCATTTATATATGTGAAAAAGAACACATAAACTGTGACGTCACTATTTATACATTAACTAATGACGTCATCTGCCGTGTTTACAATAAAAAAGAAATGAACTATTTCATTCAAATTTGATTTAGATCTACGTACACTATGAAATGTATACAATACAATTTTTCCGGCCTAAACTCATAAAATTTATTTATACAAAATCTTTGTTTGGAACTGGCTAATTTGGGATAAAAAAATTAATTTGAAAGAATAGGCATATTCGCGTAAGTTAAGATTTTAAAATACGTCTTTCATTCTCTGTATTTTATAAGGTGCCTAAATAGGGGAGATGTTAGTGTACTATAAACCACGCAGGTGGTGCGGGTTCGAGACACACCAAGTCAACTTGGTTTATGTACTTTTTTTTTTATTTTGCTCGGGCTAAACTTAAAAAAAAAAATTCTATTACGATTCTAGATCTAGATCTAGATTGTCGGGTGTCCGATAAGGCACTACCCGGCGCCGCAGGCGCTTCAAATTTGGCAGGATCTTGCCTTGGTTGGGGCGACAGAACACGGGGGCCGGTTGGCCGAAAAGTCTACGATGAGGGGGTAAAAACTGACCTCGACTGACCGGCGCCTTATATGGGCGAATTAATTAAGCATTCAAATTCTCAACGTTTCGAAAGCCTAAGCGAAGCTGGGCAGCATGCCTAGTGTATTCTAGAAGTTGTTCAAAAATATATGGAGCATTTCTTTGAAAAACTATGTAAATTAAATAAATTTTAACGTATAGTTGTAAATATTGAAACTAATGACATCATATCATTTACATGCGCCCCCCACCCCATTGTCCACCAACTAACCTTAGGGCAGTGACTGGACTAATGACAGCATAACCTGTGCACGTCCCCCCCAAGTTGTCCCCCAGTTCCCAGAACAAACTGACGATGGCACATTCCAGAGGTAGAACAAGGAAGACGAGAGCCAGGGTGTAGGGTGTCCTGGTCTCAAACCCAATGACAAAAACTAGGACGTTGGTGATGAGGGACAGGAAGATGATGCGTTGAGAGACCAGGCCAAAGTAGCGCAGACCTGGGGAGAGACAACATTTGATCCGCTTCAAATCTTAAGTCAAAAATATAAATATAACAAGATGGTTAACCAAGAAAATGTTTAGAAACAAATTTTTTAAATCAAGAGCCCAACCTTTGGCCGCCATGATCCTTTTGAAGCTGCTTCCATTTTCAGCACTGGCATTGCACTCTGTGACCTTCCCCATCAGCTTCCAACAGGTGATGAAGAACATGAGGTGGAACATGAGCCAGACCACAGCTAGAGCCATGTACAGGGGAAACACAATGAACCACTCTTTGTGACGCGACGTCCCCACGCCCACAACCACCGCTAGCACCAGCTGCAGTAGAAACAGCAACACCAGGTAAAGGTAGCGGAGCACACGGGGCTTGCTGAAGTAGGATCTCCACCTGTCTATCATTGAGAGACCACAGAAATAGAAATCAATGACTGGCTGAAAGGCGTGGCGCCCAACAAAACAGGTGAGGGCGTAGATGTTTGGTTTGACCTCTAGAGCAGGGAAAAATAAAAATATCCCCACACAGATAAACGAAACAAAACTAATAAATCCTGTGAATGATTTCAGTCTCATAGCTGTGATGTGGAATATGTATGCTAGTGTATACAGAGACAAGGCTATGCTGTCAACACCTGTCACAATGCTCGCAATAATCAAACCAGTGGATTCTAGACCTTCTGATATCGTCAACATTTTAGCATCTCCCGCGTCCAGTTTGAGCAAACGTTCTAGAATGTTCCAGAACCAGCCCAGCACCATGCTGGTGATGAACATGGCCTCCATGACCTCCTCCATGGTCACGTACTGCAGCTGAGCGTTGTTGGTGAAAGCCAGGATGCCGATCAGACAGCCGACCCAAACGTGGAACAACGCTTTGCCCAGGTCCTCCATCCCAAAGTAGTACTGCAGCGCACATGAAATGGCAAACACAAAAGCCCCTAGAATGGCAATGACAGATATTGTTACATCTTCTGTGAAAGACCACTGGGTATACAGACCCAGTCCAAGAGCCACAACTAATATCAGCTCTGGTATAAATCGCACATATTGCACAGTTATCCCCCTTTTAGCTTGCTTGACTCCCATGATTATTTTCAGAACAAAATGAACAAGAAAATATTTGAGCTTTGACCAAAAGCCGATGCACCAGGTTTTGGTGCTGTTTTTATAATAGAAGAATCTTTTCCTTTTGATCAACTGCTGCAACAGCTCATGATTCATCCTTTGGAAGTTGAGGCTGTAGTTGCCGTCATCTCTCTGTCCTCCTGCAATATAAAAAAAATTTCTAATGGAGAAGTTGTGTGTTGTTGCGTTAAAAATAGCTTGAAACAGTCCGGTTAATAAGGCATCCATAATTTATATCATACTCCTGGGGGAAAAGGGGTTGGAACTTTAGTGGGGATGTGTGACATGAGGATTAAAACGGGTGACATAACACTTGACTTTAAAAAGTTATGTGTGAAATAAAATAATAACAGCTTAGCATTTTTAAACCCTTGAAATTTTTCAACAAAATCTGATCAATATAATTTATGTTGACCCAGTGTGTTAATTATTTTAGAAAGTGATCCCTGTTTTTTTTTTAACTTGCTATTGGGAAGGAGGTAGACTGTAGTGTGACATCATTTTAGGAAAGTGGCCTTACTTTTCTGGATGTGTTACTACAATGAAGGGGTAGGGGGGGGGGATGTTGGTGAAAATGTATGATATCATTAAGCCTCATCTGCCAGAGGGTTCAAACTCAGGACTTCCAGGTTAGCAAACATGTGCTCACCACCCTGACCACTCCAACCCCCTGAATTGAATTCGGATCTAGTAGCCTAGTTAGTTAGTATCATAAAATTAACTAAAAACTAGATCTATATATATACTAAACTATTTTATTTCACCCAGCCAGGCCTGTACTTCTTGCAAATATTGCAATAAATTTATTAAATTAGAATAATCAGATCAAGTAGATCTAGAATCTAGTTTCTAGACTAGTAACTAGTGCGAGAAATTAGATTCTAGAACCAGATTCTAGGTCAGTTAGATCTAGATCTGGTTACTAAAATTTTTTATTTTTACTTAATATTTAAAAATTAAAAAAAAACAACAAACTATTCAGTAGTATGCAGGGTAATCTATCGTTTTGGGTACGTAAAATCGCCCGCGACTAGTAATGTGAAAAACAGGTGACTCCTTACATTTTAATAATTATATCACATTTTGAGGAGGATTTATGTTTTAAAAATACAAAAATGTTTCCTTGTTTCATTTATGTACCTGTTTTTAAACAATTGAATTAAAACTTTTCAGTAATAAATGAAGACTAGCGATGTTTCCAACAGATGCAACCATGCTCATTTACTATAGCAGCCATCTTGTTAAAGTTTTATTTTTATAGACTTAAAGCGCAAGATTCAGGCGGAAGTCACTCTATTTTACAAATGGCTGCTGTTTATATAGCAAACCTTGCTTGTAGACACTGCTGTTTAAAGTTAATTTCTGGCCTATATTGATATATTTAGCCATTGATTTAGGTTTATTATTCATTTATCTAGTTTTATTTGACACAAACATATCACAATATACTTCTATTACAGCCTTGACAATGAGGTAACGTTTTCGTACATTAATAGCCGCGGGCGATTTTACGTACCCAAAACGATAGATTACCGTATGCAGTAAATGAGTATGCTGCACTATGCAGCCATGCAGAGTTTATCGGCCTTCGCCTTCTGTCTGAGTCTGGTGGGATTTCGATCTAGACCATATATTCTAGATCTAATCTAGACTGTTTAGAACTTTAGAGGCTTGTGTCTACTAACCATATTATATAAGATCTAAATCTAGATCTAGATTTATATCTATATCTAAATTGTGAGTGTTACCTGTAGATACTCAAGTCATTTGTGATTATTGTTTTCTAGTTACCTCAAGATCTAACAACAGCAGGATATTTTTAAAACCGTAGTAGTCTCCCCTTCGTTTACATTCGTTTACAAAAGAAATTGTTTTCTCTAACTACGCCTAACCTAATTGAAAAAAATGCATTACATTTACAATTATCAATTAGATCTAGATCTAGATTTAATTCTAATTCCAAAACTTTTTACGTTTAGAAATAGATCAGCTCTCCTGATAACAGCTTTGAATATAAGCTTATGAAGTCATGATCACTAGATCTATCATATGTATTCTGTCAATCTTGTCACTAGCGAAAATATTATAGATCTAGATCTAGATCTAGTAAGGGGCGACTACAAAGTTTGTTAACATTCCAAAATTATATTTTGACTATTTCCCTTTATTCGACAGATGGCAGTAAATGCCGGAAGTATTGATGTTTTACCCAAAGAAGGATGTCAATACAGATCTAGATTCTAGATTAATTCTAGATTCTAGACGTCAAACAAAACAAAAAGAAAATTGAAATTTAAGACCCTGTCTCAATTAGATATAGATCTAGAATCTATCGAGGTCTAGATTCTAGATAGATCCACTATCTGTCTAGTTTTCTATATTTTATTTAAATTTTCATTATTTTGTGAATGAATTCATTCAACGTTGAATTCTGTTCAAAGTTCCTTACTTCACTTGTGTTACTAGATCTAGAAATCTAGATCTAGATCTACTGATCTAGATCTAATAAATAAATTGTTAGCTAGATCTAGTTCTACTAAAAAAACAAATACTATCTAGATATATATTATTCTAGAAAACGAGATAGTCTAGGATTCTAGTCTTAGAACTTTTAGAAGTAGGAGTCTAGATCTAGAAATCTAGACTCTACTCTATCTAGACTAATCTTCTTAGTAATCTAGACTACTCTAGACTAGACAGATACATTTACTGTAGTGTGTACTGTAGTCAGTACCAGTCAGTAGTGTTAGGCTATTTTTTTTTTAATTGTTTGCTTTAGCATAAAATTATTAAAATAGGCCTAACAAAGTATTAATTTACGTATGTCTAACCAGTTTTTTTTTTAATTAGGCTATCTTAAAGATTATGGAGCAGCTAAGATAATAATTAATATGATCTGCAAGCATAATGAAGATTAAGCAGCTTATGGAGTACCTTTTCTTGGATTCTCACTTGCTTTCATATAATGGGTAATTTAAATAGGCCTAAATAAATTGATTAATTAAATTGACTAGGCCTGGCCTAATTAATTTCAAAGTATCTATTCCCAGAATAGCCTTGGCCAATTAGGCCTAATTTTTATATTATTAGATTACAAAGCATAATTCCAAAAGAATGGCCAACTTACAAATTTGTGCCTTTGAAAAATAATTCAAAATTTAATCATTTATTCTAACTCTTACTTTTTTTATGAAAATATTTTCAGATGACAAAAGGAAAGCGTCGTCTACAACCAAACCAACATCAAGTGGTAAGTACTCAGCCAAACGTTTGCATGTCCACTTTTTGATGAGTTAATTAACATAAAGTCTAAACCTAAAACAAAAATGTATACATTTTGAAGCTTGTAACAGTTTTTATATTGGTGTAAAGAAAGACTTGTGAAGATGATTTTGTTGTGTTTAGAAAATGGACCAATCATTCAAGAGTCCCAGGAATCAGAGGAGTACCAGCAGGATCTGCAGGTTGTTCTTGGCACTGCCTTTGGCGTCATCGCAATAGTTGGGCTTATTGCTATAACATTCTTGTTGTACCGCATCTACAAGTCTAGGCAGGCTGCATTATCTTGTGAGTAGCTTTACCGCCTTTTACCCTTATTAAATGTGGAGGTCTATTACATGTCAGTATGCTACAACTTCATTTTTCAAAAAAGTTATTTCAGTCATTAATTATTTTTATTGTTTGTCAAAAAGTTGTTTCTGATGAAAGAAACACACAATGTCCTGTTTGTTGTTTGTTAGATACTTGATAGTTGTTTCTGATGAAAGAAACACACAACGCCTTGTTTGTTAGATACTTGATTGTTGTTTCTGATGAAAGAAATTGATATCTTCCTCAGATCAAAACAATGACATAACTGAGGCCTTTGAGCGAGACACTGGTGTAGGCAAGTATTTTCTTTCATTGACCTTTGCCCAATCTGTGATTAAATTAAAGACATAGTTTCAATAGTGAACTCAATAAAAACGTGACTTTAAATATTGAAATTTTGTTTCAGAAGTAAATGGCAAGGCCCAGCCTGTTGTGCTGATGCTGTACGCTTACGACTGCCCCATACATGAGAGGGTGGTGGCAGCACTGGCCGGGTTCCTCATGGAGGCGTGTGGCGTCACCGTTACCCTTGACCTTCTTGAGGAACATGACATCACAGAACGAGGGGTTGATGATTGGCTGGTTGAGCGCCTGCAGGAAGCAGATTACATAATGGTGGTTTGCTCCCTTGGTGGGAGACTGCGCTGCTCTAAGAAAAGGGTCAAGTTTAAAACAGATGAGAGGCAAGTGTTGCCAGATTATTTTGCTGTTGCCGTTGATTATGTTGCGGAGAAAATGCGAGCAGAACGGCAGAAGGGTTTAGATATGAATAAATTCATCACAGCTTACATGGAGTATTCAACCCGCTCAGACATCCCCCCACAACTTGAAACAGCCTTTCAGTTTTGTTTAATGAAAGATGTGCACAAACTTCACCTACATTTGAATGCTCAAGGTCCAGATAACGACAAGGGGGACTCGGCATCCCAGACCAGCACATGTGAGAACCACTACCATGAGACGGAGGTGGGCGCTGTTCTTAAGGCCACCATCGAGCAGGCGCGGGAATATTTTCGTGAAAATCCCTCCTGGATGGATGAACGTCTAGAACTGGAGAGCTCGTTTGGGTTTTCTCTGCGGGCTGGCAAAAACAAGAAGCGCAGGAGGAGTTCAATGGAGCAGCCACTGCTGACTCTGATGGGAACAGCACAAACAGCTCATCATGACAGCAGCTGTAATAATGTCAGCAACAGCAGCCACAGGTCGCAGATGGTGCTGCCCCAGCAGATCCCTCTGTACCAGATGGAGCGAGGTGTCAGTAACACTCTACCCCGCACCAACCCCGCCTCCTATTTTCATGAGTGTGATCAGCATGGCTTTGGTGGACTGTTACAAAACCGACAAAATTCCCTCCCTTCCTCCCTGGCCAGCAGTTGTATAGTATCCCCCAGTGCACGCCACGCCTTATCCAAGAGCATGGACAGTTTTGCCACGGACCCCAGCCACCCGTCAGACGGCCTGCCCTGTCTGTACTGCAACTGTTCCCATATGGATGCCAGGCCAGAGTGCAGACACCTGGAGCGCCAGCAGGTCCAGGTACACACATCCTCTAACCCCAGCCAGTCCTCTCTACACTTGTCACAGAAACAGCTCAGCACTGGACGCTCACAAACCACCATCCTTCACGCAGAGGTCCACCAGGAGTGGGAGCAGTCAAACAAAGGCACCCCTGAGAAGAAGTCTGCCACCTTCGCTGGTGACCCAAGATCTTGGGACTCTGGCCTGAATGTTCCGGTACCTTTAGCCCCATTTCAGTCTCTACCCCCTCACCAGCGCCCCCCAGGGGACCCGTCCCACTGGGACAGCCCTGTGGGGATACGCAGGTGGGGGACGGGGCTGACCCAGAGACACACCCACAGGTCCTTGTCTAATGCCTCTCATTCAACTGACGATTCTGAAATGGGCTCAGATAGCGATTCACTTGAAAGAGATTTGCGATCCATCCAGAATATTTCATCCTTCCAGGATTTTGTCAACTCTTCGTCTTTCATAGGTGGCAGTGTGTTTAAAAAGTCCTCCATCCCAGTCAGCGCTGTGGGTATTGAGATGAACATCTGGCCCCACAGAGACCCACAGAACAAGTGTAGTGACCCTAGAACTGATCTAATAGAGTTAGTTTAACCCTCTAGGTGCCACACCTACTAGCATTATCTTTAACAGTGCCTGCATCAACTATTATTTCTTTATTGTTACACAACAACACCTGGATTAACTATGAAACAGCCAGTAGAATCAGTGTTGATATTCCTGTGGTTTTATTCAGTTTCTAGTTGAAGGCTTCAATGTTAACAGAGAACTAGAAAGTGGGGATATTTGCTGTGTCAATAGGAAATTATTTTCATATACTTTTTCTTGTCAAAGGTCTTTTCAACTAAGTTTAGCTTGTTAGTTTTAACTACTAATTTCAGTATCAAGGATAAATCTACTCAATGTACTTGTTTTCAAGACAAAGTAACTATAAATTAGCTTATACTTTTTAAAATTATTTTAATTTCTTAAAGCAAATTTGTATGTTTAATAACAAATTCCCTTTGACAAAAAATGTTCCACTAATTTAAAAGCAATATTTATATGATCTAATACTGATACCAGTGATGTTCTCATGATCTATTCATAGCAGAGCAGAAAACAGGGGACTTAGTGGGTGAGACTGTTGACGTAATGGGTGACATGACATTATGGGTGAGACAGGTGACATGACATTATGGGTGAGACAGCTGAGATAATGGGTGACATGACATTATGGGTGAGACAGGTGACATGACATTATGGGTGACATGACATTATGGGTGAGACAGCTGACATAATGGGTGACATGACATTATGGGTGAGACAGCTGAGATAATGGGTGACATGACATTATGGGTGAGACAGGTGACATGACATTATGGGTGACATGACATTATGGGTGAGACAGCTGACATAATGGGTGACATGACATTATGGGTGAGACAGGTGACATGACATTATGGGTGACATGACATTATGGGTGAGACAGCTGACATAATGGGTGACATGACATTATGGGTGAGACAGCTGAGATAATGGGTGACATGACATTATGGGTGAGACAGGTGACATGACATTATGGGTGACATGACATTATGGGTGAGACAGCTGACATAATGGGTGACATGACATTATGGGTGAGACAGGTGACATGACATTATGGGTGACATGACATTATGGGTGAGACAGCTGAGATAATGGGTGACATGACATTATGGGTGAGACAGCTGACATAATGGGTGACATGACATGGTTGAGACAGCTGATGTAATGGGTGACATGACATAATAAGTGACATAAAAATAAAATTTTGATGTGTTCTTACACTGATCAGTGGCTATCTGTTGTCACACTGACTGACCAGTGTCTGGCTGTTGTCACACTGACTGACCAGTGTCATACTAACTGACCACTGTCACACTGACCAGTGTTGTCTAGCTTAACATTACACTCTTGTATAGTCTGTACAGTTCTATAAATAATAATACTATAGACACAATTATTTTGTTTAGTTACCAACATTCTGTTGACACAACTATTTGTTTATAGATTCTGCTGTCTACTATTGCTTGTGCTCAAGTTGTATTTTTATCATTGTTTTAAAATGGCTGTGACGATGAAAAATTTAATTATCCCTTGATAGTTTTGTGTATTGGGACGATCAATAAGGATCTTGAGATCAATATTTTCTGATCAATAAATCCATATATTTTCTACATTATGGGATTGACTATATGAGTGAAAATTATGGGACTATATGTGTGATCGCCATGGGATTAACATGAGACTATATGTGTGATCATGTGAGATTAACATGGGACTATATCATATGTGTGATCACCATGGGATTAATATGAGACTATATGTGTGATCACCATGGGACTATGTGTGTGATCACCATGGGATCACCATAGGACTATGTGTGGGATCACCATAGGACTATATGTGTTGTGTGATCACCATGAGATTAACATGGGACTATATGTGTGATCACCATGGGATCACCATAGGACTATGTGTGGGATCACCATAGGACTATATGTGTTGTGTGATCACCATGAGATTAACATGGGACTATATGTGTGATCACCATGGGATTAACATGGGACTATATGTGTGATCACCATGGGACTATATGTGTGATCACCATGGGATTAACATGGGACTATATGTGTGATCACCATGGGACTATATGTGTGATCACCATGAGATTAACATCTTGATGTCAATCACATGAAGAACATGATGTGATCTGTGAAAGTGCCTGTCTGTCAAATGGAGCAGAAATCAAATATTTTCACATGGTGCTGTCAATCTTTCCTGTCTTGTGTGTGTGGGGGGGGGGGGGGGGTGGGGGGTGTGCTCAATCAATACATGAGATTGTAGGTCACACTCACTTTATCAATACATGAGATTGTAGGCCACACTCACTTTATCAATACATGAGATTGAAGGCCACACTCACTTTATCAATACATGAGATTGTAGGTCACACTCACTTTATCAATACATGAGATTGTAGGCCACACTCACTTTATCAATACATGAGATTGTAGGTCACACTCACTTTATCAATACATGAGATTGTAGGTCACACTCACTTTATCAATACATGAGATTGTAGGACACACTCACTTTATCAATACATGAGATTGTAGGCCACACTCACTTTATCAATACATGAGATTGTAGGACACACTCACTTTATCAATACATGAGATTGTAGGTCACACTCACTTTATCAATACATGAGATTGTAGGCCACACTCACTTTATCAATACATGAGATTGAAGGCCACACTCACTTTATCAATACATGAGATTGTAGGTCACACTCACTTTATCAATACATGAGATTGTAGGCCACACTCACTTTATCAATACATGAGATTGTAGGTCACACTCACTTTATCAATACATGAGATTGTAGGACACACTTTATCAATACATGAGATTTTAGGTCACACTCACTTTATCAATACATGAGATTGTAGGTCACACTCACTTTATCAATACATGAGATTGTAGGTCACACTCACTTTATCAATACATGAGATTGTAGGACACACTCACTTTATCAATACATGAGATTGTAGGTCACACTCACTTTATCAATACATGAGATTGTAGGCCACACTCACTTTATCAATACATGAGATTGTAGGTCACACTCACTTTATCAATACATGAGATTGTAGGACACACTCACTTTATCAATACATGAGATTGTAGGTCACACTCACTTTATCAATACATGAGATTGTAGGCCACACTCACTTTATCAATACATGAGATTGTAGGCCACACTCACTTTATCAATACATGAGATTGTAGGTCACACTCACTTTATCAATACATGAGATTGTAGGCCACACTCACTTTATCAATACATGAGATTGAAGGCCACACTCACTTTATCAATACATGAGATTGTAGGTCACACTCACTTTATCAATACATGAGATTGTAGGCCACACTCACTTTATCAATACATGAGATTGAAGGCCACACTCACTTTATCAATACATGAGATTGTAGGCCACACTCACTTTATCAATACATGAGATTGTAGGTCACACTCACTTTATCAATACATGAGATTGTAGGCCACACTCACTTTATCAATACATGAACTTGTATGTTTGTACATGGGTAGAAAAAAATTGCTCTCTTTTTTTTAAAAATGACACTTTTTGTTTTTTTAAAACCATGTTTTGTTTACATTTTTTAAATTGTGAGGTGTGAAAGTTGTTCAAATAATAAAGGAAGATAACTCTGATCTTCCCACTTGTCTTTAGACTTGCAGTGAGTAGAGCTGACATTCACCCATCACTGGGTGTACAAAACTGCACAAACACATTTTTTGGGGGAAATATTCTGACTGTTCATTTGTTTTAACACATTATTTTTTACAGCAAAGCTTCTTAACTTTTTGCTGGTAAGTTCAACTCCCCACCGTACACACCCACCTGAACTAGGTAAACATTTGACCATTGTTCTGCATTAAGCTTTACCCCTGACCTAGGTTAACCCCTTGACCCACTTACCTTTGACCCCTTTGAACTCTGCTAACATTGTCCTCAGTTTACTGTAACTAGTTCACTATTTGGTTGGACAAATGGTTGGAACAGCCTCTACCATAGCTCACTTGGCCAGTGATTGTATGCTATTATAGACCTATCTGACATATGTGTATGTTAAAAATACTGCATAGAATGTTGTTTTATAGAAAACTTTTGTTTACATATTTATTTTTTAAAGCCAACCATGGCTTGTACTAGAAGCATGGTCAGTTACTGGTCAGTAGTTTGTGCTCATTACTTGTTTGTTAAACCAACAGTTCCAGTATCCTTTCCTTTACCATACCACACAGCTTTACTCTCTCATACGTTGGTGTGTTCAGTATGGGTGTAGTTGTTGAAACTTAATATGTGAATGATACATATTTCATACTAGCATAACGTTTACTTTCTATTTTTTGGTTGTTTCAATTACAATGTTATTAAAAAAATGGTCACTTTAAGTTTTCGTGAATGATATCCCGACAAGCTAATATTGATATCCCGACAAGCTAATATTGATGTTGATCGTCATTTACAATTAATTTACAAGCCAGCTTCTATGGTATTTCTTACATAAATAACTACAATGTATATTCAAATAATAAATTGTACTTGTACATTTTTTATTTAGTGAAATCTTTTATATTTTAAACAACTTTTAAAGTATTATACTACTGTTTGATTATTTTTCAAATTTTTTTTTATTAAAAACAATATGGACAACTGCAATGTAAGCAAACCAGTGATTGTCTTCCCCTATCTAACAATAGTGATACAAATTAATTGAATAGCTGATTGCATTGTCGATTGTTTTCCTGATCAGCTATGGCTTAATTCCTTAGTTGTTTTTAGCTTTACATGTATTGAAAATGTGGGTTATAACTGTCTTATGAAAGTTATTGTATAAAATACAAGAATTTATCAGAACAATTAAAGAACATAATATTGTCGTAAGAAGTATTTTTTTTCATTTCTTAAAGTTTGGATACCTCATATATTAAGAAAAAGGTGCCTTCAAGTTCAACATTGACTATACTCAAATATTTTTTTTAAAGTAAATATACTTTTATATTTTTTAAAATTACCAATAAGTCCTATAATCATTATAGGTCACATTAGTAAATGGGTATGTCTAACTCTATTATTTACAGTCGTTGTGTGATCTTCTAGGTGGGTGAATAATTAGGTTAAGTATCCTTCTGGTATTGCTTGATGCTGGGATCACTTCTCAATCCCCGAACCAGATTGTGTTTTATGTTTCTTGTTAATGAAATAAGTTTAGGTGTGTTGTCCACATGAAATGTGTTGTGGTGTCTTTAAACTGACCAACAACCAAATAACAGATCAATAAATAAACCAAATGCTTAGAAGAAATAGTGAAATTATTTATTGACAACTTTCAGATCTTTTAGAATACTACAACAGTTGTAAACAATGTTATCTGAATACAATTATTTCATCAATCTAATTATAATGATAATGCCGAGAGTTGATTGGGTGACTGCTGGGCTAAACTTGAGACATTCAAACTGTGAAGGGCTAGACTTGAGAACATTACCAGCTGATGGTGAGCTGTTTCATACAGAATAACACCACAAAGTACACACTACCACAAAGTACACTACCACAAGGTACACAGCACCACAAGGTACACACTACCACAAAGTACACACTACCACACCACAAAGTATCTACTCCCACACCACAAAGTATCTACTCCCACACCACAAAGTATCTACTCCCACACCACAAAGTATCTACTCCCACACCACAAAGTATCTACTCCCACACCACAAAGTATCTACTACCACACCACAAAGTATCTACTACCACACCACAAAGTATCTACTCCCACAACAAACATACAGGTGTCACAAGAGTACACAGAGAAAAGCAGCCTTTCTTGTTTATCTAAATAAACATATTGCCCCCCCCCCCCCCCCCCACATTTTTTTTTTGCTTTCTATCTATCAATGAATTGATATCATTTTACAAGCCCTCAAATTTCTACTGTAAAAAGTTTTATTTCTTGTAGTTTGTGTGTTCTTATGACATGACACAGAAACTGGGACCATTCTAACTCACACGTAGGTAACTGTAACATTCTAGAAGCAATACATGACCATAACAAAACTTTTGCTGTTTACTTGCAGGCAAAGGCTTTCGTTCCCAATAAAACTGATGGATTATGTCCCTTGCATGTCACTCTCCCTCAACAAAAAAAAAGTTACACTAAACACACCTAACATTTCCAACTAAATGTCAAGAGTAAAAAATGCTGACTTTTTAACAAAGTAAATTTCACCTGTTTACACCTGGTAAATATTGTTGAACATATTAAAGTTGACCAATGAAATATTGAGGAAGAAAACTGATTATCCTCATTTTATAAAAAAATACAATTTCAACAGTGACCTCAACTTTTTAAACATTCATAAGACAATCTGATCTGAAGATATCTGATGAGTTATTAGAAATGTTACCATTTGAAATACAGGTTATGTTTATGTTAAAAACCTAAACTAGAAATACAAAAAAAATAGAAATATCAAGGTACATTGTATGGCTACAAAATGTTTAAATATATAACAGTAAAAATGTTCCCCTTATTTTCAGTTTTTTGTTTAAAATATAGATGTAAGTCTGTCACAAAACTTTTAAAAATAATTGCAGGGCTATGAGTATAAGATAAAAATTATGAATTAATCAAGTTGAGTACATTCAAGTTGAGTATAGAAAAAACATTTGAAACAACATTCTTGTGTATATTGGAAGACACTTCTATATTAATACAGGAATGATAAGCATAACATAATCTACCCTAGGCTATATATAGAACATAACCTCAGGGTCTACCTAAAGCTATATTTAGAGCATAATCTTAGAGACTACCCTAGGCTATATATAGAACATAATCTCAGGGTCTACCTAAAGCTATATTTAGAGTATAATCTCAGGGACCACCCAAGGCTAAATTTAGACCACTGCAGAGCAGCCTAAAATTGATTGTAAACATCAGCTGCTGTGTTACAGGAAAAATGAGGGTGTTTTTTAGGGGATCTATTTCTGTGGAGTCTGGATTCTGGGTTTGTCTGTTTCTAGGGCCACAGGAGCTGGCTATATAGCGCTAGCTGGACATGTAGGTGCTAGCTGGCTAAATTAGAGATGGCTAGTAAAAAAATATTGCAATTAAAGCTGATGTGGTTTTTCTTTAAATTATTGTACGCTTGTTACTTTGGTTTCATTTGGATTAGTACACTTACATGTACACAATAGATATAAATATTTGGGTTAGTACAGGTACATATACACAATAGATAAATATTTGAACAGTTGCAGAAACATGATAGAAATATAGTTAGAATAATTTCAGTTGTGATACCCTGCCTATAGTAGACTGAGATTGTGAACTATCATTTAATGAGGTTATAACAGTGAATGAACTACAATGTGATGAAGTTATAACATGGAATTTATCATGTAATGAATGAATAACATTGAATGAACTAGCATGTACTGAAACTATAACAGTCAATAACTAGCATGTAATAATGTGAAAGAACTAGCATGTAATAATATGAATGAACTAGAATGCAATTATGTTGTGAATGAACTAGCATGTAATGCTGTTGTGAATGAACTAGCATGTTATGATGTGAATGAACTAGCATGTAACGTGAATGAACTAGCATGTTATGATGTGAATGAACTAGCATGTAACGTGAATGAACTAGCATGTTATGATGTGAATGAACTAGCATGTAACGTGAATGAACTAGCATGTTATGATGTTGTGAATGAACTAGCATGTAATGATGTTGTGAATGAACTAGCATGTAATGATGTTGTGAATGAACTAGCATGTAATGATGTTGTGAATGAACTAGCATGTAACGTGAATGAACTAGCATGTAATGTTGTGAATGAACTAGCATGTAACGTGAATGAACTAGCATGTTATGATGTTGTGAATGAACTAGCATGTTATGATGTTGTGAATGAACTAGCATGTAATGATGTTGTGAATAAACTAGCATGTAATGATGTTGTGAATAAACTAGCATGTTATGATGTTGTGAACAAACTAGCATGTAATGCTTTTGTGAATGAACTAGCATGTAATGTTGTGATGGAACTAGCATGTAATGATGTTGTGATGGAACTAGCATATAATGATGTTGTGAATGAACTAGCATGTAATGTTGTGAATGAACTAGCATGCAATGATGTTGTGATGGAACTAGCATGCAATGATGTTGTGAATGAACTAGCATGTAATGATGTTGTGAATGAACTAGCATGCGATGATGTTGTGAATGAACTAGCATGCAATGATGTTGTGAATGAACTAGCATGCAATGATGTTGTGATGGAACTAGCATGCAATGATGTTGTGAATGAACTAGCATGTAATGATGTTGTGAATGAACTAGCATGTAATGTGAATGAACTAGCATGTAATGATGTTGTGAATGAATGCTGCAGTACCAACACAAATCTACAAGAGGCACTTCAAACTTAGATTTGCTAACAACTTACAAAAACAACTAGTAAACATTCAATAGAAAAAATGCATAGCTATTGTTATAAATTAACAAATCTGCTAAAACAGCTATTTGCTAAAATTAGAAAGAAATAGATTTATGAATAACAAAAGTTTTGTCCTAAATCAAGCATAGGATTTTTGTACAATAAAGGTTATTTTTGAGTTCCTTTTTTTTTCTCTAATAATGAAAATCTATTCAAATCTACACACAAGAAAAAGAATTGTGTAAATATCAATAATCTATGATGAAATTGGTTTGTTATTGACAGAAATAAGATAATAACAATAAATATACAAGAGGAAATCAATTGACACTAGATACATATTTGATTCTAAAACAAAAAAACTTTTTAAATAAACCGGGAGTGATCTCCCCTAAACTTTCTCAAATATTCTTATATAAAACAACAGGGGATGGGAACTCGGGATATAGGCATGATTTTTAATCCATTTTAAATACTTAAACTTTTTAAAATAGAGTAAAATCTCGTGGAAAAAGAATTGTACATCAAGTGAACGCCAAATAAAGATGGGCATAATAGTGCGCAATATTATTAGTACTTTATAAATTTACATGCGTTTTTTGAGAAATTAGAAATAGCGTAAATTACTACTTCCGGAAACTACTCAAAATTTGATAGAATAGAAGGTAGAGAATTAGATCATTTACTTACATGTGAAATTTTATTTATCTATCTGAAATAGTACTCAAGTTATAGGCTTTTGAAAAATTCAAAGTAGAAAAAGTACCACTTCCAGTTATTGGAAGTCCCTCAAAAGTTGATACGGATCTACGATATTGATAAAATACTTATATATGAAATTTCAACAACCTAGCTGTAACGGTACTCAAGTTATCGTGTTTACACACACACAGACATACGGACAAGATTGCAAAATTATGTTTTTCCGTATCAGTGAGGTGTAAAACGTCAAGATTTTTTTTTTGCACGATTACAAGACTTTCTCTATACTTCGTATATACGAGAAAGTAAAAATGTAAACAAGTGTAAACTCTTGCTGTGTCTAAAAACATCTCAAGTCTGACCACTAGCAAGCTGAGAAATATTTCAGGATCACAACATCAAGAAAATAGACGACATCTGACTTGTATGGAGAGTATAGAGTATTTCACAGTTTCAAAATGCAATATAAAAATAGAATCACCTTGCACAACCTGTCAATCAAATGGCCACCTGCCTCACCTGAACATTCAACAAAAAACCTGTTCTTGTGGAATGGTGTACAGAAGTAGCTGGTCAAACTAAAGCTACAGAACAAAATAAACTTCTTTAAAACATCTCTTTACTTGGTTTTAGATCCCCACCAGTTCAAATAAAACAGTTCAAATGTACCAGTTAAGCTGTTAAAAATGTAAAGCAGTATTGCTTTAAATTATCACTGTAACTGAAAGTAAAAAAAAAAATATTTTATGTGAATGATAAATTGTTACATCATGTAAAAAAAAAGTTTATGTGAATGATCAATTGTTACATCATGTAAAAAAAGTTTACTTTATGTGAATGATCAATTGTTACATCATGTAAAACAAAGTTTACTTTATGTGAATGATCAATTGTTACATCATGTAAAAAAAAGTTTCCTTTATGTGAATGATCAATTGTTACATCATGTAAAAAAAAGTTTACTTTATGTGAATGATCAATTGTTACATCATATAAAAAAAGTTTATGTGAATGATCAATTGTTACATCATGTAAAAAAAAGTTTACTTTATGTGAATGATCAATTGTTACATCATATAAAAAAAGTTTATGTGAATGATCAATTGTTACATCATGTAAAAAAAAGTTTCCTTTATGTGAATGATCAATTGTTACATCATGTAAAAAAAGTTTACTTTATGTGAATGATCAATTGTTACATCATATAAAAAAAGTTTATGTGAATGATCAATTGTTACATCATGTAAAAAAAAGTTTACTTTATGTGAATGATCAATTGTTACATCATATAAAAAAAGTTTATGTGAATGATCAATTGTTACATCATGTAAAAAAAAGTTTCCTTTATGTGAATGATCAATTGTTACATCATATAAAAAAAGTTTACTTTATGTGAATGATCAATTGTTACATCATATTTTTTCTTGGAACTCCACCATGGCGGAGTTGGCCTCCTCGTCAAACACAAAGTCGTTATCTTCATAGCGCTGATGCTTGCGACAGCAGCAGAACAAAGCCTTGACACTCTGACGCAGCTTGGGTGTTATCATCCACAGGAGGGGGTTAATACCTGGGGGGACAAAAGGTAGATGCAGGTAACATACCTGAGGGGGGGGACAAAAGGTAGATGCAGGTAACATACCTGAGGGGGGGGGGGGACAAAAGGTAGACACAGGTAACATACCTGAGGGGGGGGGGGGGACAAAAGGTAGACACAGGTAACATACCTGAGGGGGGGGGGATAAAAGGTAGACACAGGTAACAGATGATACCTGGGGGGGACAAAATAGGTAGACACAGGTAACAGATGATACCTGGGGGACAAAAGGTAGACACAGGTAACAGATGATACCTGAGGGGGACAAAAGGTAGACACAGGTAACAGATGATACCTAAGGGGGACAAAAGGTAGACACAGGTAACAGATGATACCTGAGGGGGACAAAAGGTAGACACAGGTAACAGATGATACCTGAGGGGGACAAAAGGTAGACACAGGTAACAGATGATACCTGAGGGGGACAAAAGGTAGACACAGGTAACAGATGATAACTGAGGGGGACAAAAGGTAGACACAGGTAACAGATGATACCTGGGGGGACAAAAGGTAGACACAGGTAACAGATGATACCTGAGGGGGACAAAAGGTAGACACAGGTAACAGATGATACCTGAGGGGGACAAAAGGTAGACACAGGTAACAGATGATACCTGGGGGGACAAAAGGTAGACACAGGTAACAGATGATACCTGAGGGGGACAAAAGGTAGACACAGGTAACAGATGATACCTGAGGGGGACAAAAGGTAGACACAGGTAACAGATGATACCTAAGGGGGACAAAAGGTAGACACAGGTAACAGACTGGATTGATACCTGAGGGGGACAAAAGGTAAAAGCAGGTAATAGATTGGCTTGATACCTGAGAGGGACAAACTGTTCAACAAATATATTTTCTAAAATGTATTTTTAGAAATATTTTAAAATTACTTGTTCGAAGAAGAAAAAACATGCCAGAATTTAAATTGAATATTAAAAATTTAATTATCAAACAGTTTTTTTAGGTGCTTCTAAAATGCTAATGCTAATGACATAAGTTTATTTTTTAATCAATGTAAACAAAATATAATGATTTGAATTTTGGGGAAAAAATGTATTAAAAAAATCTATGACCTAATTAGTTCATTTTGTGTTATATTTTATATAAAAAATTTACAATGATTTACCCTAAATCAAATTTTAAATCCAATTTTTAAATTTTAAAAAAACAGTTTTTAAATTTTTAATTAGTAGTAGTTAGAATAATACATTTTGTCTAAAATTTTACAGTGAGTTTTTTCGCATCTAAATAGAGTTAACCTGCTGGAGAAAATTTAAAAAAAAATTAATTTCCTGCATCTATAGGAACTGAATTAATTAAATTGCTTTTTATGGATTAATGCTACATAAACAAGAGCCATTACCTGAATTAGCATAAGATAACCACATGGCAAAGGTCAGCCAGTCCAAGAGTGTTGAGGTGCTGGTCAAGAAGAAGAAGAGGACGTGGATGAGGACAAATGGAAACCACATGACCAGCACTGAGAAGCAAATGACCCACAGCATCAGGACCTGGGGACAACCATAGATAGGACCCATCAACACAGATTCCTACATTTTTAGTTCTATTCTCTTTAGCTTGGCTAAATGAGATGACATTTTGTTTCATAAATATTAATGTGACAACAGAATAAAATGATTGTAGGAAACAAAAAACCACAGAAAAAAAGTCACTGGAATAAAGTCACAGGAAAAAAGTCACTAATGTGTATTTGCATGGAATTTGTTAATATTTTTACTTATTAAATATTTTAAAAGTGCAAATCAATCTACATTAATTAAATATGATGTAATGTGTGTAGTTTGTATACATATATTATATTTGTAATACATAAAAATAATTAGTATAAAGTAAGTTTTAATTCCGTCATACATATAATATTTTGTAGAACAATGACATAAAACAAGACTAAGCCCCACCCACCATCAAATATGAATGTGACAATAGAATAAAACAAGACTAAGCCCACCTGCCATCAAATATGAATGTGACAATAGAATAAAACAAGACTAAGCCCACCCACCATCAAATATGAATGTGACAATAGAATAAAACAAGACTAAGCCCCACCCACCATCAAATATGAATGTGACAACACAATAAAACAAGACTAAGCCCACCCGCCATCAAATATGAATGTGACAATAGAATAAAACAAGACTAAGCCCCACCCACCATCAAATATGAATGTGACAACACAATAAAACAAGACTAAGCCCACCCGCCATCAAATATGAATGTGACAATAGAATAAAACAAGACTAAGCCCACCCACCATCAAATATGAATGTGACAATAGAATAAAACAAGACTAAGCCCACCCACCATCAAACATGAATGTGACAATAAAATAAAACAAGACTAAGCCCACCTGACATCAAATATGAATGTGACAATAGAATAAAACAAGACTAAGCCCACCTGCCATCAAATATGAATGTGACAATAGAATAAAACAAGACTAAGCCCACCTGCCATCAAATATGAATGTGACAATAGAATAAAACAAGACTAAGCCCACCTGCCATCAAATATGAATGTGACAATAGAATAAAACAAGACTAAGCCCACCCACCATCAAATATGAATGTGACAATAGAATAAAACAAGACCAAGCCCACCTGCCATCAAATATGAATGTGACAATAGAATAAAACAAGACCAAGCCCACCTGCCAGCCCTTGTGTTCTCGCTCGTCACTGAACTCCAAGTCCCGTAACTCATCTCGCTTCTGGAAAAATGTTATTGTGGTTGCTATGAGCAACCCGACAGAAATGACTGCTGGGACTGCATACCCAGCCAACTCAATGATGAGGGAGAAAGGTTTGTTCAAGTGTAGGAAGCAATAGCCTTCAGCTGAGTTCACCCCGGTCCCTGTTTCTCCGTAGATATAAATGGGCACAATGATGCCCAGCCCACCTGCCCAGGTGAGCATGATGAGGACTGACGTCATGACGTACTTGCAGGCGCCCTCAGCAAAGTAGGGACAGGAGAAGAGGACGAATCTGTCAAAGATGATGGCCACGATGGCCAGGATGGACACGGTGCAGACGGCCATGTCTGCAATCAGCCAGATCCTACACAGCTGCTCGTCGTGGATCCACTGGTTCCGGAGTCTGTACTCGGTCAACAGGGGCATGACCAGCACCCCCATGACCAGCCCCGCCACACACAGGTTACACACATGCAAGTTGAAGCTGATCTGGGAACAAAACAAAGTTCACAACAGTTGCTTCAGTAACAGATTCAAGTAGGGGTTTTAAAAGAAAACAACTGCAAGCTGAGATGGTACATGCTTTCAAATAGAAAACCAACACTCAACTCTTCTAGCTGAGGGTTCATGATCTAGATGAGTGATTCATGTGCTATTGGAGGGGTTCATGTCATATCTGAGGGGGTTCATGTCTTAGCTGAGTGGTTCATGTGCTAACTGAGGGTTCATGTGTTATCCACATAATCTTGCTAATTGCATTAAAAAAGTAAGCTCCAAAAGGGAGATTAATTAATTTATAAGTCCAATCTTGTGTTTTTAAAATGTGATCATAAAAACGTGACTGAGTTGTTTTTGTATGAATTGTCCTTCAGATCGAGTTTTTTTTATTTTTAAATAATTTAATGCCACGCTAAAGGCGAATTGTACATAAAGACTTTTTTGGCCCACGCCATCAATAATAATCAGGCCTCTCTCAGCCGGCTGGGCTAAATGCCATTAAACATTTTAAATCGTAGGCCAACCGCATGTTACCCCTCTCTTGATTCCTGCACATACACACCCACCCCACTGTTAAATTGTGCTGGACAGCCACGGGGCCTCAGCTGTGGAGCACGTTCAGCTAATTACAATCATTAACTCGTGGGTTTTTTTTTTTTTTTTTGCTGTTGTGTTTTCTTGCTTTATTTGTTATTTGTTTTCTTTTGTCGTCTTTTTAAAATTATTATTTAACAAGAAGAAAAAAAAAAGAAATCTCTCTGGAAAACGTTTTCTGGACATCCAGTTAACATCTGTTCTAAGAAATCATCCAATAAACTACGGCAAGCAATTTTGGCTGTCATTTACGCAAATCATACCACCCCCACTCCCCCCCCCCCCCCCACATAGAAAATATAACAGGCCTAATGAGCTAGAAATTGGTTTCATCTAAACACCAAACAATTTCCACAGGGGGGGGGGGGGGTAAACAGGCCTATGTGATATATATTTTATGTCGGCAATCGTCAGGTTAGGCAACTAGAGATCGCTAGACATGAGGCATTTCCTGCAAGAGTCAATACATACACAGGGTGTAGTGTTACCTCAATACAAATACAGACCCGTCTATTTATTTAACACCAGTAGCCCGGCTGTACCGCTGTAGTGTTGAAGCAGGGAAGGCCTACAGAAATGGAGTCTGGTGCTCCAGTCATTGGCAAATGGAAAGGTCTGATAAAAGCTGATTTGGGGGCGGGCTGCAACTGGCTTCAACTTCATTTCAAAGATTTTTTCTTTAACCTTATTTAAAAGCAAGCATATCTTGAGACGTCTGGTGACGTCACATGGGACAAATAGCACGTCTGGTGACGTCACTTGAGGCAAATAGCACGCCTGGTGACGTCACGGTAGACAAACAGCAGCACACGGCGGGCGTGCCGGCACAAGACGAGATCATTGAGATGGATGGGGACAAGTATCGACAGTTTAAGGTGGGGTCACGGGAGGTCAATCAGAGTACCGGGGTAACCAGTCGGTACTGACCCTGATATACAGGGGTAACCAGTCGGTACTGACCCTCATATACAGGGGTAACCAGTCGGTACTGACCCTCATATACAGGGGTAACCAGTCGGTACTGACCCTGATATACAGGGGTAACCTACCATCACACTGTCACTGGCCTACCTATCTAGGTAACCAACCATCACAGGCAAAGTTATGATAGGGGAGGGATAACAGCAGTTGAGAGGGGAGGGATAACACAGCAGTTGAGAGGGGAGGGATAAGACAGCAGTTGAGAGGGGAGGGATCAGACAGCAGTTGAGAGGGGAGGGATAACAGCAGTTGAGAGGGGAGGGATAACACAGCAGTTGAGAGGGGAGGGATAACACGGCAGTTGAGAGGGGAGGGATAACAGCAGTTGAGAGGGGAGGGATAACACAGCAGTTGAGAGGGGAGGGATAACACAGCAGTTGAGAGGGGAGGGATAACACAGCAGTTGAGAGGGGAGGGATAACACAGCAGTTGAGAGGGGAGGGATAAGACAGCAGTTGAGAGGGGAGGGATAACACAGCAGTTGAGAGGGGAGGGATAACACAGCAGTTGAGAGGGGAGGGATAACACAGCAGTTGAGAGGGGAGGGATAACACAGCAGTTGAGAGGGGAGGGATAACACAGCAGTTGAGAGGGGAGGGATAACACAGCAGTTGAGAGGGGAGGGATAACACAGCAGTTGAGAGGGGAGGGATAACACAGCAGTTGAGAGGGGAGGGATAACACAGCAGTTGAGAGGGGAGGGATAACACAGCAGTTGAGAGGGGAGGGATAACACAGCAGTTGAGAGGGGAGGGATAACACAGCAGTTGAGAGGGGAGGGATAACACGGCAGTTGAGAGGGGAGGGATAACAGCAGTTGAGAGGGGAGGGATAACACAGCAGTTGAGAGGGGAGGGATAACACAGCAGTTGAGAGGGGAGGGATAACACAGCAGTTGAGAGGGGAGGGATAACACAGCAGTTGAGAGGGGAGGGATAACAGCAGTTGAGAGGGGAGGGATAACACAGCAGTTGAGAGGGGAGGGATAACACAGCAGTTGAGAGGGGAGGGATAACACAGCAGTTGAGAGGGGAGGGATAAGACAGCAGTTGAGAGGGGAGGGATAACACAGCAGTTGAGAGGGGAGGGATAACACAGCAGTTGAGAGGGGAGGGATAACACAGCAGTTGAGAGGGGAGGGATAACACAGCAGTTGAGAGGGGAGGGATAACACAGCAGTTGAGAGGGGAGGGATAAGACAGCAGTTGAGAGGGGAGGGATAACACAGCAGTTGAGAGGGGAGGGATAACACAGCAGTTGAGAGGGGAGGGATAACACAGCAGTTGAGAGGGGAGGGATAACACAGCAGTTGAGAGGGGAGGGATAACACAGCAGTTGAGAGGGGAGGGATAACACAGCAGTTGAGAGGGGAGGGATAACACAGCAGTTGAGAGGGGAGGGATAACACAGCAGTTGAGAGGGGAGGGATAACACAGCAGTTGAGAGGGGAGGGATAACACAGCAGTTAAGAGGGGAGGGATAACACAGCAGTTGAGAGGGGAGGGATAACACAGCAGTTGAGAGGGGAGGGATAACAGCAGTTGAGAGGGGAGGGATAACACAGCAGTTGAGAGGGGAGGGATAACACAGCAATTGAGAGGGGAGGGATAACAGCAGTTGAGAGGGGAGGGATAACAGCAGTTGAGAGGGGAGGGATAACAAAAGTTGAGAGGGGAGGAATAACACAGCAGTTGAAGTTGAGATGGGAGGGATAACACAGCAGTTGAGAGGGGATGGATAACACAGCAGTTGAGAGGGGAGGGATAACACAGCAGTTGAGAGGGGAGGGATAACAGCAGTTGAGAGGGGAGGGATAACACAGCAGTTGAGAGGGGAGGGATAACACAGCAGTTGAGAGGGGATGGATAACACAGCAGTTAAGAGGGGAGGGATAACACAGCAGTTGAGAGGGGAGGGATAACACAGCAGTTGAGAGGGGAGGGATAACAGCAGTTGAGATGGGAGGGATAACACAGCAGTTGAGAGGGGAGGGATAGCAAAGCAGTTGAGAGGGGACGGATAACAGCAGTTGAGAGGGGAGGGATAACAGCAGTTGAGAGGGGAGGGATAACACAGCAGTTGAGAGGGGAGGGATAACACAGCAGTTGAGAGGGGAGGGATAACACAGCAGTTGAGAGGGGAGGGATAACACAGCAGTTGAGAGGGGAGGGATAACACAGCAGTTGAGAGGGGAGGGATAACACAGCAGTTGAGAGGGGAGGGATAACAGCAGTTGAGAGGGGAGGGATAACACGGCAGTTGAAGTTGAAAGGGGAGGGATAACACAGCAGTTGAGAGGGGAGGGATAACAGCAGTTGAGAGGGGAGGGATAACACAGCAGTTGAGAGGGGATGGATAACACAGCAGTTGAGAGGGGAGGGTTAACAGCAGTTGAGAGGGGAGGGATAACACAGCAGTTGAGAGGGGAGTGATAACACAGCAGTTGAGAGGGGAGGGATAACAGCAGTTGAGAGGGGAGGGATAACAGCAGTTGAGAGGGGAGGGATAACAGCAGTTGAGAGGGGAGGGATAACAGCAGTTGAGAGGGGAGGGATAACACAGCAGTTGAGAGGGGATGGATAACACAGCAGTTGAGAGGAGAGGGATAACACAGCAGTTGAGAGGGGAGGGATAACAGCAGTTGAGAGGGGAGGGATAACACAGCAGTTGAGAGGGGAGGGATAACACAGCAGTTGAGAGGGGATGGATAACACAGCAGTTAAGAGGGGAGGGATAACACAGCAGTTGAGAGGGGAGGGATAACACAGCAGTTGAGAGGGGAGGGATAACAGCAGTTGAGAGGGGAGGGATAACACAGCAGTTGAGAGGGGAGGGATAGCAAAGCAGTTGAGAGGGGACGGATAACAGCAGTTGAGAGGGGAGGGATAACAGCAGTTGAGAGGGGAGGGATAACACAGCAGTTGAGAGGGGAGGGATAACACAGCAGTTGAGAGGGGAGGGATAACACAGCAGTTGAGAGGGGAGGGATAACACAGCAGTTGAGAGGGGAGGGATAACACAGCAGTTGAGAGGGGAGGGATAACAGCAGTTGAGAGGGGAGGGATAACACGGCAGTTGAAGTTGAAAGGGGAGGGATAACACAGCAGTTGAGAGGGGAGGGATAACAGCAGTTGAGAGGGGAGGGATAACACAGCAGTTGAGAGGGGAGGGATAACACAGCAATTGAGAGGGGAGGGATAACAGCAGTTGAGAGGGGAGGGATAACAGCAGTTGAGAGGGGAGGGATAACAGCAGTTGAGAGGGGAGGAATAACACGGCAGTTGAAGTTGAGATGGGAGGGATAACACGGCAGTTGAGAGGGGAGGGATAACACAGCAGTTGAGAGGGGAGGGATAACACAGCAGTTGAGAGGGGAGGGATAACACAGCAGTTGAGAGGGGATGGATAACACAGCAGTTGAGAGGGGAGGGATAACACAGTAGTTGAGAGGGGAGGGATAACAGCAGTTGAGAGGGGAGGGATAACACAGCAGTTGAGAGGGGAGGGATAACACAGCAGTTGAGAGGGGATGGATAACACAGCAGTTAAGAGGGGAGGGATAACACAGCAGTTGAGAGGGGAGGGATAACACAGCAGTTGAGAGGGGAGGGATAACAGCAGTTGAGAGGGGAGGGATAACACAGCAGTTGAGAGGGGAGGGATAGCAAAGCAGTTGAGAGGGGACGGATAACAGCAGTTGAGAGGGGATGGATAACACAGCAGTTGAGAGGGGAGGGATAACACAGTAGTTGAGAGGGGAGGGATAACAGCAGTTGAGAGGGGAGGGATAACACAGCAGTTGAGAGGGGAGGGATAACACAGCAGTTGAGAGGGGAGGGATAACACAGCAGTTGAGAGGGGAGGGATAACAGCAGTTGAGAGGGGAGGGATAACACGGCAGTTGAAGTTGAAAGGGGAGGGATAACACAGCAGTTGAGAGGGGAGGGATAACAGCAGTTGAGAGGGGAGGGATAACACAGCAGTTGAGAGGGGAGGGATAACACAGCAATTGAGAGGGGAGGGATAACAGCAGTTGAGAGGGGAGGGATAACAGCAGTTGAGAGGGGAGGGATAACACAGCAGTTGAGAGGGGAGGGATAACACAGCAATTGAGAGGGGAGGGATAACAGCAGTTGAGAGGGGAGGGATAACAGCAGTTGAGAGGGGAGGAATAACACGGCAGTTGAAGTTGAGATGGGAGGGATAACACAGCAGTTGAGAGGGGATGGATAACACAGCAGTTGAGAGGGGAGGGATAACACAGTAGTTGAGAGGGGAGGGATAACAGCAGTTGAGAGGGGAGGGATAACACAGCAGTTGAGAGGGGAGGGATAACACAGCAGTTGAGAGGGGATGGATAACACAGCAGTTAAGAGGGGAGGGATAACACAGCAGTTGAGAGGGGAGGGATAACACAGCAGTTGAGAGGGGAGGGATAACAAAGCAGTTGAGAGGGGAGGGATAACACAGCAGTTGAGAGGGGAGGGATAACACAGCAGTTGAGAGGGGAGGGATAACACAGCAGTTGAGAGGGGAGGGATAACAGCAGTTGAGAGGGGAGGGATAACACGGCAGTTGAAGTTGAAAGGGGAGGGATAACACAGCAGTTGAGAGGGGAGGGATAACAGCAGTTGAGAGGGGAGGGATAACACAGCAGTTGAGAGGGGAGGGATAACAGCAGTTGAGAGGGGAGGGATAACACGGCAGTTGAGAGGGGATGGATAACACAGCAGTTGAGAGGGGAGGGATAACACAGTAGTTGAGAGGGGAGGGATAACAGCAGTTGAGAGGGGAGGGATAACACAGCAGTTGAGAGGGGAGGGATAACACAGCAGTTGAGAGGGGATGGATAACACAGCAGTTAAGAGGGGAGGGATAACACAGCAGTTGAGAGGGGAGGGATAACACAGCAGTTGAGAGGGGAGGGATAACACAGCAGTTGAGAGGGGAGGGATAACACAGCAGTTGAGAGGGGAGGGATAACACAGCAGTTGAGAGGGGAGGGATAACACAGCAGTTGAGAGGGGAGGGATAACAGCAGTTGAGAGGGGAGGGATAACACGGCAGTTGAAGTTGAAAGGGGAGGGATAACACAGCAGTTGAGAGGGGAGGGATAACACAGCAGTTGAGAGGGGAGGGATAACACAGCAGTTGAGAGGGGATGGATAACACAGCAGTTGAGAGGGGAGGGTTAACAGCAGTTGAGAGGGGAGGGATAACACAGCAGTTGAGAGGGGAGTGATAACACAGCAGTTGAGAGGGGAGGGATAACAGCAGTTGAGAGGGGAGGGATAACAGCAGTTGAGAGGGGAGGGATAACACGGCAGTTGAAGTTGAGAGGGGAGGGATAACACAGCAGTTGAGAGGGGAGGGATAACACAGCAGTTGAGAGGGGAGGGATAACACAGCAGTTGAGAGGGGACGGATAACACAGCAGTTGAGAGGGGAGGGATAACACAGCAGTTGAGAGAGGAGGGATAACACAGCTGTTGAGAGGGGAGGGATAACAGCAGTTGAGAGGGGAGGGATAACACGGCAGTTGAGAGGGGAGGGATAACACAGCAGTTGAGAGGGGAGGGATAACAGCAGTTGAGAGGGGAGGGATAACACAGCAGTTGAGAGGGGAGGGATAACACAGCAGTTGAGAGGGGAGGGATAACACAGCAGTTGAGAGGGGAGGGATAACACAGCAGTTGAGAGGGGAGGGATAACACAGCAGTTGAGAGGGGAGGGATAACACAGCAGTTGAGAGGGGAGGGATAACACAGCAGTTGAGAGGGGAGGGATAACACAGCAGTTGAGAGGGGAGGGATAACAGCAGTTGAGAGGGGAGGGATAACACGGCAGTTGAAGTTGAGAGGGGAGGGATAACACAGCAGTTGAGAGGGGAGGGATAACACAGCAGTTGAGAGGGGAGGGATAACACAGCAGTTGAGAGGGGAGGGATAACAGCAGTTGAGAGGGAAGGGATAACACGGCAGTTGAGAGGGGAGGGATAACACAGCAGTTGAGAGGGGAGGGATAACACAGCAGTTGAGAGGGGAGGGATAACAGCAGTTGAGAGGGGAGGGATAACAGCAGTTGAGAGGGGAAGGATAACAGCAGTTGAGAGGGGAGGGATAACAGCAGTTGAGAGGGGAGGGATAACACAGCAGTTGAGAGGGGACGGATAACACAGCAGTTGAGAGGGGAGGGATAACACAGCAGTTGAGAGGGGAGGGATAACAGCAGTTGAGAGGGGAGGGATAACACAGCAGTTGAGAGGGGAGGGATAACAGCAGTTAAGAGGGGAGGGATAACAGCAGTTGAAAGGGGAGGGATAACAGCAGTTGAGAGGGGAGGGATAACACAGCAGTTGAGAGGGGAGGGATAACACAGCAGTTGAGAGGGGAGGGATAACACAGCAGTTGAGAGGGGAGGGATAACACAGCAGTTGAGAGGGGAGGGATAACACAGCAGTTGAGAGGGGAGGGATAACACAGCAGTTGAGAGGGGAGGGATAACAGCAGTTGAGAGGGGAGGGATAAGACAGCAGTTGAGAGGGGAGGGATAACACAGCAGTTGAGAGGGGAGGGATAACAGCAGTTGAGAGGGGAGGGATAACACAGCAGTTGAGAGGGGAGGGATAACACAGCAGTTGAGAGGGGAGGGATTACACAACAGTTGAGAGGGGAGGGATAACACAGCAGTTGAGAGGGGAGGAATAACACAGCAGTTGAGAGGGGAGGGATAACACAGCAGTTGAGAGGGGAGGGATAACACAGCAGTTGAGAGGGGAGGGATAACACAGCAGTTGAGAGGGGAGGGATAACACGGCAGTTGAGAGGGGAGGGATAACACAGCAGTTGAGAGGGGAGGGATAACACAGCAGTTGAGAGGGGAGGGATAACACAGCAGTTGAGAGGGGAGGGATAACACAGCAGTTGAGAGGGGAGGGATAACACAGCAGTTGAGAGGGGAGGGATAACACAGCAGTTGAGAGGGGAGGGATAACACAGCAGTTGAGAGGGGAGGGATAACACAGCAGTTGAGAGGGGAGGGATAACACAGCAGTTGAGAGGGGAGGGATAACACAGCAGTTGAGAGGGGAGGGATAACACAGCAGTTGAGAGGGGAGGGATAACAGCAGTTGAGAGGGGACGGATAAGACAGCAGTTGAGAGGGGAGGGATAACACAGCAGTTGAGAGGGGAGGGATAACACAGCAGTTGAGAGGGGAGGGATAACACAGCAGTTGAGAGGGGAGGGACAACACAGCAGTTGAGAGGGGAGGGATAACACAGCAGTTGAGATGGTCTACTACAACAGTCTACGCACTACAGCAGTGCTCACTCAAGTCATGTGATCAACACAGCTCAATATAATTTTACGTTGAAATTCGCGAGGCAACTTTTCTAGTAAATGTGTCTATGGCTAGCTAACAATAATTTAACACTATGTAAATATAATGTGTCGGTGGCTAGCTAACAATAATTTAACCGTATGTAAATATAATGTGTCGGTGGCTAGCTAACAATAATTTAACCGTATGTAAATGGAATGGGTCTATGGCTAGCTAACAATAATTTAACCGTATGTAAATGGAATGGGTCTATGGCTAGCTAACAATAATTTAACCGTATGTAAATGGAATGGGTCTATGGCTAGCTAACAATAATTTAACCGTATGTAAATGGAATGGGTCTATGGCTAGCTTACAATAATTTAACCGTATGTAAATATAATGTGTCGGTGGCTAGCTAACAATAATTTAACCGTATGTAAATGGAATGTGTCTATGGCTAGCTAACAATAATTTAACCGTATGTAAATGGAATGTGTCTATGGCTAGCTAACAATAATTTAACCGTATGTAAATGGAATGTGTCTATGGCTAGCTAACAATAATTTAACCGTATGTAAATGGAATGTGTCTATGGCTAGCTTACAATAATTTAACCGTATGTAAATATAATGTGGTTATGGCTAGCAAATGATAACTCAATCAGAATGAACTCTCCACCTCAGCTTAATAAGTTAACTTAGCTGTCTACACATGAAAAAATGTATGCATCAAAGAGTTTCATTTGAAAACGTGCACCAACTAAAAGAAGAAAGTTGCCACTCACCTTTCTCCTGTACTCACTCCTGAGTATGGCCAGGATGATGACGAGGTTGGAGAAGATGACCCACAAGGTGAAGGCTATCACGAGCAGCTCCTCCGGCCTGAACCTGGCCTTAGGCTCGTGAGGCGAACTTGTGGTGGAGGTCACGCCTAACTCATCCATGATGCTGCACTCAACAGCCGTCGTCTGCTCACATCGTTACAAGAACTTCAAGAGAGAGAAGATTTTCCACGTCTAAAGCATCAGCAGCATGGCCAGTCTGTCATTAGCCTAATCAATAGCAGGGGGGGGGGAGCCAGGGGTCTGAATCACCGGCCATCTACCACACTACGCCGCCGTCTGTACATTTGTCATCCAACAAATGTCACATAGTACAACTTTCCCCAGGCACACCCCAGTGACCAACATATCTCATCTGCAAATCTAATTGTACCCCTCATGGAATTATTTCAACGCCCCGCTAGTACCGGTACCACAGGGTCGACAACTCCAGGATACACGGGCTCAACTTAAAGGGCGGGCACTCGTGCAACGTTTTATGCTAAGAGAAAAATGCCCAATTAAGTTGGGTGAAATAAATCAGTGTTGTTGGATGAAATAAATCTGTGTTGTTGGATGAAATAAATCTGTGTTGTTGGATGAAATAAATGGGTTGTTGGATGAAATAAATCTGTGTTGTTGGATGAAATAAATCTGTGTTGTTGGATGAAATAAATCTGTGTTGTTGGATGAAATAAATCTGTGTTGTTGGATGAAATAAATGGGTTGTTGGATGAAATAAATCTGTGTTGTTGGATGAAATAAATCTGTGTTGTTGGATGAAATAAATATGTGTTGTTGGATGAAATAAATCTGTGTTGTTGGATGAAATAAATCTGTGTTGTTGGATGAAATAAATGGGTTGTTGGATGAAATAAATCTGTGTTGTTGGATGAAATAAATCTGTGTTGTTGGATGAAATAAATCTGTGTTGTTGGATGAAATAAATCTGTGTTGTTGGATGAAATAAATCTGTGTTGTTGGATGAAATAAATCTGTGTTGTTGGTTGAAATAAATATGTGTTATATGCCAATGTTGTGGCTACTACCATTATGTTATATACCATCATTGTGGCTTCCATCATCATGTTATATAAATGCCAATGTTGTGGCAACCACCATCATGTTATAAGCCAATGTGGTGGCTACTACCATCATGTTATATGCCAATGGTGTGGCTACTACCATCATGTTATATACCAATGTTGTGGCTACCACCATCATGTTATATGCCATCATTGTGGCTTCCATCATCATGTTATATAAATGCCAATGTTGTGGCTACTACCATCATGTTATAAGCCAATGTTGTGGCTACTACCATCATGTTATATGCCAATGTTGTGGCTACTACCATCATGTTATATGCCATCATTGTGGCTACTACCATCATGTTATATGCCAATGTTAAGGCTACTACCATCATGTTATATGCCATCATTGTGGCTACTACCATCATGTTATATGCCAATGTTGTGGCTACTACCATCATGTTATATGCCAATGTGGTGGCTACTACCATCATGTTATATCCATGTGAAGCTGACTTAAATATAAGGTATTTTATGTTATTAGTGCATATGTAATAACATATTTTAAACAATATCTTTTACTTGGGGTAAAGAGGTTAGGACTATGGATAGTCTAAGAAAATAATGAATTTTTTTCAAAACAAATATGAGGAATTTTAACAGGAATTAAATGAGTATCTTTTGACGTATAGATCTTCATTTTAGGTAGAAGTGTTTTATTTTCTTAGACAATTTTGTCACACCGTAGAAGAATTACGCACTGTGCTTACATCCTCTCACAATCCTGTCGAGAAAATAAACACTGTGCTTATTTCCTCTGAACCTCGAGATAATATTTAGATATCGTCAACCGGATGTGAGAGGGTCTAAGGACACTAGTATTCCCTTTAGTGTTTGCTGAAATAAGCACTACCATAGCCTAAAAAATAATTATTAAAAATAAATAGGCCTAAAATAGGCCAACTTTAAATAAATGTTAAATGTAAGCCTACACCATACTATAGTCAACAGTTCAAGGATTTAAACATTACCTGACTCCTTATGCCCCAAATGTTGATTTTTGGGGATATATGGCTATGGGTCATAAATAAATACTAAACTGAACCATTTGATTAGATTTAATTAAACGAATCTATCTATATATATAAAAAGCAATGTATGTCTGTGTATGAGTGTGTCTGTCTTTTTTATGCATTACTACACCTTTCATCACATCCCCGTGAAACTTGTTGTTGAGAATACTCCTGGGGAGGTTTCTGTGGAAAAAATAAATTTCAAATCCACAGGGGTGGCGACCCAGCAGGGCGTGATTTGATTTTTCTCTATATAAGTTATATAAAAATAAAAGTTTGATGCGGTCCACCACCGTTCATCCAGTGCCATGAAACTATGTGGAGTTGATGAGAATACACTCAAAAAGGTTTCTGCTGGAAAAAAAATTAATTTCGCATGAGCGGCCCATGGCAGTGTTTGATTTGGTGTCTCTGTTTTTTCCATGAGCGCTATGGTGCCTACGTTTGTTTTAAGCAGTGCAATAGACTATTGACAAGATAGGGCGCTAGAGCCGTTCATTAAACAGGATCAGACGCGTTCCCCAGCACCCCTATAGGGTGCGATTTGGCACCCCAGACTTTCCTGTGAGCCCCTTACGTTACTTTTTAAAGAGCACCCTACAATACTAACATGGTGGTACACATGATCCGGTGATTACGCGTTTGAGAACAAGGTCACACGTCTAAGAATATGGTAACACAATGATGAAACCCTCTTAAAATATTACGTCATACTTTCTTCTGAGACTGCATCAATGCGCGGATGGGCACACTAGTTACTAAATATAATAGCCTTTGTTACTATGTGTAAGATGTGTTAGTAAAGGCTATGGGCCTAGTATTAAGTATATATTATTATTGACTACTAGACTTTATAGGCCTAATGTTCCTATATTTTCAATATTAGAAAACATGTAGTAGAAATCTTTAAAAATATTGGTTATCTATCGTTTTAGGTACGTAAAATCGCCCGAGGCTAGTAATGTACAAAAAAGTTACCTCATTGTCAATGCTTTAATAGAAGTATATTGTGATATATTTGTGTCAAATATTATAGATAAATGAATAATAAACCTAAATCAATGGCTAAAAGTATCAATATAGGCAAGAAATTTACTTTAAACAGCAGTGTTTGCGAGCAGGATTAGCTATATAAAAAGCGGCCATCTGTATGTTAGAGTGGCTTCCCCTGAATCTTGTGCTATAAGTTTACAATTTAAAAAAATAAACAAGATGGCTGCTATAGTAAATGAGCATGGTTGCATCTGTTAGAAACATCGCTAGTCTTCATTTATTACTGAAAAGTTGAATTCAGTTGTTTAAAAACAGGTACATAAATGAAACAAGGAAACATTTTTGTATTTTTCAAAACATAAATCCTCCTCAAAATGTGAAATAATTATTAAAATTTAAGGAGTCACCTGTTTTTCACATTACTAGTCTTTAGCGATTTTAGGTAGGCCCTACCTAGATCTTTGTCCTAAAGTAAAATAATAGATTACCTAAGTCTTGCCTTAGTTCAACTAATAGTTAGTTATTAGTTAACTAAGTTAGTTAGATTAGATCTATTGTATACTAGATTCTTAGGGTAATCTATCGTTTTGGGTACGTAAAATCGCCCGCGACTAGTAATGTGAAAAACGGGTGACTCCTTGTTTTCTAAACTTACTAGGCATGCTGCCCAGCTTCGCTTAGGCTTTTGAAAACATTGAGAATATGAATGCTTAATTAATTCGCCCGAGGGTCGGTCTTCGACCTCAGGAGTTATGAAGAGGTTCCTACGTGGACAATTTTTTTTCGATTTATTGCTCATATAAGGCGCAGGTCAGTCGAGGTCAGTTTTGACCCCCTCGTCGTAGACTTTTCGGCCAAACGCCCCCCCCCTGCCAAATTTGAAGCGCTTGCTTTATATATTATAGAGATTGGCAAATTGTATAGATAAACAAAGATTTAAAATAAGTAATTAAGGCCTGAAATACTTAAGTGTAGAAATGTATTATTTGAATAGATTCTAGATCTAGGTAGGGTCTACATCTGTGTAAGTCTAGTTTTTCCGTAGATCTAGATCATCTAGATCTAGAACCTCTAGATCTAGATGATCTAGAATCTCTAGATGATCTAGATCTAGAATATCTAGATCTAGAATCCTAATAGAATTTTTTTTTTAAGTTTAGCCTGAGCAAAATTGTATTGTATAAATTTTATAGCGTACGTAGCTCTAAATCATAATTGAATGAAATAGTTCATTTCTTTATTTTATTCTAAACTCGGAAGATGACGTCATCAGTTTCGTGCTCTTTTTTTTTTAGTGTAAACAATAAGCGACGTCATTGTTAAATGCGTTCTTGTCCCAAGTATATACATTTTTCCGGTTGCATAAATAAAATTGTTTTTCTACATTCGAATACGCCACTGGAAACAATAAAAAAATTTATAATTACAACAGTATGATAACTCAAGTGACTTAATGAATATCATAAAGAAACAGTTCCCAGAAAGATGCGCAAGGGGAAAAAAGCACTTTCCTGTTTGCGCAATTAACTGTGTGCTCAATTTTCTGGTTGAGCATTTTTTTGCGCATTTTTCCGTTGCAAATCTTTTTGGTCACCTAAAGAAACAAATTATTCAAATACATGTTCTCTACGCCCAATAACGCTATTGTTATTTATTTTATTTTTCTTCTTTAAATAAAATGTTGGTTATACATTTAAAACATCTACCATATTTTTTTCAACAAAAGTCCGTATCAAGTTCTCTATATATCGCTGAAGATTCTGATGTGATGTCCGGCGAAAATATTTTGCGGACAGAGAGTGTGAAGAGCGCACATGGCCTTTTATATATTAGGATATCGCGAGATTCAGGGGGAAGCCACTCTATTTTACAAATGGCTGCTGTTTATATAGTTATATAGCAAAACCTGCTCGCCAAAACTGCTGTTTAAAGTTAATTTCTGGCACATATTTATATATTTATTATTGGTAATCTATCGTTTTGGGTACGTAAAATCGCCCGCGATTTGTAATGTGAAAAACAGGTGACTCCTTAAATTTTAATAATTATTTCACATTTTGAGTAGGATTTATGTTTTAAAAAATTCAAAAATGTTTCCTTGATTCATTTATGTACCTGTTTTTAAACAATTGAATTAAAACTTTTCCGTAATAAATGAAGACTAGCGATGTTTCCAACAGATGCAACCATGCTCATTTACTATAGCAGCCATCTTGTCCAAGTTTTATTTTTAATAAAAGCTTTTAGCGCCAGATTCAGGGGGAAGCCACTCTATTTTACAAATGGCTGCTGTTTATATAGCAAATCTTGCTCTCAGACACTGCTGTTTAAAGTTAATTTCTGGCCTATATCGATATATTTTATTTAGCCATTGATTTAGGTTTATTATTCATTTATCTATAATATTTGACACAAAAGTATGACAATAAACTTCTATTAAAGCCTTGACAATGAGGTAACGTTTTCGTACATAAATAGCCGCGGGCGATTTTACGTACCCAAAACGATAGATTACCTTATTATTTAGCCATTGATTTAGGTTTATTATTCATTTATCTACAATATTTGATACAAACATATCACAACATAATTCTATTAAAGCCTTGACAATGAGTTAACTTTTTCGTACATTTTTTAGCCGCGGGCGATTTTACGTACCCAAAACGATAGATTACCTACCAATACCATTCTTTCTTACTCTTAGTAACTAGATCTAGATCTAGATTTAGATCTGTCTATATAAAATTATCTAAAAAATTAATTTACCCAGGCTTTTCATTAATTAGGCCTAAATCCAAAAAAAAAATAACTTCCTTAGATTTAGAGTTAGACTAAGTCATTAAACTCAGTAAACTGCAGCTCAAAACAAACATTTTATACCGGAAACGCCTAGATTTTGGATCCAGTTTCGATTTTAGATTTGTTAACTTAGTAACTAAGTAGGCCTAACTAATTTAGGCCTTATATTTGGCCTAAATAAAGACATGGATTAGATTTAGGAATAAGAGCTGTTGTTGGAGTCATATTTAAATGCAAACTAGCTATTATTAGCCTCTCTCACTGAAATAGAAGCATAAATTAATGTTAGGCCATCTCGATAACACGCTTTCCCTTTAGCTAACTGTATAGCTGTATAGATAAATTTGGTTTATTAGAGGACAACTGTCAACCGAACTACTAGGCCTACTATCCCTAACTTGACAGTGAATGGTCTAGGATTTGTCGTTACTACGGAAAAATTAAAGTAGAAGATGGCTAACCATTTTTGCCGAAATGATGCAACCATATTTTTTAATACATTTATTATTTATGAACCGATTTTGGCTTTAAAATGTTATAAAAACTGGTCCAGGTTTAAAAAAAAAAAGATTGTGGTTGATCTACCTAAAAATAAAATCAATAAGACTCAGTTACTAAAAATAAACAGTAGACTAACCAATCATATTAGAGATTGCACAACCCCAGTGCTAGCTATATAAAGCTAAGCCAACGTTAGCAACATCAGACGAGCCTGCAGACTTCTGTCCAAGGCTAGCGTCATTTAGCCGCTTACTTCGAAACTTCTTCAGCACAATGATAGACAGATAACCTTGGCGGGCTCTGGGCACTTTCAAGTGTCCAGAGTCCACCCAAGGTCCTTGGGCGTCAGACATTTGACGACCCGTTTTCACAGCTCCGGGGAAGCTGAGTCAACCAAGTGGACAGCTGCAACACAACCCACACCCCACCCAAACTCGGGCTTCGGTTGAGTCTTGTTCGCTGTCGGAGTGTTACGGATGATCCGACCTTCTCAGTCGCCATTGGCGGACAGCTCCATCAGACGGCGGACAGACGAGACTAGCCCAGGTCAGACGGGGTCGTATCCTGCCCAGTATAGCGGCCGCGCCGTCACACTTCAAGTGTGCTTTGCAGTTGGGCGGGGTGCGGCTCCTGAAGACCACCCCCAATCGGACTGGCTGTGGGGTACGCCTGGCATTTCATGACCCGTACCTCTGGCTTCGGTCCTTTTGGGGGACATGTTAACTACAGATGCAGGAAGAACTAAAGTGTTCAGGGAAAGGCAAGTTCTTGAAGGGGCTTTGCACTAGTCTTGTCTATGTTGGAAATATTCAAGAACTGTTGTTTTACATGGATGATACTGTGATTAACTTGTGAGCAGGCAAGATATTGCATCTTCACGTAGGTTTAAGGACTAGATTAGACTACAATGTTGCTTTTAATGAAGAAAGGTAGCTCCATATGGCTATAGATCCTCCTTTAAGTCACAGACAAGATTCAGCCAAAGAAAACACCAGTAAGAAACAAATCAAATTGTAGAGTTTTTAATTCATGGCAGTGGTAAACAAACTAGTTGCCAAAAATAAATTTGAGTAGAGGAAAAAAAACAACATCTATGGAAACAATGAGTTAACAAGTGAAACACTTTGCATTGCTGGTAGGTGGAGAATAAAAAAATGTAACAGTATCTCCCCATTTGCCATTTCATCTTATTTTATGGAAGATTATCTCTTGTGCTAGATACATGATTTTACTTGTTTTGTAACCATTTTTCTAAGCATCAATTATTAGCTTCTGCACAGTACTATACTTGAAATTTTAAATAGTTAAGTATAATTAACTTTATTGTTTTAGCTAGTGCTCCAAATAGAAATGAAGTATTGAATTTGTCGAGGTACAAACTGTGTGACAACAAGTCAACCAGAGGTAACTTGGCTGAAATGTCAACATCTATGGGGTAGAGGCGAAAAAGTGAAACATCTATCATTAAAATACAGTTAATGCAAATCAAGCTTTCTTTAGTGACACCATGAACTGAAATACTGGTAAAAAAATAAGTCAATGTCAGCATTGTGTAAATTACCTCTAGTTGTTGGCAGTGATTTCTTCAATGTGTGATTGTCCAAGTGATATTAACTAGGTAGTAATCAAAATGAGTTTTCTGTCACCTTTTCAGTTACATAATTTTATATTGTACAAGTACATTCTTGTTTCAAATAAATAAAATGTACAATCTTGTTAGACACAGGGGAAAGAGCTGAGATAAACCTGGGTATACTTCTGGTATTTGGACAGCATTTGGTCAATTTATTGAATACTTGACATACATTTCATGGGCACAAACTGAAATGCTGTCTTCAAAAAAGTCGTTATAATATAAATGTTAATAATTGTCACCAACAATTATTTTTCCTGAAAATCTAATACAAGATGTAGCGGAAATGAATTTAATATCATGTTACCTACGGTCATGTCAATGTAACAATTGTATCCTATTCCTGATTGAAAAAAGTAGAAATTCATCCAACACAAGTTTTTATAAGGGTTTAAAATGTATAAAAATAGAAATAAGAAGTTGTAATTTTGCTTAAGTCAACAGTGTCATTTTTTAAAACTATAGATTTCAAGTACCTACACCATTCCTACAAGAGCAGTTCATTTAAAAATACAGCATTATGACGTCAAGTAGTAGGGGAAAAACCAAGTATAAAAATGATTATTGTATACATCTGTTTTTCAGTCAGGATCTGACTGCTACGTAAAGTTATCAACAGTAAACAGTTAGTGTGTAAACGTATATGATATGTAACTAACAATAAGTTATAAAAATTTAAAAACACAACTTGATATTTACAAATATGTTAAGTGCCTCTCATCAGCAGTACACAGGTAAATCAATAAGTGGCTAACTTCTTCAGGTAGGAGTGGCTAATCTGAGATAAACTGGTTTTATTAACTAACCTAACCAGTCCAGGTAGTGGTGGTGGTTAACCTACCCTAACCAGGTAACTTAACCTCATCTGTTCTGACATTATAAGTAACCTAACCTGTCCAGGCAACGTTGGCAAACCTAACCTGTTCAGTCAATAGTGGCTAACCTAACCTGTTCAGTCAATAGTGGCTAACCTAACCTGTTCAGTCAATAGTGGCTAACCTAACCTGTTCAGTCAATAGTGGCTAACCTAACCTGTTCAGTCAATAGTGGCTAACCTAACCTGTTCAGTCTATAGTGGCTAACCTAACCTGTTCAGTCAATAGTGGTTAACCTAACCTGTTCAGTAATGGCTGCTGACTGGCCCAGGTAATATGGGCTAAACTGCTTCTCAGGTGAACCAAGCAGAACTAAAACACGCAGAGAAAAGGCAATATATCACAGTTAGTACTGGGGTTGGTCACCTAGATAAGTGACGCTACAGGGTGGTGACCTACAAATCAAGCAGTGATGAGTGACACAAGTGCTATACTAAATTACAGCACAGGACTTAAGTTTTTTACTATCTTAAAATGTGCTACATTTTATTTGTTCATCCTATACCATTAAAGGTAAAACACAAGTTATTCATTCATACAACACACCAATGTTGAAATGAAAACTACACAGTCATGATTTTTAAATGAGCAAGTGCGTGTTTAAAAATATTCCAACAATAGTAATACTGAAATAATCATGTCCAAAAATGGAACATTAAAAATAGACTTGATGGAAGGTAATCACACACACTCAAACCAACAAGTGAATAAATACAAAATGGAAAATGTTATCCCTGTCAAGTGAGTGAGGCTAGCATGAATCCAGCGCCTCCACAACTGAATTTAATCCACTGCCTCCATGTCAGTATAGCCCAAATCAGAACCAGTATCAATCACCAGGCTTCTCGCCTCACCATCATCCTCTTCTCTTTCATCATCATCATAATTATAGTCATATTTCTCAGTATCAGCATCATAGCTATCTTTCTCTTTGTCACCCTTCTCCGTGTCGTCTCCCTCCCCCACATGAGCCCTCCCCCTAGGCAGCTGACTGACTGGGTACTGAGACATGATCCTACCCGAGTCACCAAAAGGGGCCTGGTCCCTACACATGTTCACAATGTTCATCTTCTCATAGCTGCAGCGCTCTGAAGCTTCCCCGCGCTTCAGCTCTCGCAGGAGTTTGTTGTTCACAGATTCCTTGATTCTCATGTTTGTGCTGGGGGTGGGCAGGATGTTGCCGTTTCTCTCATCCTCAACGTTGGAGTAAAGCAAGGTGGCTGATGCTTCAGAGGCTTCTAGGTTGGTCACAGAATTGCCAATGGTAGCGTGGCAACCACGACGCCGGTAAAACAGTAGGTAGGCATCAGGGGTGACAACTGATTTCTCATTGGGTACTGGGCTAACACGGCTGTCATCACACAATCTCCAGCCTGAAACAGAAACGCTACTTTAGTGGGGGTAGACAATTGATACCTAAACCTTCCTACAAGAGCTGCACTAGGGCACATACCAACATCATCCGCCCCGGTCAAGTTATCCCCTGCTAGTTTCACATAGGATGTGTAGTGACCTCCAATCAACAGGCCGTGATGATTAGCTACTCCATACAGATCATAGATAGCTGGAGGTTCATTTGGCTTTAAACCATGACAAAATGGTGTCATGTCCAAGCCTCTGGAAACAAAAAAAAATTATAATTACAAAAGTATGATAACTCAAGTGACTTAATGAATATCATAAAGAAACAGTTCCCAGAAAGATGCGCAAGGGGAAAAAAGCACTTTCCTGTTTGCGCAATTAACTGTGTGCTCAATTTTCTGGTTGAGTATTTTTTTTGCGCATTTTTCCATTGCAAATCTTTCTGGTCACCTAAAGAAACAAATTATTCAAATACATATTCTCTACGCCCAATAACGCTATTGTTTATTTATTTATTAAAAAGGGACAAAATATAGGCCTACTTGTTAAATAAAGGAATGTATTATTTCAAAGAAAATATATAATTTAATATGCTTTTCTAGTATTTATTATTTAGAGTGAATTTTGTGATGCAGCTATGAGGTCTGAGACCCCCACAGAGTACCTCAGTATTATTTCTAATATTTAAAAAATTACGACTTAACTATAGATTCTGATTATTTACTTTTAATAGCTAAAATATTTAACATAAATATAGAATCTATTTAACTATCTGATTCTTTAAAACAAACTGAAAACTAATGCGGAAAGCGATTGTTTATGCGAAACAATTGTAATAATTTGTCCAAAACTCAAGTTACTAAACTTTGTATAAAATAAAAAAGGCTAGAAATTTCCGGTATTTTTAATTAAAAAATCTTGCGCATGTTGTAGGGCTACTATATATAGTAAGCATAAATAGAGTAGAAGCGCTTTTTGCATGAAAATAATGCAACTGAAGCACAATAGGTAAAATAAAGTAATGGTCACGTCATGTTGCATAGGTAGTGAGGGGGGTATGTCGCATCCGGTGGCTTGTAGCAAATGAGTTAAAATACTTCTTGAAAAAAAAAACTTTTTAAAATACACAGAATAACATAATGCTTGCTTATATACAAAAGATACCTTTGGGTAGCTAAAAATATTAAATGATGCACATACCGTGTGGGGAAGTCAATATGCTTTTTAATCTTTGATCTCATGAGAAAGTTTTGGAATGAAAACCTTTTGAGCTGAATGACTAGGGTATGAGGTAGCCTCCACACAGCCATTTGTTTGCTGGCCTCCACATGTTTCTTGCAGGCTGGGCAGTACCTGCACAATGTACAGTGGGCATCATGAGATTAGACTTAAAGGTGGATTAAAAAGTTGGACTTCTAATTTCAACAAAACAATCTCTCACCAGGCTTCCTCTGGACTTAAAACCTCTGGCTCAGTAAACAGTTCTAAACACTGACTCAGTGTTGGTTTGTTACAAGCTGAAAGACAAATATGGGGAGAATATACACAGTGATCGAAGTTAATGCTTTTATTAGACAGATAGATTCTATGGACCAACAGAAAGGATTGACATACCTGCTGCCAAGTTGTTGAGATTGTCAGCTTCTTCTGCTTCCTGGAAAAATAAAAGAAATCAATCCAACTTAGGTGGTGTTACTTCAAACATACTTGTACTTATCAACTTTAGATATCAACATTTGTTAATGGACACCAACAACAGCCTCAAAATTAGTTGAAGGCCCATTTAAATTTTTAAAAAATCACGAGTGATGTTTTTAAAATAAATATAGTAATAAAATCAGACTGATGGTTGTTTTTGGACTTTGCTAAAACTTGGACATATTTGAAAACTAAAACAATTTGGTTGCAACTGAAAATGTAGCCTACATTATACATGGCATAACTTGGCCATGATGTTTTTAATAACTTTTTTTTTTAATTTTTTATTGACAATGTTTAGAATACAAATAACTAGAAGGTGGGGTTTTCAGTATATCAGTCATGGATTTTATGTACAGCCAATCAATGCTTGTCTTACAAAATTGAAACTTCAGGTTATAATTCAGGCTTGATGAAAATAAATAGAAATGTAGTCTTAAACAAAAACGTTTTCGAGTTCTGTTTTTGCAACTTTTATATCAATGATTCTTAAAATAAATTTTTGAATTTTTTTCACCCTTAACGTCTTTTTTTTTGCTTTATTTTGGGTACAATCAAGGGCAGCTGAATGGTAAAAAAATGGATGTAAATATACCAGTTCCTTGGATTGCACCAATACAAAAGATTGTAGCTTTTCATTGTTGCGCCAATCCATTGACAAATTCCTGTAGGGAAATTCTAGAGGCTGGTCACCTGAAATATATACACAGATCTCTCGTCAAAAATTCTTGGAAAGGAAGAAAATAGCTTGTCTTACTTTACTAAACCAAGGTCATAAATTGTGACAAATATCCTGATTTTATTCACCTTTATCTTCCAGACGATCTGCTCCTTTGATGCCATCACCCTCCAGATTGACAGGTTTAATAAAAAATGTGGGCATTGCACGGTCCCTCTCTACATCTCCCACTTGCATGCCCATAACATGGGACATGGGCACTTGCTTTTCTGAGGACTAAAACACGACTCAAACTTTCACTGCCTTGTTTATTCATTTGTTAGTTATGTTGTTTTTAAACCAATTTTTACTAGCAAAAAGTTTACTTTAAATGAGACAGAATCCAAGTTCTGAACTTACTTTAAATGAGACAGAATCCAAGTTCTGAACTTACTTTAAATGAGACAGAATCCAAGCCACTGTCTTGGTTGCTGTGTCTTGTGGTATCAAAGCTGTCAGAGCTTGCAGTTTGTGAACAAATCCCTGAACTCACTGCACATTCTGAATCTACAGCTAGCAAAACACAATCCTTACATCTTAGTACTGGCTCATTTTGATGCATCATAGTATATCTTTATTAAATACATTTTTTTACACCCACTAGGAGAGATCTGAATTAAGTTGATGTCAAAATTGGGTGACTTCTTGGATGACATTGTTAGAACCACAAAATGTAACAAGAAACACAGCTAATGAGGACCCACCATTAATGTTGGACGACATTGTTAGAACCACAAAATGTTACAAGAAACACAGCTAATGAGGACCCACCATTAATGTTGGACGACATTGTTAGAACCACAAAATGTAACAAGAAACACAGCTAATGAGGACCCACCATTAATGTTGGATGAGATAGTTAGAACCACAAAATGTTACAAGAAACACAGCTAATGAGGACCCACCATTAATGTTGGATGAGATTGTTAGAACCACAAAATGTTACAAGAAACACAGCTAATGAGGACCCACCATTAATGTTGAATGACATTGTTAGAACCACAAAATGTTACAAGAAACACAGCTAATGAGGACCCACCATTAATGTTGGAGGAGATTGTTAGAACCACAAAATGTTACAAGAAACACAGCTAATGAGGACCCACCATTAATGTTGGATGACATTGTTAGAACCACAAAATGTTACAAGAAACACAGCTAATGAGGACCCACCATTAATGTTGGAGGAGATTGTTAGAACCACAAAATGTTACAAGAAACACAGCTAATGAGGACCCACCATTAATGTTGGAGGAGATTGTTAGAACCACAAAATGTTACAAGAAACACAGCTAATGAGGACCCACCATTAATGTTGGAGGAGATTGTTAGAACCACAAAATGTTACAAGAAACACAGCTAATGAGGACCCACCATTAATGTTGGAGGAGATTGTTAGAACCACAAAATGTTACAAGAAACACAGCTAATGAGGACCCACCATTAATGTTGAATGACATTGTTAGAGCCACAGAATGTTAGAGAAACACAGCTAATGAGGACCCACCATTAATGTTGAATGACATTGTTAGAGCCACAAAATGTTACAAGAAACACAGCTAATGAGGACCCACCATTAATGTTGGATGAGATTGTTAGAACTACAAAATGTTACAAGAAACACAGCTAATGAGGACCCACCATTAATGTTGGAGGAGATTGTTAGAGCCACAGAATGTTACAAGAAACACAGCTAATGAGGACCCACCATTAATGTTGGATGAGATAGAGCCACAAAATGTTAGAGAAACACAGCTAATGAGGACCCACCATTAATGTTGGACGACATTGTTAGAACCACAAAATGTTACAAGAAACACAGCTAATGAGGACCCACCATTAATGTTGGACGACATTGTTAGAACCACAAAATGTTACAAGAAACACAGCTAATGAGGACCCACCATTAATGTTGGAGGAGATTGTTAGAACCACAAAATGTTACAAGAAACACAGCTAATGAGGACCCACCATTAATGTTGGAGGAGATTGTTAGAACCACAAAATGTTACAAGAAACACAGCTAATGAGGACCCACCATTAATGTTGGAGGAGATTGTTAGAACCACAAAATGTTACAAGAAACACAGCTAATGAGGACCCACCATTAATGTTGGATGAGATTGTTAGAACCACAAAATGTTACAAGAAACACAGCTAATGAGGACCCACCATTAATGTTGGAGGAGATTGTTAGAACCACAAAATGTTACAAGAAACACAGCTAATGAGGACCCACCATTAATGTTGGATGAGATTGTTAGAACCACAAAATGTTACAAGAAACACAGCTAATGAGGACCCACCATTAATGTTGGAGGAGATTGTTAGAACCACAAAATGTTACAAGAAACACAGATAATGAGGACCCACCATTAATGTTCGATGACATTGTTAGAACCACAAAATGTAACAAGAAACACAGCTAATGAGGACCCACCATTAATGTTGGATGAGATTGTTAGAACCACAAAATGTTACAAGAAACACAGCTAATGAGGACCCACCATTAATGTTGGAGGAGATTGTTAGAACTACAAAATGTTACAAGAAACACAGCTAATGAGGACCCACCATTAATGTTGGATGAGATTGTTAGAACCACCAAATGTTACAAGAAACACAGCTAATGAGGACCCACCATTAATGTTGGATGAGATAGAGCCACAAAATGTTAGAGAAACACAGCTAATGAGGACCCACCATTAATGTTGGACGACATTGTTAGAACCACAAAATGTTACAAGAAACACAGCTAATGAGGACCCACCATTAATGTTGGACGACATTGTTAGAACCACAAAATGTTACAAGAAACACAGCTAATGAGGACCCACCATTAATGTTGGAGGAGATTGTTAGAACCACAAAATGTTACAAGAAACACAGCTAATGAGGACCCACCATTAATGTTGGAGGAGATTGTTAGAACCACAAAATGTTACAAGAAACACAGCTAATGAGGACCCACCATTAATGTTGGAGGAGATTGTTAGAACCACAAAATGTTACAAGAAACACAGCTAATGAGGACCCACCATTAATGTTGGAGGAGATTGTTAGAACCACAAAATGTTACAAGAAACACAGCTAATGAGGACCCACCATTTATGTTGGATGAGATTGTTAGAACCACAAAATGTTACAAGAAACACAGCTAATGAGGACCCACCATTAATGTTGGATGAGATTGTTAGAACCACAAAATGTTACAAGAAACACAGCTAATGAGGACCCACCATTAATGTTGGAGGAGATTGTTAGAACCACAAAATGTTACAAGAAACACAGCTAATGAGGACCCACCATTTATGTTGGATGAGATTGTTAGAACCACAAAATGTTACAAGAAACACAGCTAATGAGGACCCACCATTAATGTTGGAGGAGATTGTTAGAACCACAAAATGTGAGAGAAACACAGCTAATGAGGACCCACCATTAATGTTGGAGGAGATTGTTAGAACCACAAAATGTTACAAGAAACACAGCTAATGAGGACCCACCATTTATGTTGGATGAGATTGTTAGAACCACAAAATGTTACAAGAAACACAGCTAATGAGGACCCACCATTAATGTTGGAGGAGATTGTTAGAACCACAAAATGTTACAAGAAACACAGCTAATGAGGACCCACCATTAATGTTGGATGAGATTGTTAGAACCACAAAATGTTACAAGAAACACAGCTAATGAGGACCCACCATTAATGTTGGATGACATTGTTAGAACCACAAAATGTTACAAGAAACACAGCTAATGAGGACCCACCATTTATGTTGGATGAGATTGTTAGAACCACAAAATGTTACAAGAAACACAGCTAATGAGGACCCACCATTTATGTTGGATGAGATTGTTAGAACCACAAAATGTTACAAGAAACACAGCTAATGAGGACCCACCATTAATGTTGGATGAGATTGTTAGAACCACAAAATGTTACAAGAAACACAGCTAATGAGGACCCACCATTAATGTTGGATGAGATTGTTAGAACCACAAAATGTTACAAGAAACACAGCTAATGAGGACCCACCATTTATGTTGGATGAGATTGTTAGAACCACAAAATGTTACAAGAAACACAGCTAATGAGGACCCACCATTAATGTTGGAGGACATTGTTAGAACCACAAAATGTTACAAGAAACACAGCTAATGAGGACCCACCATTTATGTTGGATGAGATTGTTAGAACCACAAAATGTTACAAGAAACACAGCTAATGAGGACCCACCATTAATGTTGGAGGAGATTGTTAGAACCACAAAATGTTACAAGAAACACAGCTAATGAGGACCCACCATTTATGTTGGATGAGATTGTTAGAACCACAAAATGTTACAAGAAACACAGCTAATGAGGACCCACCATTAATGTTGGAGGAGATTGTTAGAACCACAAAATGTTAGAGAAACACAGCTAATGAGGACCCACCATTAATGTTGGAGGAGATTGTTAGAACCACAAAATGTTACAAGAAACACAGCTAATGAGGACCCACCATTTATGTTGGATGAGATTGTTAGAACCACAAAATGTTACAAGAAACACAGCTAATGAGGACCCACCATTAATGTTGGATGAGATTGTTAGAACCACAAAATGTTACAAGAAACACAGCTAATGAGGACCCACCATTTATGTTGGAGGAGATCGTTAGAACCACAAAATGTTACAAGAAACACAGCTAATGAGGACCCACCATTAATGTTGGGTGAGATTGTTAGAACCACAAAATGTTACAAGAAACACAGCTAATGAGGACCCACCATTTATGTTGGAGGAGATCGTTAGAACCACAAAATGTTACAAGAAACACAGCTAATGAGGACCCACCATTAATGTTGGATGAGATTGTTAGAACCACAAAATGTTACAAGAAACACAGCTAATGAGGACCCACCATTAATGTTGGATGAGATTGTTAGAACCACAAAATGTTACAAGAAACACAGCTAATGAGGACCCACCATTAATGTTGAATGACATTGTTAGAACCACAAAATGTTACAAGAAACACAGCTAATGAGGACCCACCATTAATGTTGAACGACATTGTTAGAACCACAAAATGTTACAAGAAACACAGCTAATGAGGACCCACCATTAATGTTGGAGGAGATAGAACCACAAAATGTTACAAGAAACACAGCTAATGAGGACCCACCATTAATGTTGGATGAGATTGTTAGAACCACAAAATGTTACAAGAAACACAGCTAATGAGGACCCACCATTAATGTTGGATGAGATTGTTAGAACCACAAAATGTTACAAGAAACACAGCTAATGAGGACCCACCATTTATGTTGGATGAGATAGAACCACAAAATGTTACAAGAAACACAGCTAATGAGGACCCACCATTAATGTTGGGTGAGATAGAACCACAAAATGTTACAAGAAACACAGCTAATGAGGACCCACCATTTATGTTGGATGAGATTGTTAGAACCACAAAATGTTACAAGAAACACAGCTAATGAGGACCCACCATTAATGTTGGAGGAGATTGTTAGAACCACAAAATGTTACAAGAAACACAGCTAATGAGGACCCACCATTTATGTTGGATGAGATTGTTAGAACCACAAAATGTTACAAGAAACACAGCTAATGAGGACCCACCATTAATGTTGGAGGAGATTGTTAGAACCACAAAATGTTAGAGAAACACAGCTAATGAGGACCCACCATTAATGTTGGAGGAGATTGTTAGAACCACAAAATGTTACAAGAAACACAGCTAATGAGGACCCACCATTTATGTTGGATGAGATTGTTAGAACCACAAAATGTTACAAGAAACACAGCTAATGAGGACCCACCATTAATGTTGGATGAGATTGTTAGAACCACAAAATGTTACAAGAAACACAGCTAATGAGGACCCACCATTTATGTTGGAGGAGATCGTTAGAACCACAAAATGTTACAAGAAACACAGCTAATGAGGACCCACCATTAATGTTGGGTGAGATTGTTAGAACCACAAAATGTTACAAGAAACACAGCTAATGAGGACCCACCATTTATGTTGGAGGAGATCGTTAGAACCACAAAATGTTACAAGAAACACAGCTAATGAGGACCCACCATTAATGTTGGATGAGATTGTTAGAACCACAAAATGTTACAAGAAACACAGCTAATGAGGACCCACCATTAATGTTGGATGAGATTGTTAGAACCACAAAATGTTACAAGAAACACAGCTAATGAGGACCCACCATTAATGTTGAATGACATTGTTAGAACCACAAAATGTTACAAGAAACACAGCTAATGAGGACCCACCATTAATGTTGAACGACATTGTTAGAACCACAAAATGTTACAAGAAACACAGCTAATGAGGACCCACCATTAATGTTGGAGGAGATAGAACCACAAAATGTTACAAGAAACACAGCTAATGAGGACCCACCATTAATGTTGGATGAGATTGTTAGAACCACAAAATGTTACAAGAAACACAGCTAATGAGGACCCACCATTAATGTTGGATGAGATTGTTAGAACCACAAAATGTTACAAGAAACACAGCTAATGAGGACCCACCATTTATGTTGGATGAGATAGAACCACAAAATGTTACAAGAAACACAGCTAATGAGGACCCACCATTAATGTTGGGTGAGATAGAACCACAAAATGTTACAAGAAACACAGCTAATGAGGACCCACCATTAATGTTGGATGAGATAGAACCACAAAATGTTACAAGAAACACAGCTAATGAGGACCCACCATTAATGTTGGGTGAGATAGAACCACAAAATGTTACAAGAAACACAGCTAATGAGGACCCACCATTAATGTTGGAGGAGATTGTTAGAACCACAAAATGTTACAAGAAACACAGCTAATGAGGACCCACCATTAATGTTGGAGGAGATAGAGCCACAAAATGTAACAAGAAACACAGCTAATGAGGACCCACCATTAATTTTGGATGAGATTGTTAGAACCACAAAATGTTACAAGAAACACAGCTAATGAGGACCCACCATTAATGTTGGATGAGATTGTTTCTCCAATGTCCTCCTCCCCGTCCAGCTGGGCCTGGGGGTCAGACTGGTCACCAGTGAGCGTGCAGGTGCTGCTGGCGGAGGACAGGCTGTCCAAGCTGTTCAGGCTAGAACAGGACTGGCTTAGAGAGCTACTGAGGTTTGATGATGGCTTGTTTCCCACTTCTGTTGAGCGCACTGGAGGTTGGAAAATGTCCACAGAAAACCTATCAAGAAAACAAAGTGCTTTTATTTACCCCCAACAAAACCTATGAAGAAAAAGTGCTGTTACCACTAACAAAACCTATGAAGAAAACAAAGTGCTTTTATTTACCCCCCCCCCCACAAAACCTACGAAGAAAAAGTGCTGTTACCACTAACAAAACCTATGAAGAAAATAAAGTGCTTTTATTTACCCCCAACAAAACCTATGAAGAAAAAGTGCTGTAACAACCAACAAAACCTATGAAGAAAAAGTGCTGTAACAACCAACAAAACCTATGAAGAAAAAGTGCTGTTACCACCAACAAAACCTATGAAGAAAATAAAGTGCTTTTATTTACCCCCCACAAAACCTATGAAGAAAACAAAGTGCTTTTATTTACCCCCCCCCCCCCCCACAAAACCTACGAAGAAAAAGTGCTGTTACCACTAACAAAACCTATGAAGAAAATAAAGTGCTTTTATTTACCCCCAACAAAACCTATGAAGAAAAAGTTCTGTAACAACCAACAAAACCTATGAAGAAAAAGTGCTGTTACCACCAACAAAACCTATGAAGAAAATAAAGTGCTTTTATTTACCCCCAACAAAACCTATGAAGAAAAAGTGCTGCTACCCCCAACAAAACCTATGAAGAAAACAAAGTGCATTAGAAAATATGAGGCTTGTTAGAAACCTACCTTGAAAAGCCTTCCATATGTTTGATCAAATAGCCATAAGTAGCTCTGGAGGCAGGGACGGAGAGAATAAAAGGACAGCCAATAGGCTCAGGCTGGACGCTGCACGATGACTTATGCTGATTCCAGTGGGTCTTTTGACATAACCTGGGATTAAGGGAAGGAATGGTTAACTTTGATATAAACATTTAGTCATGTTTAGGTCATGTACACAACATTGGTCATTTAGCAGTCAATATTTAGAGAGCTGGAGCTAAAAGTAAAAACTGACCGGTCACAGTATCCGACTTTAAAACACTTGGTGCACCTCTTGAGCTGGTTGCTGGGATCATGACAAGTTTTTAGACAGGATGAACAAGTGGTAGGATAGTCCACAGGGAATAGGGTTCTCTGAGAACATGGGATTGCAGAGTTATGTTACTTGACTACCTGGTACTACACATCTAATATTAGTGGGATAATAATCCAGCCCTAGAATCTCACCTGCATCACAAGCAACTCAATAACCTCCTCGCCTGCCAACTCTTCAGATAGAACTTCACAGCTGTAAGAAAAAACATCAGAGCTTGATGGGTAGTTTAATTTATAAATCACTTACAATTATTTCCTTTTAATTTCAATCTGACTTTAACAGAATGTGTAGGCAAAACCAGCTTACGCTATTATAACATCCTTCTGCTCAACACTCGCTAGACTATATCTTGGTGGAAATCTTCTGTGAATGCGACCTTTGTACGCTTCAAAAACTCTGATCTGGAACACATCACATTGAAATTACAAGTTACAACTATCTCAGTCATTACATTACAATTTACAACTATCTCAGTCAAATTTATCTACTTCATGTCTAGTATTTTCATATATTAAGATTAAAAAGTTAAACAGTATGATATCATTGTTATTTCATTATTACCTAAGTGATAGCCCAAGTTTTACGTTAATTATTATTAATTGCATACTTTCTAGAACATGGTTCAAGAGACTTAATGAGTAAAAACACATTTTTAAAACAACCTTTAAAATTTAAATTTGACATGAAATTATACAAATTTCATTCAGTTTTTCTTGGTTAACACACAATGAAAAAAAAAAATTAACGATGTGACAGTGTGTAAAGGCCTGACTTTTATAAACTTACATCACAGGCTTGAACTCCAGTTCGGGCAGACAGTTCCTCTTTCAGTTTTTCAACGGTGCTCTCATAGCTGAGCTGGATCTGATACTAAAGTTTATTTGAAATACAAGGCAGAATTAAAAACTCTCATAGCTGAGATGGATCTGATACTAAAGTTTATTTGAAACACAAGGCAGAATTAAAAACTCGCCAAGATAAATTCAAAATTATTTTGTTACATTTCCACTATTTGGGGACAAACATTTGATCATTTTAAGTTTAAAAATTATCACAAACATTAGTTGCAACAGCTTCTAATAGAGGACAACAATAGGGTACTCTATACAGATCTTTCAAATCAATCACACAATAATAGCTTTTTAGATCTATTGCAAGTACTAATGTTTCAAACAATGTGGATACCAAGTTAATATCTATAAGTTAATAAGACAATGAGCTCTTTAGAAAAGACAATTACTCAAGCAAACAAGTAACCAAATCTTGTCTTAAATGAACTATTCTAACCAACCAATACTTAAATAACCACCCCTGACCAACTATTTAGACAACACTGAAGACAGTTTTTACCCTGACAGGCTTTTTGTAAGATTCTTTCCACATGAAATTCACAGGTACAATTTTCATTTTCTTTGGCAGCGGCACAGATAGGTAGAGGAAGGGATCAAATGTGATGGATACCTGAAATATATTTTTAAACATGAATTTTACTTTACTGAAAAATGTGCTAGCTGCAAAAATGTCAATATAATTAGTTTAAAAATGCCACTGTATTGATTTCCTTAGTTCAACTGTTTAGTACATAACAGGTTTAAAATTTGTTAGTGACTTACCTTTCCACACTTTGGACAAACCAGCTTGGATTTATATTGCCCTTGAAAGAGATCAACAACCACTGAGTCATTTCTCTGTTTGTATTGGGCCCAAGCCTCTGAGGCAACAACCTGAAATAAGTAGTTGGCAATTTGTAATGATCAAAATATGGTAAAAAAAAAAAAAAAAACAAAAAAAAAAAAACTGAAGAAATCTTGCAGAAACAGTCTAAGATGTAATATGTATACAGTAGAAAATTTAAAAAACTTCTTGATATTTAATTAACTATCATACATCTTGAGGGTCAACTTCTTAAAGGTTATACTAAAGCATAGAGACCACAAACAGGCCTGTCACCTCATCAGGTCGACCATCCGAGTCAACAGTTTGTGTGTATGGTTTCTTCCTGATGCGGTTCAAGTCCTGAAAGGATAGGAAAATATCAGCTCAGTCAATTTATAACCATTGGTATAAGGCAGGGGTCTCCAAACTTTTCAGTCCGAGGGCCGCATTAACTATCAAATTTCAGTTCGGGGGCCAGTTTCTACCAGGCATGTCTTTGATTTTTCTGGGCAAAGTTCCTCAGCCATCATCAACAAACGATTTTTCCTTGGTCAAAAAGATCTCCGCGGGCCGGATGAGAGGACTTCGCGGGCCGCATCCGGCCCGCGGGCCGTAGTTTGGAGACCCCTGGTATAAGGTAATCAGAAACAGTTCATGATTTCCAATCAAAGATACCTCACTACTTTCTTCTCCAATATATTTCAACTAAAAACAAAAAATAACGAGTCCATAAGTCCATACCTCATGTAAACCATCCAACAAGAAAGCCAGAAACTCATGTGCATCATGTTGAGCATAACCGAAAAACTGTGGGTTCTTTTTGGATATCAAATCCTGAAACATCATTACACAAAGATTAATATAGTACAAACCAATCACAGAAACTGTTTATTCCCCACCTAATCTAACCAACTATCCCTGGTAAATTTAAGTGTCCTACCTAAAGAATGATTTGTTTACCTTTAGTTTGCGTGGCTCCCAGCACTGTTTTTTACAAGACCAAAGTGATCGCATCAACATACCAAACGTAGATGCCAGTTGGCCTTTCATGCCTAGGGGGTTGTCCTCATTGATTTCTGCCTGAAACCTTCCATCTTTTCCCAGAATAAAACATATACATTACTCTCAATATTCAACTTACTTAAATAAATATACTAAATAACAACACAAATTTAACTAAATAAACTTAAGAAGTATTTCTACATCTTAACTGTTTCTAAATGCTTTTTTTAACTACATTAGTTTTTAGAATATTTTTTTTAAAGAATAAATAATAGATCAATGTTTTTAAATAATTAAATCTGTAACTAGTCGTCTCTTTGCTAAAACTTGCAACACACAATTCATGGAACAGGTGTTGATGAGGCTAGACTTACCTAGAAAGTAGTCCTAAACACTTAATGATGAGTTGGCTAGACTTACCTAGAAAGTAGTCCCTAAACTCCCTGGTATTAGCTAAAACTTGCAACACACAATTCATGAAACAGGTGTTGCCCAGGTTAACAAGGCCAGAAAAACCAGGGGACACAACCATCCCTGACTCAATGCTCTGGTTATTCAAGGGCTGAACTTTAGCTGTTGGTTTCTGTTAGAAAAAGAAAACATAATTATGGATTGTGTATAAAGACAAAAATTGTAATATTATTAGAAAAATTATTTCACTAGCATTCAGAGGATTTTCAAGCCAGAAACAGTGAGCGTATTTATATATATAGCATCAGGACATGTACCAAGTAACTCTGGTCTTACTTACATTCAGTTCATAAGGTAAATTTGATCTCAGCTTTAAGTTGTCTCCCATTGCAGCCCCCATTTCAGACTCTGTATCATTTCGCTGTAGGCACTCTGGAGCTAAGGCCACTTTAGACCTTGGTCCGCGTACATTAATATCAGAAAGGTCATCAAACATAACTTTAGAGGACTTGGCATCAGATACCTTAGCAGTGGACACTTCCTTGGTTGTGACATTAGACTTAGTGATGGGTATCCATGAGTCAGACCTGGATTTGTCTGAATTTTCTATAACAAAACATAAACAACTCAATTTGCAGGGCTTCTTTATGGATGGTTTACGTTATTAGTTAAATGAGAAGTAACAAAAACAAGTTCTAAATTCATAAGTGACAAGTTGGTAAAGTATTTGATACCTTAAGTATCCCAGAAGAATTGTTTAAATACACTAAATTCAGATAAAGTAAGAGCATGCTAGTAAAAAATTATAATTTAATTTGTCTCACTGAGAGAATGTGATGAATAAATACATATAATCTATGCATTGTCTGTTAGGACTATCTATCAATACCTTTTCTTGATAAAGCTTCCAGAGACGCCCATTTTTTATTACAAGTTTTCCCAAGAGTTATCTCAATCTTGCTCTGAAAAACTTTGAACTTGCAGTTCTCTGGAATGATTTCTTCCCTAGAAAATAAAACCCAATTAGAATTCAGAAAACAGATATTGAACAAACACATGGTACAGCAGTAATGCCATACAGCTTTTCATGGCTTGAATTAAGACATACCTGGTTGTGACAGGCCAGGTAAAGACTGTATCCCTTGAACTCCCTTGGTGAAGCTCTAGAAACTTCTGGTCACTGAAACAAACATTTTATACGCTGAGTATAAATAGAAAATATTCAGTAGTAACAATAAGGAATCCATCAACCAATTACAGTGTACATAAAACTAAGACCTCAGCCATACATAAAACTGACACTCAAAACTAAGACAGTCCAATGAATGAGTAGCCAATCTTACCCTGACTGGAATTTGAGCACAAATCCTTGTTTGGAAAATGTCACTTTGACGGCATCTTTGTCCAGGTCTTTAGTATACACGTACACTGTTATCACACAGTCCTGATAATTTAAAGGTAAAAATGTAATGTTATAAGTTGTACTTATACAAGTATACACATGTACTGTTATCACAAAGGCCAGAAAATTTTAACATTGTAGACAATTCTTTAAAAATAAAAGTAATTTAATAACAATAAAAAAGATGGATAAAATTATGCACTAACTAACTCACCCTTTAAATCATGTAACTTGAACATAGCTAAGACTATGCATGAACTAAAACTCACCCTTTCAATGTAATCATGTTTAAGGAGTTCAAGCAGGTATACTGGCTCTAAAGTTTAAAAAAAAGCATATTGATAATTTATTTAATATTTGAATACAATAGACAGCATTAATATTTATATAATCCAAAAGGGAAATATACTGGTAATATGTTAAGCACCTTCATCTTTTTCTATAATCTCTATTCCAAGTGGCTCATTTTTCTTGTCCGCTTCCTCCACTGCTGCTGGCATTTCTACATCATCAACTTCCATGGTTTTTTCATCTAATCCATCAATACAAATATCCTTCAAAGAGCCTTCCTGAACTTCCTGAAATAAATATATATAAAGTGTATAAAACATTTTAGTCTAAGAGAATCTGCATATGACTCGTTATAAATAATAAGGTAATTTTACCTCCAGACATGGCCACAATGTTTCATTCTGCTTTGTGATCAGCAAGATGATTGAATTCTTCCCCAACTTAACTCTACTTTTATCTTTTTCAATAGCACCAAAAAACCGTATCACATAGGCCAGGTCAGCTGCAAAATTTTTCAAATTTCAAAAAGTGTTAACACAGAAGTAGCAACACAATATATCAGTGAAATACAGATCTGATGTATTTTGGTGCAAATCTTAATGTAAGTACTCAGAAAATTAGAAAAAGACTTGAAAGACAGAGCCATGTAAAAAAACAGATAAAGACAGCACATGAGAAAGACAGGGAACATTTAGGCTTACCTGAAACACTGATGTTTACTTCCTTACTGGTAAATGATATGTCATAGGAACATGGTGGTGGAATGGGCTTATGAGGAGTTATAGTTACTGTGATATCAGACAAGGTTTGCGACCAGTTACAGCTAAAACCATTTTCATCTGTAAAAAAAAATGTTTTAATAATTAGATGAAAATTTAAGAATATGAGTGAGTGTAGAACATAAGTGGTACTCTATATTGGCCCTACTTCTTAAGCTACTATTTTTATTTATTTTGAAATCCCTAATCCTAATACAGGGAATAGGAAGCCAATAGGATCCTAACCCAGGCAGGGGCGTAGCGAGGGGGGGGGCGGGGGGGTGCGGACCGCACCGGGTGACACCATTTAGGGGGGTGACACCAAGGCAAAAAATAGCAAAATATATAGAGAAAAACTCGAGGGGGAGGGTGCAAATCGAAAGTTTGAGGGGGGGGGGTGCAAATCGAAAATTTGAAAGTTTGTCCCTGGGAGGGGTCTCTATGCCTCTGGGGGGGGGGGGGGGGGTGACACCATTAAGTGCCGCACCGGGTGACACCCGACCTCGCTACGCCACTGAACCCAGGGTTTATAGATTGACAGTTGTGTGCTATGACATACATACATGCTTTGCCATGTTTTTTGTGCCCTATTTAACAACCATTAATATCAGTCCCAACCGTCCAACTAGGCATATGTATATCTGGCCTCTAAGCTCTAATCTAATAGAAATAGTCTAATAGACATAAGACAATTCTCAAATTAATACCCTAAAGGAGGCCTTGTTCCACCAATAGAACTAACTTAAAAAACTATTGCAATTAATGTCATTTGAGATTAAGCCTAATTAAAGTTTTAGGCCTATTAAATAATAATTAATTATAACTTCATTAGCATGACTTAATTCACTTTCTTAAAAAAATTTATTATTTCAAAAATTAGGCCTATATAATATATATTCTAGGCCAATTTCTAAATTAGTGAATTAGGCCTAATTACTAATTAGGCTAGTAACCCTATATAGTACTAGTTAGTATATATATATATATATATATATATATATAGGCTTAGGTCTAATTATAATTAGGGCCTAACTAATGGAGTAATAGGCCTTAATATTAATAGTAATAACTTTGAAAAACAACATAAAGCATTGAACAGCGGAGTTTTTAACAGAATCATATAAGTCTCTTAATCAGTGTATGCAATTAATTTGGTGTTGTGTTGACTAAGTAGGTCCTATATAATTTGGTTTTAATTTTTCTAATAGGTATTGGTAGCCTATGTTGTCTTAAATGTGTCAGATTTTTGCTATTTAGTTATTTCTTTTCTTTGTCTCTTATAACTAGCGAATTTTTCTGCCATTTTAAGGCATAGCGATCATTTATTTAGCATCTTGCATTAAAATAATGATGAGATTTTGGGAGATTAGAAGTTATTTGTCGTGTATAAGACCCCTAAAGAAACGAAAAACCGCAAAAAACGACGAGTGACATTTCAGGGTCAGAGGTCATCCCGCCATCTCAGCAAACAGCTACTAATATCTATCAGCTTGTAGTAAAGCACATTGCCTAGGCCCCTAAAAAATATAGCCTATTATTTTTTTGGCTGATGCTAGCCGGAAAAAGATATGCATGCGGCTGCGCAATGGAGAGAAACTACGGCTTGCCATCGTGCCGATGTTTTCCATGGTACTGCGCATGCGTGTGTTTACAACAGCAGAACCCTAGCCCTAACCATATCCATAACCCGAACCCTAAGTCACTGCGCATGTGCAGAATTATCTTTTCCTGACTAAGTGGAGACGTTGGGGAGAAAAATCTTTTTCCAAGTAGTCACTTTTTATTTTTGTATTAATATTACCTTGGTTTTGGTCTAGATCTGTCTGCTTCTCAGCCTTCTGTAGTGTTTGCATCTTTTTATGCTGCTTAGCTGATGTACATGAATCTGTATTTGCGTTGTCGAGGAAATCTGAATATTCTTCGTTTGATGATATTGATATGGTGCTGCTGTCAGTTATCGTGGTAGATTCCCCACTGCCAGATACAACAAAGAGATTTTGACAATCTTCCGTTCGTGGAACAGTCGTGTCGGCCATTGAATTTTGATTTTCCGGTTTGATTGGAAGACACACACCTAAGGTGTGTTTTCTTTTGCGTGAACACAGATCTATTTTTGTGTCTTAGGGGAATTCGCATCCACATACACACAGTAATAAAGCGCAGAACTTACCAACCGCAGAGCCATTCATGAAAATCCTAGAAATACTAGTCACGGTCAGATTTAGGTATCCAATCAAAACTTGGTTGATTGCGAAACAAGGCAGAGGGGACCAATAAAATGCTCTGTTACTTTTATTACCAAAATGACCTCTAAAAACTTAACTAGATAAACGCAAGAAAAAATAACTTCTTATTTTATAGTTTTAAAAATGTTTAGAGCTCGAGATTTGACATCGTATAGATCTAGAAATCTACAAACATTTTGTATTTCTTAAACAACTTTTTTTTGCTAAAGTTATGAACATAGAAGGTGTGGGGGGGGGGGGGGGGGGGGGGACGGACACAACGTCGGCTTTGTTTCGGGGGTGGGGATGTCGGGCGAATAAAAAACGGTTTAAAAACATGAATACCATAGCTAGATTACTTTTTAGATGGAAAGAAAATTTAAATATCTCACCAATGTATTAATTAAATAATTAATTAGGGGTCGCCCATCAACTATGGCACGCTTTTAAAAACTATTCTTACCTCCTCCCCATCGCCACACACCATAAGAACATTGTTTCTTTCAAACTTTTTTTCTCCGGGGGGGGGGGGGGGCACTTAATATTTTCAGGGCGGGGGACACACACTGGTAAAAGTATATGCATAAGAAGCCCGCTCCCTTCCCTAAAATTGCTTCACAACCTCCTCCTGCCCCAAATTATTAAAAAAAAAACAGCAATATATTTCTAAAATATATAGTTGAATCGTCACATCTTCTGACTTTCGGGTCAACTGTCGAACGATCTACGTCTCAACTACATCATCATTTTATACATTTTTATAGAAGGGAGAAAACTGTGTATCAATGATTTTGTGGTTGAGACTAAATTTTTAATTCGATTTTCGCCCTTTACAAGTAAAATAAAACGTGATTTTTGTAAATTGTTCTTTATATTAATTAAGGCATATGCCTACTCTAGAAAACAGTATAATTTATCGATTACTGTGAACACTCGTGTTTATTGATAGAGTACTGAAAACGGATTATTCTTTTGTTGGCTTTAGTATTCGTTTGTACCATTTGAAGATTTAAAAAAACTTCCCGACCAATGACAGTTATGCGAGATATTCGGGTACATGGAGCCTTAAATCGTTCATTAAAGAGGGCCCTTTCAAACTCATGGGTGACATTAAAGGTTATTTTTAATTGCATTAAGCAAATGAAGAAAAGAACTGAAGCCTGTCAGAAGATCATAACAGAAGACATTTACTACGCGCCAGTACAACCGTGCCCATGTGGCATTATCAATGGTGTTTAGTGTTTATGGTGGTAAGTGTTTACGCTTATCGTCCAGAGTTTCTTCCAGACATCTCTTCGGGGGAGGATCCGCCCCCCCCCCCCGAAAAAAGTCTACCCCCCTCCCCCGAAGAAAGTCTACCCCCCCCCCCACCGAAGAAAGTCTACCCGCCCCCCCCCCCCCCCCCGAAGAAAGTCTACCGCCTCCTGAAAATATCAAGTGCCCCCACCCCCGGAGAAAAAAGTCTGGAAGAAACAATGTTATCCTCAGGCGCATTATATTTGGACTATTGACTATTGGGCATGTTTTGTAAAGTAAAAATTGTTAAACAATTTCGTAAGTCTATCAAAAAGTAACAAACCCTTTGCATATTTATTAATTATACTAATGTCATTTAGGATGTTGTGTTCTTAATTGACGTATCCCCCCCCCTACATAACTATGGGGCGGATCTCGGGAAGGACATGGAGGCTAAATTTCCCCTCCTCTTCCCAAAGTCTGGATCCACTTAAAAAAAAAAAAAGCTCTATCATAGGATATCAGCATCAACAAAATATAGATTTAAGGAAATGTTAGTAGCATAATGTTAATTTTCACATTAAAAACAATTTGGGTGAGTTGGTCTGGCATTTTTATTTTTTGACGACCTGTGCTTGTGACTAGTGAATTGTTTGATTGAAGTCTGGGGAAATCACAGAAGTAGTCACATTGGGCTCTAAAGGTATTTCAATTTTAAAAAATTATAAATGAAATAAATGCAAAGTATTCTCTTTAGAAATACTATAAAAACTCATTAAACTTAAACCAATATTTCCTTTGTATCAATGCAAACTCTGATTATTCACATAATAGGAAGACCATGGTAGCTTGTACATTTAAAAAAAAAATTCTAGGTTTAGAAATTGTCCATACACCCTATAAGTTTTAAAATATTTCTTATAATTTACATGATATGCAAACCCCCCCCCCCCCCCACCCCGTTAAAACTTGATCTAAATACCGCCTTCATCATGTTTGGTTTTTAGATTTGACCCATCGTGTGTACGTGTACCTGGCCATCCAGATAAGAGCTTCGTATATAAAATTTGGCCTGCTTTGTCGCAAGCGCAGTTGGTAAACATTGAACTTATAAATAGGTTCTGCGCATTTTTCATCAATACGTTGGCCTTGATATAAGTTGTGCACATTAAAATGGGTGAAGCAAGAAACGTTGTTATTGCAATGGATGAAAGTCACCATTCAGATGATTGCTTTCAATGTAAGTAGACTCATAGGCCCACTAGATTCACAAGATCTAGTCTAGACTCTAGACTCTATAACTCTGTGTCATGATGTCATGTCTATACATTAGCGAGGCTCACTAACTTGAAAGCGTCATTGGTTGCTAACCAGAACATGGCGTTAGGATCGGACCATGACTTCCGGCGAGTTTTTCGACTTAGTTCCAGGGACCTCCTTGGAATTACTTTTAAAAGTGTTTACCACGAGCAAAATGGCAGGTTTTCACGTTATAAAAACATGCTATAGGTGGCAAGTCGAAATATGCCAGAAAAGCATTTTCAAAAATTGCTTTGGAGAATGTAGGCTAAATTTAAAGTCGGTGTCATTCAAAATAATATAACTTTTTAAATATAGATCTCCATATCACAAAATTGATTTCCAAAGTAAAGCATTATTAGTTTTATCATTCTATGAAAAAATAAATCAAATATCTTCAACACTTTTTTTTATAAGATGTGTCCAAAAAATGACAACCAAATTTTTTTATTTTTTTTTACCACGTGACCGCTATTTGAATGGATACGTTTACCTGGCATGGTTTTTTATTTTGCTCTTTTGTACAATAAAAAATGTTATAAAATTAAAGAAATAAAAGAATTCAAACATCACTTCTGTCTTGTCTTTTTTAAAATTCTTTTCTGATGACATTCTCTTAAATTTTTTCCCTCTATAAATATATCCCGACGATAGACGGGCCAATTCTACTTTTAGGAACTCTCTTGTAAAAAAAAATTAGATCTATTTCACGGTCAATTAAAAAGTTAAACCCTTCAGCTTTTAAGCAGGTTGTCATGGATGGATCCCTCATACCATAGCTGTGAGTGACCAAAAAATTTAAAATTCAATAATTTAGTCTAAAACTTGCAAATTCCCAAAATTAGTGCCTAGTGGATAAAGTATGGACGTTTTTTATTTAGTTGTCATGTTTAAGTTGAAAATTGAGTACATTTCAAATTTACTAAGAAAATCTACTATACATACACATACAATCATACATACATTTATTACATACTCTAAGTCTAAATCTAGTAGCAGTAGTAGCTAGATCTAGTAACTAGATCATCTAGATCTAGATCTAGATAGAATCTAGACTCTAGTTACTCTTTTTACTCTTTAGTAGTGTAGTAGAGTAGTAGTAAGCCTAAAAATTAAACAATCGTCAATTATTAATAATTAATTATTAGTAGGCCCCTATTTTTTATTATTATTTAAGTAATTTAAGGCCTAACACTACAAACTACAAAGGGGTTGTCCATAAATGACGTCATACTCGTAGGGGGGAGGGGGGTTGTGACAGTGTGTGATGGGGGGGGGGGGGGTTCAGATGGTGTGGTGTCACACTTTTGCATTATAAAAACAGCAATGGTAGAAAACGAATTGTAGACCTTATTTCGCATTTTAGAAAACTGTTTTAATAAATTATAATAGGAATTGATTAAAATACTCTATTTTGACATTGACAGAGTTCAGACAAGATTTTAGAAAAATATCGATGTTTAAAAAAATATTCAACTGCAATTTGGAGGGGGGTTGTAGGGTGAATGTGACGGAGGGGAGGAGGGGGAGGTAAAAAAGCATGACGTCATTTATGGATGACCCCAAAGGTCTATTGCATACTATTGCAGTCCCTATTAAATAAAATTTTAATTATAAAATAGCAGCCTAAGCCTTAATAAAATATATACAATTTAGAGTCTAATTTAATAAATTTAAATAAATAAGGCTTCCAACCCCAAGCTAATAAGGGCCTAGTTTTAACAAGATCTAGATCTATATAGAGTAGAGGCCCCTGTCCTAATCATATGTGATTGTCTAGCTACTGTAGGTCTACCTAATCAGTACTATTAATCACTCAACATGTAATGAATGGCCCTTCTAATACAGTTATAAACTGTAATAGGCCTACTAAACTACAGTTAATAAATTTAAATAAGCCCTGTAATAAATTAACAGTCTTAAATCTAGAGATCTGTAATGAAATGATTTTTTTGGGAAGAGTCCAAGTGAATATGGCAGTACTGTGATATGGAACTTAGAAGTACACCAACACAAAGTAATATCTCTGTCCATCATAGGTATACACTGGCACTGGAGGGAAAAATACTAATACAGTTTATTCTATTAAAAAATTACTGTGTATACCTCAGTCTATTGCAGCCAGGGTATTTTTCTAATCACATTCAGAACTGGTATTGGTTTGCTAGTGTTTCAACTTTATCAATACTAACCCTAGCCTCACAGTCTGGTCTAAAAATAACCTCATTTGCATCCTTTAATATTTTTGTAATTTCAATTGTAGATTGACTATGTATGCTGACTTTAAGTTCTTTTTTGTCACATGAATTCATCCATAGCTGTTTCTATTATTTATGTTTAATTAAACAGGGTGGTAGAGCCTGCGTTCATTTATCAGCAGGAGTCAGTTTTTTTTTGTAGATCACAGGTTGCACTGACAGTAATGTATAGTCTACAGCATGAAATCTAGGTCATGACAATACTGAGCTAGCAATGTGACTGTTTTAATGAAGTGAAACTATTTCAGGTCAAGCTCGTTTACCATGTGTATGCTTGTACATATTTTAAATTTTGAAACAAGTGTAGGGCATGACCATCAATTTCATATCAGATAGAGTGAGTTAAGGTTAAACATATTTGTGCGTTGTCATCTTTCTGCAGTTCTAATAGTTGAGAAATGTCCTTGCAATTATGTAAGGTAGAACAAGGTTTCACAAGAATGAGCAGAACTAAAAGAAAAAGTTCACATGTATTACAGTTTTCATGTTGGTATTGTTAAACAAAATTTAAAACAAAAATTTGTCTCAGGGACTTTTCTTATCTCTCAAACTGTCAGGAGAGTTTATTTCTTATAAGGAAGATAATGTTCGATTGGTGAAGATTGGGTAAAGATTATCTCCCTGTGTCTGATAATAGTGTACACCTGTTGTGTACATGAATCTGCTGAGTATGCAGTAATCCTTTGACAAGATTTATCACCAACTCAGCTTGAGCAGGATAACAGTATGTTGCTTAGCATAAATCTGACATCTATTTAACTTATCTTAAGTAGGATACCATACCTGATGAGATTGTGTTTAAAATGGCAATTCTAACAAGTTATTGATGCCAGCTTAACATTGACTTGTACCTATATTCTCCCAATAATGTATTCACCAAATGGTAGGTAACCCTGATGTTTTCACCAAATGGTAGATAACCCTGATGTTTTCACCAAATGGTAGATAACCCTGATGTTTCACCAAATGGTAGATAACCCTGATGTTTTAACCAACCACTAAAATGGTAGATAACCCTGATGTTTTCACCGGCCAATAAAAGGGTAGATAACCAGGTCAGCAGCTGTGTAGACTGTACATCAATAAAAATGTTTTGTTGCTGAGCCATAAATTCTATGTCCTGATAGTAGAGGTCAATCATATTTAAATAACTTTTATATTACCCCGAGATGCTGAAAATTACTTTGTGAGAAATCTCATTTAACTTTCTAGTAGAGTTAATTTGATGGATAGATAATTGACACATAAATCCTCTGAGTTGTATTCATTGCTAAAAAAATATTAAATCCCACTTCATGTGTGTAAAGTTTGTAGATTGTAATGGGGGGGGGGGGTTACACGAAACACATCCAACATTACAACTTTACAATCCATATTTCAAGGATCATGTTAATGGTGATGTTTACCTTTATCACCCAACAACAGTGATGACATTTTGTTATTTGCTACTCCTGTGGTTCATTCAAATGTTCAATTACTGTAAGACCTTGAAAACTTTATCACCCAACAACAGTGATGACAATTTGTTATTTGCTACTCCTGGGGTTCATTCAAATGTTCAATTACTGTAAGACCTTGAAAACTTGAAAACCCAACAACAGTGATGACAATTTGGGGTAAAACCTTGAAAACTTGTGTAAACAGTGATATTTTTTTTATTGCTGCTCCTTTGGGTTCATTTAATGTTCACTTACTCAATTTCAAATAATGAAGCTATTGTAAATCAAACAAATGGTTACAAGTATGTAAGATGCTAAAATACATATATACTCGTTTGTTTTTTATGTGGCATTAGTGTGTGTTTCAATCACTTCAGTTTTTGCCCATTTGATTCTTTTCATCAATACATAAACATTGTTATCATGAGTTGTTTACACCAGAACCTTATTATAATGATCTGCTTACACCTGCACCTTATGATAATGTGTCGTCGTCCCCCCCCCCCCCCATAACCTCCAGACAGTACATGGCCACCTGGCAAACTTTCTGTGACACTGACTTCATTTCTCTGGAGGTCGTTGGTCTGACACAGGATTTTCTTCACGCTCTGGCTAGACTAAGTCGGTTAACTTACGTCACATCATCAAAGCTACGTCACCTCAGTAGGGGTAAAGTTGGGCTAATTGGGTGGGTGGGGGAGGGGAGGCACAAGCAATCAAATGATGTGACATTATGCAAGACTTCCACTGTTGTCTGACCCTGCAATGTTCAATAGGGTTATAGGATCAGCTGTGTCTAGAATACATTGGACTGTCCAGTGGTTTATACATGTGCTGATATTGGACTGTCCAGTGGTTTATACATGTGCTGATATTGGACTGTCCAGTGGTTTATACATGTGCTGATATTGGACTGTCCAGTGGTTTATACATGTGCTGATATTGGACTGTCCAGTGGTTTATACATGTGCTGATATTGGACTGTCCAGTGGTTTATACATGTGCTGATATTGGACTGTCCAGTGGTTTATACATGTGCTGATATTGGACTGTCCAGTGGTTTATACATGTGCTGATATTGGACTGTCCAGTGGTTTATACATGTTCTGATATTGGACTGTCCAGTGGTTTATACATGTGCTGATATTGGACTGTCCAGTGGTTTATACATGTGCTGATATTGGACTGTCCAGTGGTTTATACATGTGCTGATATTGGACTGTCCAGTGGTTTATACATGTGCTGATATTGGACTGTCCAGTGGTTTATACATGTGCTGATATTGGACTGTCCAGTGGTTTATACATGTGCTGATATTGGACTGTCCAGTGGTTTATACATGTGCTGATATTGGACTGTCCAGTGGTTTATACATGTGCTGATATTGGACTGTCCAGTGGTTTATAAGCATGTGCTGACATTAAAATGATGGCCCTACTGCCCAGTGGTTTTTACAGCATGTGCTGACATTAAAATGATGGCCCTACTGCCCAGTGGTTTCTACATTACAATGATGGCCCTACTGTCCAGTGGTTAACGGACGGTAGGTAAACCACACGTAAGGACAAGCCACTGTTTTAATTCAAACGTCACACGACTCCACTTCGGCCTTTGACCTCAATACCAACAATGCGATAACGTGTTAGACATGTAGGAGACCGCTCGCGTGCTTAGACTAGCATTTAACTAATGTTGTCTTTTCAATGGTGGCTGCCAGTTGACTATTCATTAGGTAGCACGCAAAGTCATATCCACCCTCTATAACCTTACATTAGGTAGCACGCAAACTAAGTCCTCTCCACCCTCTAGCATAGCTGCCAGATCAAAAGTAAACAATTGCTGTTAAATCTTCACGCGATAACAGAGTTGCTATCTGTCGGTTTGGTCTTATATCTTCTGTCTTTTAAGTGTTTTTGTGGAGTACATGGTGGTGTGGTTGTCACATCTACATGTTGATGGTGTGGTTGTAACATATATACGGTGGTTATGGGGTTGTCACATCTACATGTTGATGGTGTGGTTGTTAGTTTTGGTGGTTGGGTTGTCAGTTTTGGTAGTGTGATTGTGATTGGTTCACTATTTAAGGTAACCTGTTGAACAGACGTCTATTTGTGTTGTATGACATCTGTCACATACGGTGCATGTCGAGTGTATAGACCTATATGTGTGTTGCATGACATCTGTCTCGGTGCATATCGAGTGTACCACCCTGCCCTGAGTGCAGGCAGCAGGTCCGTGCAGTGACACCACGAGTGAGCTGTGCGGTTCATGCACCCTCCATGTCACCCAGACAATTGGGTGCGTGACGTAACGCCATCATCACGTGATCCACCCTACATCAACGAGTGTAAACACCCAGATAAAGATATGCAAATACTCAGGTTCTAAAATATTCTTTTATTTCGAGATAGATATGCAAATACTCCATTGACACACACACACACACACACACATATATATATATATATATATATATATATATATATATATATATATATATATATATATATATATATAACCAAATTTACCAACGTGTATATTTGTAGACACTCTTCAAAAGGCTCTGTTCTATTTTAGGCTATTTATATCTTCCCTTATCCGGCTCTCATCTTTATCATGGGGTATCATATCTCAACATGGTCAGTGTTTAAACATCTGTTAGAACCATCTGTTGTTGTGGTCAACATGGGGTATCATATCTCAACATGGTCAGTGTTTAAACATCTGTTAGAACCATCTGTTGTTGAACACAGCGACTTGTGGTCAACATGATACAGCTGACCACGGTCAAGACTGACCTTGACATTTGATCTTGGCTGAATGCACATACGGTGACACACGTTATTGCATCTGGTGCGTGCGTGCTGCATGTACTGACCTTGGTCAGTGCATGTTTGACCACCTCAAGTACTCGCCTTATGTACGCGTCCGTCACCAACATCTCTGATTGATTACCCTGTGGCGTAATCAATTGACCGGTGGATGACTTTGACCCTACAGCTGAGGATAATTAGTTCAGTCTATCGTTACACTACTCCCCCATTTCGACCGGTTGTTTTATCTTATTGTCTCCTAGTATAGTCTTCTTGACATTTTCTTCAGTGCTGTTTTTTATTTTTTCGTTATTCCGTTCACAGTGCGCTTCTTAGGTTTGTAGGTATGACAGCTGTAGGTGACATTTCTAGCTGACATCTGTAGGTGACATCTCTAGGATTCAGCTTAAGACATCAGTTAGCTGTATTGATCTGCCAGTATCTGAGTATATCCCATGTATCTGAAGCCTAACAGCCTTGACTGCGTGTATTGTACTTTGTATCGCCTGCTGTTTTCGCCACGCTCGTACGCCTTGTGTCACGTGATTGCTATTCTGGGACATGTGTTGCCAGTTTGGTCGTCGTTATCAGCTGTGTTGGCCCCATTCTTCACACGAGGACAGAGTTGGTCAAGTAGCGGCTCGAAACTTCCATCAAATAACTCAGTTTATTGGGGTGACGTCCCTAAAATTATGGTGTCAGTTTATTGGGGTGACGTCCCTAAAATTATGGTGTCAGTTTATTGGTGTAACGTCCCTAAAATTATGGTGTCAGTTTATCGGGGTAACGTCCCTAAAATGGTGTCGTTTATGGGTGACTTCCTTAAAATTATATTGTCAGTTTATTGGGGTGACGTCCCTAAAATGGTGTCAGTTTATTGGGATGACGTCCCTAAAATTATGGTGTCAGTTTATTGGGGTAACGTCCCTAGAAATGGACCCATCCATTTACAGAACCCATTTCACGTGTGGATTTTATAAGCATTTTAAACATAGTGTGCGTGACGTAATGAAAGAAAAACGTTGACGATCGTCATGCCCCAGTGAACAAGATGGTGTCAAGCAGATCAGCAGTGAGCCATGTGTGCTCCCCCACCCCCACACAAGGCGTCACCCGTGTGTTCCCCTCCCCACACAAGGCGTCACCCGTGTGTTCCCCCACCCACTACACAAGACCTTATCTGCCTATTTGTATTGATTATGAGTTTTTCTTTGAAGTCTTTTAGTGTTTAATGTACTGATCACGAGTGTTTTTTCGAATCAATCGTATAATGTTTACTGTGCCTAAAGATGTCTTTTTTAGAAAAAAACCTGTTGGGGTGATTTGATGTTTTTCTCGAATGCCGACAAAGTTATGTAATGGTTAAAGCGTCCTTAGTTACCATTTTAAATGTTTTTCCACAGTCTACATGAAGAATGTATACAAACGATAGTTAAAGCGTCCTTAGTTACCATTTTAAATGTTTTTCTCACAGTCTACATGAAGAATGTATACAAACGATAGTTAAAGCGTCCTTAGTTACCGTTTTAAATGTTTTCTAACAGTCTACATGAAGAATGTATACAAACGATAGTTAAAGCTTCTTAGTTACCGTTTTAAATGTTTTCTCACAGTCTACATGAAGAATGTATACAAACGATAGTTAAAGCTTCCTTAGTTACCTTAGTTACATGTTTTTCCACAGTCTACATGAAGAATGTATACAAACGATAGTTAAAGCTTCCTTAGTTACCATTTTAAATATTTTTTCCACAGTCTACATGAAGAATGTATACAAACGATAGTTAAAGCTTCCTTAGTTACCTTAGTTACATGTTTTTCCACAGTCTACATGAAGAATGTATACAAACGATAGTTAAAGCTTCCTTAGTTACCATTTTAAATATTTTTTCCACAGTCTACATGAAGAATGTCTACAAACCACACGATCATGTCGTCCTGTTGTATGTTCCTGAGTACCACACCGTCATCCAGTCACGTGAGTTAATTCTTGTAGAGCACACGTGAGGGTCACATACAACACAGCACACATACAGGTCACATACAGCACACATACAGGTCACATACAGCACACATACAGGTCACATACAGCACACATACAGGTCACATACAGCACACATACAGGTCACATACAGCACACATACAGGTCACATACAGCACACATACAGGTCACATACAGCACACATACAGGTCACATACAGCACAACACAAATACAGGTCACATACAGCACACATACAGGTCACATACAGCACACATACAGGTCACATACAGCACAACACAAATACAGGTCACATACAACACACAGGTCACGCAACCCAGGCGACATATAACACAGGTCACAAACAACACATCACACATACAGGTCACAAAGACATACGACAAAGCACATACAGGTTACATACAACACAGCACACCTACATGTCATACACAACACACATACAGGTCACATACAACACACATAACACAGCACATATACAGGTCAAACAACACACATAATGGTCACATGATGATGACTAATGTGTGTTAAAATTTCCCACATTCCCCCACAGCTATGGTGATGACTGATGTGAGTGTAGTCACTGACTTACTGCAGGAGGAAGAGAAAAGAATAAAAGGATTTCTGGAACAGTTGGGGCAGAAGCTCAAGGCAGCAGGGGTAAGTTCCCCTTTCACTGGTAGCAGGGGTAAGTTCCCCTTTCACTGGTAGCAACAAGGGTAGTTTCCCCATTCTCTGGTAGCAGGGGTAAGTTCCCCTTTCACTGGTAGCAGCAGGGGTAAGTTCCCCTTTCACTGGTAGCAGCAGGGGTAAGTTCCCCTTTCTCTGGTAGCAGCTGGGGTAAGTTCCCCCTTCTCTGGTAGCAGTTGGGGTAAGTTCCCCTTTCTCTGGTAGCAGCTGGGGTAAGTTCCCCTTTCTCTGGTAGCAGCTGGGGTAAGTTCCCCTTTCTCTGGTAGCAGCTGGGGTAAGTTCCCCTTTCTCTGGTAGCAGGGGTAAGTTCCCCTTTCTCTGGTAGCAGGGGTAAGTTCCCCTTTTACTATTTTATTTTTGTTTGAATAAAAATGAAATGATAAGACAGAGATTATTGTCTGACAGCTAAAGTAATGTTTATTGAAATCTGCTTAAAAGTTTCTGTGACTTACCTGTCAAACTGATAGCTATGTGTCTGCTTGTATGAAATTGTGTTATTTCACTTTCCTCAGATTGGGGGTAAAGTCAAGAGTGTGGGCGGCACCCCAGGGGAGGTCATTGTCAAGGTGGCGAATGAAGAGAAGGCACATCTGATCGTCATCGGCTCCCGGGGCATGGGCACCATCAGGCGCACCCTGATAGGCAGCGTCAGCGATTACGTCATGCACCACGCCCACATCCCCGTCCTGGTCTGCAAGCACCCAGACGTCCACAAGCACTAGGTCACTGGTCATGTGACTGGTCATGTGACCGCAGCAGTTGGGAGCAAGTTGATTGTCAACAGTTTTTATTTGCTGATACAAGTGTTTATTTTTTCAGATGTTTCACGTTTAGGGTGATTCAAGGCTGGACGAAGATTTCCTTTATGTTGCACACCTTGTGTTGTGTGCAACTAGATCAGACTAGTTCAACTATAGCTGTTTAACCATAGCTGTTTAACCAAAACTATTTTACCATAGCTATTTTACCATAGCTATTTAACCATAGCTATTTTACTATAGCTATTTAACCATAGCTGTTTAGCCATAGCTATTTTACCATAGCTAATTAGCAATAGATATTTTACCATAGCTATTTAAGAAAGATAAGTGCCTTAATACACCATTTTCTAAATACTTATTCTAAAATAAAATTTAAAAAGCCCGACCAATTTTTAATTAAAATTTTTATCTAACCAGCCTAATAGGCCATCCAGCAGATATTGTTTACATGTTTTGTTTACAACATTATGGTGTAAGAAATTGTTTCACAAACTATTGCAATGGTGATTAGTGTTTGTGGTCAGTATGTTGTCACTGCGTATGTGGTATTTGATGGGTGTTGCATATATTTATGCTGATAAACTAGTATCAGAAGTTTACAAAATCAGAATTCACTGTTTAAATAAGGCCTTTCTCCAGAGATGTGTACAAGCTGTGTCTGGTGCTTTAAGCTTGAGTCACTATTCCAAGCAGTTGTACCTCTGTTATATTTATATAGGTTTTTTTCTAGTCATTTCTAAAGGACATTTTCTTAGTGGGGGAAATAGTTGCACACTTTAGCTGTTTAGTATGTGGGTCGCCTGTGGATTGATGGCTCGCAAAGTGTGAGACATGTGTCTCAGGTGGGTTGCTATGTGTGAGACTGAACCAGCCATGTTAACATTCCTACCACGTTAGCCAGGCAAGCTTTGAGTTGTCCAGAGACCTGGTTGAGTGGACAGTGTCCACTGGGAACAACACAACAGTACATCATCAACCAGACAAGCTTGGGTTGGCTTGAACCATCTATCAAATAGTTTCTCATGTATTTATAGCATTCCTTCATGTGTCCTCATCGCCATTGTTTGGCTGGGGTGTGTTCGCCGTCACGTGACTGGTGTGTTCACTGTGGCTCGTGTGTCCACCCTGTCACGTGACTCGTGTGTCCACCCTGTCACGTGACTCGTGTGTCCAGCCTGTCACGTGGCTCGTGTGTCCATCCTGTCACGTGACTCGTGTGTCCAGTCACCGCTAAGCGCTGGTGTGTCCATGGTCCACTTAACTATGATTTATTCAGACAGTAGTACTATCTCTAGCTTTTGTTATTGGTGATTGTCTTTTCTTGTTTTAATTATATTTTGACAATAAAGATGTTTTATATATATGGTTTTTTGTTTGTTGTATGTGTTCCAATAATATCTGTATTGAGGGAGGGGGGGGGGGCAATGTGTGACAGCTATGTAGTTAATCACCCTTTTGGTAGAAAAAGTTTACTTTAGACTTTAGGTAGATGCTTCCTTCATCTCATGGCTAACTCGTCAGGCCATTTCATCTTTGTTATGTAGATATGTAAACTGATGTAAATTGAGAGCACATTTGAGAAGAATGTTTGATTTAAATCATAGTATGCTGAAAGATGGCACTTAATTTTTCTTCTCCCCCGTTCAACATCTCGCCTACAGTCTAAACTTCGATCAGACACGCGCGTTCTTTCATTGGACTTTGCTCTAAAATGGTTGAGCTTTTGGCTTGACGCCTTGGATGACGTCATTTTTCCTGTCCAGCGTATCCTGCTCACCCCTGACGTCACTGCGCACACCCTTGGTGCCCGTTTGGTGTGTGTGCTGTTCCAGTTACTGACACAGGACGTGTGTGTGGGGGAGGAGGGGTGTGAAAAGGTGTATCCTTCAGGCAAATATTGTGATACAATCTAGATTGCAAGACTGGGTAAAAATGTTTCAAGTTTAAAACAAGCAATTTGCGTATAAATTAGTATAAGGAGTAATTAGTTTAACTATACTACATTACTTAGGATCCTCTACATAAGTTATAAACCTATAAGTAACATATTAGTAACAATATGAAGGATTTGGGAGATTATGATGTGTGGGATTGTCTTTTCATTATATTGCAGTATATGGGGGTATTTTTAAAATTTTGTTAGCAATGATATATTAAACGGTTTCCTAACAAACCTTTTCATTATTGTGTGTGTGTTGAGAGGGGTGGTGTTTGTGGGTAGTAAAAGTATATCATATTGTGGGTGTGATGGATCTGGATAGTATAATGGTATATCCTATTGTGGGTGTGGTGGATCTGGATGGTATATCCTATTGTGGGTGTGCTCTATGGAACTTAACGGTATATGGGGATGTGGTGAAACGTCGAAAATGCCCTTTGTGTTAACTGTGTGCAGTGGCGTCCCGAGGTGGGGTCGTGGCCGCGCCGGGAGACACCATTTAGGGTGGGATGGCAAATCGAGAAAAAAACGTAAATTAAAACAATTATAAAAGTAGGAATGAAACAAGGTGGTAAATGTTTGGATAGAAGTGGCGTGACCCTCAGTATTGGGTGACCCTCGACCTAGTGACGCCACTGATCACGTGCGTCATTCATAAACAGATCACGCAAACGTCAGCCCAGCTTGAGTCACGACTACGTGATTACTGGGGGGGGGGGGGCGACTAGAAGACAGTGAGCACTACATTAAAGAGACCACGAAATTATCACGTAGACGTCAGTGGCGTAGCTAGGATTTTCGGGCCCCTTCACAAAAATATAAATATTCTGAACATTTTGTGTTTTATACATCCTGATTTTTTATTTATATTATATTATTACGAGCCGGCCCGCGGCATAACATACGCCGCTATTTAGTTGTTTCTAATTTTCAATAATTCATAATTTGTGAATTCGACAGTACCAACGCTGACACTGAAAATATTTCTTTAAAACACTATAAGTAGCTCGTTAAGGACCATAACCCCCCCCCTTCCTTCCCCCCCCCCCTCCCCCCTTCCTTCCCCCCCCCCCCTACGTTTAAAATCGTTGGCTCTGCTTGTAAACATTTAGAGTGAACACAGCTCACTAAAACCATGTAGGGGTGGGGAGGTAGGGAGAGCGTTTGCAGCTTGTTTTCTAACGGCTCGAAGAGGAGAATTATATATATAGATAGATAGATGTAGGCCTACAACCCCGTAGTTTTGTAAAATTGTTACAGGCTTACCGTTAATTTGTTTATTAAGTAAGCAAACACATCAGGGTCGCATGCGGTGGCAGAGGTGCGGCCTATAACGGCTGACGACATTTAGGCGTGACACCATGACAAAACATTGTCAAATTAATTGAAACATTATATTGGATTCTGCTAAAATAATAAAAGATAAGTGACATCTTTGGTAAACGCGTAGGGGAACACCCAACCTTGTTACGCCAATAACACAATTTAAAAAAAAAACTGCTCGTGATTTTTTTTAGATCTGTTTCTTCTCAATATTTTGTAAAATAAATAATAAGTTCCTTGAGATCTAGTTTAGCTGCTTCTGTATGTTAGATACTAAGGATGGCTAAGCTACTGACCCAATGGGCATATCTACAATTTGTTTCATGATGTGCTACCCCTGGTTCGGTTGAATCATCGAACGTAGAGGCCACCGTAGGGTGCTCCTGTGTTACCCGTAATCCGGGGGCGCCCCTGTTGCAGTTTACTCTTTTAATAAGTAGCCCCACTGTAGGAAGGGCAATCAACGTATCCCTTGCACTCAGGTAGCCGCTGGCTATCTGGGGGTGCCCAACTTTTACTACTGCCTATACGCTGGAGGATACCCCTTATTCTATTCAGGTATCGATTTTAATAGCACTCCGTATCCTTAGTGAAATGCACTCACTAAAACGAATATAGGCGTCGTAGAGCTCACGGGGGAGACCATGGTGCAAAGATAGCCGCTGGGAAATAACACCACCTTATTGCCGGGGCGCCACCATACAAAATAAAAATTGAATGCTAGAAACTTTATCAAATGCCAGAGTTTCTTTCGGGCACGTTTTCAGAAAAATGTCTGGGAATAAACACTGCCTGGAGTATTCTCAACGATTTCCCATAAAATTTTCTTAGCGATTGGATGAAAACCAAAAACGTATAGTGTTAGTAGCGCTATATGGGCCCTGTTCGACCCCCCCCCCCCCCCCCCCCAACACACACACACTCAATGCCAATGCCTGAACAGTAAAGAGGGGACCGCTGGGTGCCTTTTGGAACTTTAAATTATTTCTACAGTAGAAAAGAAACTGGATTTCCTTTTTCTTTTTAACATTATTTACATAAAACCAATTTTAATATTCCAAGTTTTAGTTTTGTTTAAAGAGGGAGAAGGGCCCCAATGTGCCTTGGGTCCTATGCCTTGCTGTCGCTAACTTTACAGTAGCTACGCCACTGGTAGATGCCCTGGCGTGTGCTATGGGATGTCTAGTCCTCTTCCTGTTTCCATAAATGTCCTAGTTGAATGAGTTTCCTTGAACAAGGGAGGTAACTCTATAAAATGTATCTGAACGACATGAGTGAACTCCCTTTGAACATAGCCAAGAAACGCCGCGACATATCTGTGACGTTAGTTCCCTATTTGGAAATTTACATTTATAATAGTTATAATATAGTATGTACTTCTGTAAGCATGGCTGGTGCTAAGACTCTCACTAAGAGCGTTGTTTTTTTTTTCTACCCTGACAAAATGGCAAAATGTCTACCACACACATTTCTAAAAAATAAAAAAATTTCTTAATATGGAGGCTACTTCTGGTGGGGAGGGGGGGGGGGGGGACAAATAAAGTTGGTGTGAATATAGGAATGGGGGGGGGGAACAAATAAAGTTCGTGTGAATATAGGAAGGGGGGGGGGGGCTGCATCGACTAGTCATGTGATGAAAACATCCACTTAAGAACTACCATTCGTTGTGTGCAGGCTACGACAGAACGCGCTCACGACGTATCGATGAATGGTGTTCAAAACACAAACACAACGCCAACACAGTGGCGGAGTGTGCGCCAACACACCGTGTATCGAGACATGTACTGTAGCTGTCTTCACAAGACAGAGTGACGAAACTCACGCCAACACACCGTGTATCGAGAGGTGAGCAGGTCAGCAGTACCTCGACATGAGCACATGTGCTGTTGTTGTCTCCACAACACAGAGTGACGAAACACACAACTGGAGGGTCAAAACTACTCGAGGGTACACAGGTGTGTCGACTGAAAATCGTGTTTGTGCCATTCCAATGTGTAAGGCCCTGGACTACACACACTGAACGATCTAACCGTATTGGCCAACCAATGTTGTTTTGTGTTTTTTGTTAAGTCAATTTTCATTGGCTGGTCGTTAACGTCATACACACGCCTGAATGTTTCGCTTACAGTCGGATTTTGGAATTTTAACTGTGTGCTTTTAACAGTTCTGTGAATTTTAACATTGTGGTTTGTGGGGAATGGAGTCCCAAGATCTAGAGGAAGTAGAGCTGCTCCAAGAGCACGAGAAACTGAATGAGATGCTGACCACGCTGAAAGACATGAACTATTCGGTCTCAACTCTGATCGAGATCAACAAGACGGTCGTACAAAGACAGCTGCGACTCGAGTCAATGGTCGACACAGGTGGGGCCGGCATCTCAACGGTCCGTGAAGCCGGGACCGGCGAGTCGACGGACGATGACGTGTCTGGACCAGTGTCCCAGAAGTCTAAAATGGACCGCCGAGTGCCAGAAATAACGCCAGTACAAGCTGTGCCTGGGCCATCAACCACAAGGTCTAAAATGGACCGCCGAGTGCCGGAAGTGACGTCAGTACAAGATGTACTTGGACCAGCAGTCCAGAGGTCTAAAGTGGACCGCCGTGTGCCGGCCCTGGGATCTGGGCAAACTGCCACGTATATCCAGACCATGATTTTTGAGGCTTCCAAACCAGGTCCCGGTCTAAACAGTGCAAGGACCCGCGGATCCATTCGCCGAACGTATGGGGCACCAAAAACTAGGCGCCAAGCAAAGTTAGCGGAATCAAAGCTGAAACAATGGGCCAGTCTGGCAGCTAGAGAGGGATCCTGCACGTCTGAAGGTGCTGGGTGGGCGGCACCAGTCCCGAAAGACGCAGGTGGGCAGGAGCCAAGCACATCAGAAGGTGCGGTACCAGCCCCAAGGGAGCCAGGCAGACAGGAGCCAAGCACGTCTGAGGGTGCTGGGTGGGCGGTACCAGCCCCTAAGGAGGCAGACAGACAGGAGCCAAGCACGCCCGAAGAAGCCTGGTGGGCGGCACTGGTGCCCCAGGAGCTGGGGACTCAGGCCACGGTCAAGCTGGCCATCAGACAGTACACGGCCTGCCTGGCTGTCCGGCAGCTGCCCAGACCCACGTCAGAGGTGGACCAGCCGCACGGCCTCACCTACAGCAGACTGGTGGCTGTGGTTAAAACAGGAGTCAGGTCCAGCACGTCGGGCCCACCCTCCCTGGATGACGTCAGAGAGGCGCTTAACCTGAGCGATGTAGAGCTGTCGGACAGAGAACTGCTGAGTCTGGAGAGAATCAGAAGAGTTCTGAAAAAGCAGGAGGTAAGCGTGGGTCTGTTTCCTTAAATGACACTGTATTAGACTATTCCCTCACGTTGCATCATATTACAATCTCCCCCCCCCCCTCTTACATAAACCGTATTAACGCTGTTGTGTTAATCAGCTGTCGCGTGCAGTAACTGGTGTCTGAATGTCTATCTCCTCCCTCACCAGTTCTACTGCTCAAGGTACTATGAAGACGTTTCTACTCGCATGTAGTCTGGGGACTGCTAGAGATTTTTCTACTGCATGTCTCCCGTCTTAGCCAGTCACACTTAAATAAAAACCTGATAGCCTCATAACGAAGGTCAGTGTCTAATACAAGTCCTTATATCAGAACAGAGTTTCTTTCAGGCATCTTTGGGGTTGGGGGAGAGGGGGTGGGCTGCTCACATCCCTGGAGCAAGTCCATCGCTCCCCCCCCCCGCGGTGAAATATAAAAAATATATGGAAAATAAATGCTTTAGGCAGTGTGCGACAACCACACCCACACCCCCAAAAATTAAAGTGTTTTCACCCCGGATAAAATGTCTGAAAGAAACACTGGATCAGAAATGTTTGTTCCCTTGAAACTTTAGCGTTATGACTTAGTTGAACGTCTTTTATGCCCGTTTATAATTTGTTGTTTTACATACACGTTCAAGTCCTAGGTGGGTTAAAATGTTTTGTTACATATTCAACGGTCAGTACAAAAAGTTTCATCTTTAGACCGCGCGATCCATTGAGTAGATGAAGTAGAGTTTACATGTTTCAATCAATACAAAGGTCATTGTAAAATGTGTAAGGTGTAATACGTCTTGTTACTACCGTAGACTGCAGACATATAGTTTTTTTTGGCCTTCGAAAATACTGTTCTGGCTTTCAGATATTGTTTTGGTTTCAAATATATTTTTATATTGTTTGTTTTCAGATATATTGCTTATTTGATAGGCCTTCAACTATATAGTTTGTTTGGCCTGCAAAATAGTTTGGCGTTCAATTATATTGTTCGACATTCAACTACATTGTTTGGCCTTCAAATATATTATTTGTTTGATATTCAAATATATTATTTGTTTGGCCTTCAAATATATTATTTGTTTGGCCTTCAAATATATTATTTGTTTGGCCTACAAATATATTATTTGTTTGGTATTCAAATATATTATTTGTTTGGTATTCAAATAAATTATTTGTTTGGTATTCAAATATATTATTTGTTTGGCATTCAAATATATTATTTGTTTGGCCTTCAAATATATTATTTGTTTGGCCTTCAAATATATTATTTGTTAGGCCTTTTTATTTGGCCTGCAAATATAATTTATGTGGCCTGTAAATATAATGTTTGGTCTTTAAATGTATGAAGTTTCTTTGTTCTTCAAATATATAAATTATTTTTTTCTTTTTCATTCAATATTAAAATATGGCTATGGCTAACAATGTGTGGCTGTGACCTTAATATCTGAGAAGTATAATGTCCTTTAAGGCTGGGCATCCTTGTAAAAGCTTACAACAGTTTACGAGTATCCTTGTATGGACAAATGAGTAATAAGTCCATGTTTTAGGCTCAAACCGTTAGCAACGATTCATGCCATTCAATGTGTATGTGTGTTGCTGATGAAATCTGGCTTCATTAACTCGTGGCTGTTTACTGCCAAGTGTGAGACCCACTTCGTTAGTCATGTACCACTTGAAAATTTCATCAGCACAAGGAAGATATTTGGAGTCTTTAGCGGTCTAAAACTCCGGTATGGTCTCGTTAGGACATTGTTGTAGTTATCTACCCCCCCCCCGCCCCCCCCCCCCCCCCGAACGAAATGAAATTTATATAGAAAATATATAATTTTAACAGTGTCCGCCGCCCCCCCCCCCCCCCCCCGAAAATTTCAAGAGAAAAAAGTCAGGAAGAAACACTGTTCGTATGGTTTTATTATGACATTGTGGCAGGTATCTCGTTAGCTATCATTTGTTTAGATGGGTTATAGCACTCTTTAAAGTTATTTTCATGAATAATTCTTGAAAATTAACTTGATATTACTAGAAGAAACTCTTCAATATAAACTTTGATATTATCAGAGGAAGAAACTTTTGAACGTAAACTTGATATATTTAGGAGAAGAAAGTGTTGAAAGTAAACTTGATATTATAAGGGGAAGAAACTCTTGAACGTAAACTTGATATTTTCAGGTGAGAAACTGTTGAATGTAAACTTGATATTTTCAGGAGAAGAATCTCTTGAATATAAAATTGATATTTTCAGGAGGAAGAATCTCTTGAATATAAACTTGATATTTTCAGGAGAAGAAACTGATGTATATAAACTTGATATTTTCAGGAGAAGAAAACTGTTGAAGATCCAGCAAAAAATAGGAGCCTACAAGTTGCAGGCACCGTGTGGAATCAGCTTTGATGAGCGGGAGAGGCAGATGATTAACCTGGTCAAAGAATGCTGTCGTCTGCTTCGGGATTAGCAGTGGCGTGATGGTGGGGGGACATTACATGACTGACTGCAATTCTGGGGCGTCAGTACTCTTTATGACGCCAGTACTCTTTTATGACGCCAGTACTCTTTATGACTCTTGCACTCTTTATGACGCCAGTACTCTTTATGACGCCAACACTCTTTATGACGCCAGTACTCTTTAAAACGCCAGTAATCGCTTACTTTCATTTTTTAACGACGCTTACCTAACCCTTTAACGACGCTTACCTACACCCTTTAACGACGCTTACCTACACCCTTTAACGACGCTTACCTACACCCTTTAACGACGCTTACCTACACTCTTTAACGACGCTTACCTACACTCTTTAACGACGCTACCTACACTCTTTAACGACGCTTACCTACACTCTTTAACGACGCTTACACTACACCTTTTAACGACGCTTACATACACCTTTTAACGACGCTTACCTACACTCTATAACGACGCTTACCTACACTCTATAACGACGCTTACCTACACTCTTTAACGACGCTTACCTACACTCTTTAACGACGCTTACCTACACCTTTATTACACCTACCTTTATGAACGGATGCCTATACCATACGGTGCCTTGTTAATTTACATACGACACAGTAATGTGTCTTTGAAATGTTTTTCTTCTGCATTTTGTCTGAATTTTTAGTTTTACCAGTTTTGATCCCTATCAGATTTTTAATTAATTTGTTTTTAACTTTACAAATTTAGTTTTTTAAAAGATTAAAGCATATTTTAGTCTAAAAATTTTTTAAATTAAATAATGCGTTAGTTTTAAAATCAATTTGTGAGTTCTATGCTTATTTTTTAATTTTTACAGGTTAAGCCCCTACTTATGTTTTAACCCATTTAATTGTACATTTTTTATTGTTCAGAGTGTGAAAATAGTCTAAAAATAAACTGAGCCAATTTGATGTTTGTCTTGTAAATTATTATGATGTAAAATTACTTTCTTTATCCACAACACATTTTATTTCAACACTCGAGAAAGCCTTTGACTTTCATTCAACTTTTTAAAAAAATAATCAGAACATAAGATACGATATATTTTATTTCTCAAAGCGAGCAAGCCTTTCACTTTCATTCAACTTTAAAACATTAATCAGAAACACATAATATACAGTATAGTTTATTTCTCAAAGTCAAAAGTACATTTCATAAAACAATGTCAGCTTGTTACAAATTGTGTCCCACTAGTGCCACTACAGCATAAAAGGCTAGTGCTAGTCCAACCTATGCTGACGTCAATATACATTCGTTCAAGCGAACAAGTGGTAACTTCCTATCTCTACATGAGGAATGTGTGTGTGTTGGGGGAGGGGGGGGGGGCGATAAATGAGATTTACTAATAAAAGAAATCTATTTAAGAAATCGTCAGTTTTAAAAGGAAGGGAGGCTGGACAAAAAAATACAACTATGTTGGACATTTTGTCCGTTAAAAAAAATGGAGTAGGCCCTACCTGGTGTAGGGACATCGAGACTACACCAGCATTTTGGGAGGGAGGGAGAAATGGCGGGGGGGGGGGGGGGGGGAGTGTCACCTGATGTTTGAACATGAACAACCCTTCTGCTTTTTGAGCTTTTGACAAAATGGCCAATTTCAAATGGGGTCTCTACAAATGGGGTCTCTATAAATGGGATCTTTACAAATGGTTTCTTCATAAATGGGTTCTTTACAAATGGGATCTTCACAAATGAGTTATTCACAAATGGGATCTTCACACATGGGATCTTTTGAGGCGACATTTGATTAGGTGATATCCTGTGAACTGTTACTTATAAATAGTCAAAAATGTGAGCTGTGAATTGTCACATGTATTACATATCACAGTATTACAAAAAATGACGATCAAAAGTACTGTACAGTTAGGATATCACAATGTAGCACACTGTAAGTTGGTTACAATCGTTAAAAGTAACATTTGTAAAACATCGCTCTAAAATGTTTAAAAATACTTTTTTTAACATTGTAAAACATCGCTCTAAAATTGTTACACTTTTTTAACATTGTAAAACATCGCTCTAAAATTGTTACACTTTTTTAGCATTGTAAAACATCGCTCTAAAATTGTTACACTTTTTTAGCATTGTAAAACATCGCTCTAAAATTGTTACACTTTTTTAGCATTGTAAAACATCGCTCTAAAATTGTTACACTTTTTTAACATTGTAAAACATCGCTCTAAAATTGTTACACTTTTTTAACATTGTAAAACATCGCTCTAAAATTGTTACACTTTTTTAACATTGTAAAACATCGCTCTAAAATTGTTACACTTTTTTAGCATTGTAAAACATCGCTCTAAAATTGTTACAAACTTTTTGTAAAACATCAATCTAAAATCAGGCTAAAATCATGACGGCCATGCATTATAAAAAACACGCGGAATTTTCTTTGACTCCTAAGTCTTTAATCCCCCCCCCTAACTTATGCTGGGTACCAATTTATGCTGGGTCGGGCACGGGACCTAGGATGTGTGAATTCGTGTATTAGTTCAGCGTCTAAAGTCTGTGGCTAAAAGATTTGTTTATTAAGTTTCAGCATCTAAAATTCTGTAGTTAAAAGATGCATTGATTAAGTTTCAGCGTCTAAAAGTCTGTAGTTAAAAGATGTTTTGATTAAGTTTCAGCATCTAAAAGTCTGTAGTTAAAAGATGTTTTGATTAAGTTTCAGCATCTAAAAGTAAGATGTTTTGATTAAGTTTCAGCATCTAAAAGTCTGTGGCTAAAAGATTTGTTGATTAAGTTTCAGCATCTAAAAGTCTGTGGCTAAAAGATTTGTTGATTAAGTTTCAGCATCTAAAAGTCTGTAGCTAAAAGATTTGTTAAGTTTCAGCATCTAAAAGTCTGTAGTTAAAAGATGTTTTGATTAAGTTTTAGCATCTAAAAGTCTGTAGTTAAAAGATGTTTTGATTAAATTTCAGCATCTAAAAGTCTGTGGCTAAAAGATTTGTTAAGTTTCAGCATCTAAAAGTCTTTGGCTAAAAGATTAGTTGAGCAAATTGTGTTGTTGATTTTCAACAGTCGAACAGGTCCGTTGTTCGAGTCTTAACGTGGTACATCCATCTAGCCCAAATCTCATCCAGTTCATCAGACGTGAAGAAATCTTTGTCGTCCAGCACAGCATACGCTGATGTGTGTCTGTCTGGTGCTGACGTCACGGCTGGGCTGGTGTTGTTTAGAGCGTGCTGCTGGCTGACAGGCGAGGTCTGGCACCGTCTCTCACATCTGGGGCTTGGTGTGGGGAGTGGGAAGTTGATGTGTGGGGAGGTTGTGGGGGTAGAGTTGGTGCCACTGTGTGGGGTAGAGTTGGTGCCAGTGTGTGGGGTAGAGTTGGTGCCACTGTGTGGGGTAGAGTTGGTGCCACTGTGTGGGGTAGAGTTGGTGCCATTGTGTGGGGTAGAGTTGGTGCCAGTGTGTGGGGTAGAGTTGGTGCCAGTGTGTGGGGTAGAGTTGGTGCCACTGTGTGGGGTAGAGTTGGTGCCACTGTGTGGGGTAGAGTTGGTGCCAGTGTGTGGGGTAGAGTTGGTGCCACTGTGTGGGGTAGAGTTGGTGCCAGTGTGTGGGGTAGAGTTGGTGCCACTGTGTGGGGTAGAGTTGGTGCCACTGTGTGGGGTAGAGTTGGTGCCAGTGTGTGGGGTAGAGTTGGTGCCACTGTGTGGGGTAGAGTTGGTGCCACTGTGTGGGGTAGAGTTGGTGCCAGTGTGTGGGGTAGAGTTGGTGCCACTGTGTGGGGTAGAGTTGGTGCCAGTGTGTGGGGTAGAGTTGGTGCCACTGTGTGGGACAGGACTAGTGCCAGCATGTGAGGATGTCTTGACCAGGCTATGAGAAGTTTTTCTGGCCGATGTTAGCTGGTTTAGAAGAAAAGATTCCGTTAAGGGAGTCCTCATCAAAACTTGCTGATCAGTAGAGGAATGGTGGTTTGAGGTTTTGTATGAGGAACTTGATAGTTGATGAAGCGAGGAACTTGAGAGTTGATGAAGCGAGGAACTTGATAGTTGATAATGGGGCAGGCTCGGTGTAAATAAGTCGTGGGCAGACGTTTTGTGGGAGGAGCTTTGGTTTGGCACGTTGTCGTAGGAGAATCTTTGTGTTGGTATGTTGTGGGCGGGGCTTTGGGAAGGCGTGCTGTGGGCGGGGCTTTGGGAAGGCGTGATGTGGGCGGGGCTTTGGACAGGCATTATATGGGCGGGGCTTTGAAGAAAATTAGTGTTTATAGGGCTTTGCGCAGGCATGCTGTGGGCGGGGCTTTGGGAAGGCATAAGATGGGTAGGGCTTTGAAGAAAATGAGTGCTAGTAGGGCTATGGGCAGGCAGAATGTGGGCGGGGCTTCGGGCGAAGAAATTATTGTAATTAGGGCTTTGGGACGGAAAAATATGGGTGGGGCTAGGGGAAGGCATTAGGTTCTGGGTGGAGCTTGACAGTTGCTGACTGGGCACGCCTCCATAAATGGGTAGATAGAGGAAGCTTTGATTCCCTAGCTGTACAGGCGACGTCTGCAAGTTCCCGCCCAGTGACGTCTGCAAGTTGCCGCCCAGCAGTAGAGGGCTGATGTTTTGAAAGTTGAAGTGTGAGGGCGTGGTTGGCTGCAGGCAGTAGTTGGGGGAGAGCTGCGTCAAAGGACTCACGACTGGTGCCTGGTAGAGAAACAAGGTGTTTTATTTGATGGTAAACTCTAATTATAGCGACATTAATTAAAACTGATTAGCATTATCAATAGATTTCTATCGTCTGAGATGTAAT